CATGCACAGTTAGGACAGGTATCTGACGTTAAACCCCTGTAAACACACACACAGGTATCTGATGCACATGCACAGTTAGGACAGGTATCTGGCGTGAAACCCCTGTAAACACACACACAGGTATCTGATGCACATGTACAGTTAGGACAGGTATCTGACGTGAAACCCCTGTAAACACACACACAGGTATCTGATGCACATGTACAGTTAGGACAGGTATCTGGCGTGAAACCCCTGTAAACACACACACAGGTATCTGATGCACATGTACAGTTAGGACAGGTATCTGGCGTGAAACCCCTGTAAACACACACACAGGTATCTGATGCACATGCACAGTTAGGACAGGTATCTGACGTGAAACCCCTGTCATCACAGTTTTGAACGGATTTTTAGAACAGATAAGTGAACTTAAAAATGCAATTTTCAGCTGAGTGTATTTTCTTAGCCCTCCCTTTTGAATGCAACTTTCAAATTACTTGACAAAAAATTACATCCTGAGAAAAGTGGATTTCTGGGGGTGAAACCCCATTGACTCCCATTCATTCTGCACTCGACCGCGAGCGCCCCCGCATGGACAAAGACGCGTTACTGCATTACGCGTTACGCGTCCAGAACCCAGAAGTAACCAGCCAGTGCTAATTCTCTTCAATTAGACTGAATCCTACTTTGGCATCTTCTTCTTCTTCTTCTTCTTCTTCTTCTAGTTACCAACTTCTCATTTCTTATTTGTGCATCCTCGTTTCCTTCCCTTGCCTCTCTGCTCCACCCCCTGTAGGACGCGAGGGAAGGAACTGAGGGAAGGAACTGAGGAAAGGAAAGGAGGACAGAGGAATGGAATAAAAGCTCTTTTAACCCTCAGGTGCTCTTCGGTCATTTCTGACTGAAAAATTTTCTGGTTTGAAATTTTAAAAATCACAGCTTCATCGGAATGTTCCCAAACTTGGTGACTTTTATGGCATTGGGTATGTGAACACAAAAAAAATTGATTCGAGCAATTTCAGTGGTCGTAAAAAATGAGTCACACTTTTGCTCTTCTGTCAAAAATGACCGACCCATAGGAAATTAATGGGAAATTGACAAAAAAAATATAAATAAATAAATAAATTCTTTGAATTTTTCTATGTACAAATTGTACATACAAAAATTCAGAGGATTTTTTTTTTTTTTTTTTTTTTTTTTTTTTTACAGTACAATCGACAAGTCGGCCACAATTCTAAAAAAAAGTACACCGCAGGAAAGGGGTAACACTCTACAACATCTAGAGTGCAAAACAGACACACCCACCAACACACACACACACACACAAACACACTTTTATACACATACACACTAATAAATTTTGATTACGAAAAGTATGTTTTGAATTTTTAAAAACTTTTATGACATTATGTATGTGAACACACAAAAAAATTGAGGTCATGATCTGAGCATGCTAAGTGGTCTTAAAAAAATAGTCACACTTGTGGTCTTTGGTCAAAAATGACCCCCATAGGAAACGAATGGGAAATTGTAAAAAAAAAAAAAAAAAAAAAAAAAAAAAGATTGTGAATTTTTGTTTTTTGTCAATTTTTTTTATAAGAAATAGTTTTTGAGATTGTTTCAACTATATATTCAAATCCACCACCAACAACAACAACAACAAATGTGTTCATAAACAGCTGGGGAATTCACTTGCCTCTCCATAGAGAGCTATACATGCCATCTAGTGGTTACACCATGATTCTATGCTTTTTCTCTATACTGTAATCAGATGGTGCTAATTTTCTGAAGGCCTAGACTCTATATTAAACTAAAATACTACATTAATATTTTTTTTGAAAAAAAAAAATAATATATATATATATATATATATATATACATTTTTTTTCCATGGCAAAAATAAACCATAAATATTGCACAAATATTAATAAATTCAATTAAATTGTCTCAAAATACTAAATTAAAAAGAATAAATATTATAGAACAAAAATAAATTGCATTGGTTTTACTGGGATGGAGAAAGTTTCATTTTTAGGTGTCCGGTCACTTTTGACCGAGATGATAACAAGTGTGACTCCGAAACGAAGAGCACCTGAGGGTTAAACGCATTGGAATACTTGATCACTCGAGCGTCACTTCACTGCGTCAGCAGTGCTCAAAGGATCTGCCCTTATGCTGTTGAAGTTTGGTTATTTAATAAATCCATAATAAAGATAGGCAACACTGTTGAAATATGTGAGATGTGTGGTTTTTATAAACTGCAAAGGTAAAGGATAAATTAAAATGATTGTGACCGATTTGAAGGGGGAGGAGAATTGATGCGTCACGTTCAGTCAATAAGACAGTTCCGCATAGGATGCACCTCATGATGACTCCTCAGGAAGTCTCCTCACTCCTCGATCCTTGACTTCTCAAGGTCCAATTATAGAATTGGGATATCCTTGAAGATGGCGGAGCTCGTTCGGTTTCCGGGTCATAGGATGGAGGACGGAGGAGTAAGGAGACGAGGAGGGATATTGAGAAGCACCCGTTATCACTCACGCCACCGGCCTCGCGCTGCTCTCACGTCACTCGCCCTCGTCCTGCTCGCTAACTAGAGATTTTGTGTGAAATTAATTTCAAACTCTGGTGGCAGCTAACGTTAGCCTTGTAGATGAACGAGTGATTTCTCTGATGTTTTTGCGCCTTTCTGGATTAGTGGGTGTGCAATGTGGTGCATTGTGGGAGTTGTTGTCTTGCATACAAATGTGCCCTTCAGTTATTTTTTCTCGGTCAAGAGGGCACCAAATAAAAAAAATATTTTACATTTCGACTAGGCTATAAGATCCACTTTCAATAAAGATTAATGTTGAAATGGGTGAAATGCTTCTTTAACTAGCTCAGAGTGGCTAAATTTATCCAAAAAGAATATAAAACGTACTTCTAGGCATTCTGCAAGCTAATACTAGGTTAACAAAAAATACACAATTTTTCCAACCGCTGGTATGCTGAGAAGACAATTTTTTTGGATAGGTTTCCAGCTCAACAAAACAGCATGTGGTCAGCCATCTTATTATTCAGCCAATTCTCACCCCCAAGGCGTCACTTAACTGACGCCTTGGGAAGCATTTGGACATGCTTCAATATCTGACGCTTTAGGCGCCCTTTAGCGTCAGTTAGATGACGCCCTAGGATCGCGTGTACCCTACCCCCACCCCACACCTAAACCTAACCGCGTCCTCTAACTGACGCATTCCTTTAGCGTCAGTTAGATGACGCCGTAGGATCGCGTCATGTAAGTGACGCTAAAGGGCGCCTAAAACGTCAAATATTGAAGCATGGTCAAAGGTGACGCCTTGGGGTGAGAATGCGTTGTATTACTACCACTCTGGCACTTGTGAGTTCAATATTCATCCACTTGGTGTCTCTATGCAGGGGTCAGAAGCGACACTCTGGGCTTTTGAAGTTAAATTTGACTTGTTTGTAAATTTGTTTGTTCATTTTGGGTAGCAGCAATTAACAGCGAAGAAACCTTGAGAATTGATAAAGAGTATCTAACAAAGCAGTTCCGCGGGCGAACTGATTAGTTGAGGTGCGGTTAATTCTATTAAGGTATTCTGAAAATGAATAGCCCCTCTGCATATGATGTAAATTCTTAATTAATTATATTTCGTTATGTTTAATTGTCTATCTGAAGCAGACACGTGGGCTATATCCCCTTTTGGGTGATTTTTATATATGGTTATCTGGTTAAAATCCATATCCAATAGTTTTTGATCATAAATTAAGTATTGCATACGTATTCGGTATACCCCAAACCTGAGCTTGGTTCTTTACACAGTTCATGTTTTACTTACATAGAAGATTTATAAATAATGCATGTGTGGCGAGTGGACGATCAGCAAACAAGAGCATGCAACAGAAGTGCACGCTCTCTCTCTCCCATCAGTTAACATTAGTAATATGCCTCGTTTTCTTTGCCAAACTACAAACTACATTCGACTGATGTCTGTCTCACGCATCGCATGCTCAATCTACTGCTCTTTTTCTGCAAATCAGCTCATGCACCACAGCTATATAGGCTTTGCGATATTTTGTTTAATATATTCACATATTAGATGCATTTACTTCATAGACAGCCTTCTCTTTTACCTCCATTCTACTCTCTGCTGTCAGTGTTTCTTTGTCTGGACACAAACAATGTGGTATCGGTTGTTGGTATCGGAGCATTTTGACAAGAACATGAGCGCAGTATCGGGCCCCATATCGGTATCTATGCATCCCTATAGCCATAAATAATAGCCTTTGTGGCAAAGTGGACTGTGCACATTCACTTGTTTGAGTCTGTGTTGCGCCTTAATCCTATTCTGTTAGCAGCACACTTCCATGCATGCCGGTAACAGCAGCACTCTGTCTTGTAAAATACATTTGTTGTGCAATGTTAAAGTCGGCGTGAAACGTAAGTTGAGATTGTCATTTTTTCCTTGTCGTGACGTATATCCAAGTGAAACGGCTTCTGAAATTAGAAAAAAATGTAGGGCTGGGCTTGATTTCATCCTTCGGGAATTGATTGGATCGTTGGAGGTTGGACGTTGCAAACAATTTGAATGCGATTCTCTGAGAGGCGGTGCACCGATAGCCGCACCCTCATCGGATCTGGCCGCACCCTTTCGCCATTCTACGTGACCAAAAGAGAAGAGAGGTCGTTTCGATGGGAGAGGGAAGGGTAATGTATTTGATTAGACATTTTAAGGGTACATGAATTAAAAAAAAAAATAACGAAGTGCACCGATAAATCATTTATAATAAACACTGCAATATTACATATAAAAAGAAGATTTGTCAAATTTGATTTGATGCCGACTTTAAATCAACTAATAAATAAATTCCATCTTTTTCAACACGACTTTCCTGTCTATGTTCCACTTTCCTATAAAATAAAGACAAATGGTCCAAACGATTAATAAGCGAATGAAGAAATCATTGTGCCATAATGAAACAAGATACATTGAAACCACTTAATAAAGACAAGGACAGAATTTAGTGCTGAGAACATGCTTTATTGAATCATTAATACTCAAGGAGGTTGCATATAGATAATTCTACAATTCTACATAAAATCAAACCAAAGTCAAGGGCATTAAGATACTAAACTGTTTCTTTCTCATTGCACAGCAGGTGGTGTTACTGCGGCACACTTTCTTAATGTTTGCCCAACAAGTGACAAGGTGAATTCTAAAGCTAACACACAAACACACAATGATTCAAAGCAAACCTCCAAGAGGAGGCTCTGTTTCTGCAAGGAAGTACAAGATATACTTCTGTTATTGGCCAGGAGATGTTATTTTGAAAGTTTATTCGAGCAGTCCCTTGCCAGAAACAGAGCACATTAAACACTTTTGCTCATAAAGTGCAGGCCGCTCGCACCTTGAGCATGTCATTAAAATGGTGGTATGACATAGTCAGTCAGAACACAAGGCCTAGTCGCCCTGCTTACATGAGGGTAAAATGTAAACAGCACTCAAGGCCTTACATTCAAGTAACAATGCATAAGAGTATTTTTATAATATCACTGCACGAGTAAACGTGCAGGCATAACTTAGTCTCTCAGATTTAGTGTAACATCAACAGGGAGCCTCTCTACCTGTTGAGGCAATCTTAAGACTTCAACTTATTGTTGAGGCACAGAGTTTAGTTTCAGGTTTATCAGGGTATTCGTTCCATGTGAAACTTTCTCCTGATAAACATTTAGTTCCATTTGTTTCAGTAAATATTGTTATAAATAACAATTCATACATTTTCCATAACCGTTAAATTCGGCTATATACATTATGTACATGTCACAGAAAATTGGATCAAAAATCCTAAGTCATAATTATCCAATATGGCACATTTTATAATACTTTAGACTTTAGTCTAGATTGGCATAAATTAATGTCAGGTTTGGTATAAAAATAGTTTATATTTACAGGAACAGATATCCAGGTAACTTATCAAGATTTTTTTTTTTCATTTCATTTAAAAAAATACAAAGTCGCTTAATGAAGAAAGGGTTGGGGGTATAAATTATGGCTTTACTTTGATCGAATACTGATGGTAACAGTTGCCATGTCAGATCCATGCTCATTGGAAAGTTTGAGTGTGTAAGCCCCAGCATCACTCTCTTTCACACCAGTGATGATGAGTGTAGTCAGGTCTTCTGTGGTGTCAATATGGAACCTGCTACTTTCTTCCTCACCAGGCAGTTTCTTTCCACCGCGTGACCACTCAATACAAGGTGCTGGCTCTCCAGAGAAAGCACAGGCCACCGTTAGAACCTTTCCAGTTTCAATGCTGATATCTTCAGGAAGAGCTTCAATTCTTGGAGCTAAGCCTATTAAATATGAAAGGATTTAAATGATATTCTTCCATATTACAACATTATTTTACAAATTCTTATGCGTTTTTGTTATTAAACTGGTCCTTACCTTGAGCACTGTGGAGGGCTGCTCTAACTGAGGATTCTTCAACATGTGAATGACTTGACATTATACTGCTTGAGCTCATTGCATATACTGACTCTGATGTCATAGAGGATAAGCTAGACATTGACATAGTTTCAAATTTCATCTCAGCCATTGAAGAGCTGCTGAAGGATGCTTCTTGGATTGTGCTTTCCATGTGGGTGGATTTTGAAGTAAAACTTTCATGCATGGCGCTAACAGCAGCACTTTCCTTCTTAAGAATCATTTCACTCCCCCCATGTATTTGGGAAGAGACCAATTCTGGAAAAAAAGACAATAAATCATTGGCATTAAGAAGAATGGGCATCAAAACTAGGATGAGAATTTAATATAGGTTATGGGAAATTAAATTTACCTTGAACAACCTTATGTGTAGACACAAATGCAGTTACTTTTGTGTAGATTGATTGAAACACTTGACCAAGAAGTGAGAATGATGTTCTAGACACTGCTCCTCCTTCACTTATGATTTCACAGGAGTATTCCCCTTGGTCACTCTCAGAAACATCAGATATATAGAGACAGCAAGTTCCATCTGCAGATGAATGAATCTGGTAGTGACTACTTTGACTGAGTTTCCTGCTGTCCTTGTACCACACAACTTCTCTCACTGAGCTCTCCGCAACAAAGATCATCTTAATTTTATCTTCATAAGCTTCAGCTTTGAGTTGCTGAATGATCTTTGGTGGTGCTTCCTTTGGCGGGGCTGGGGATTTCACTGTAAGTGGGGATTTAACTCTTTTAGGTGACATGATTGGCTCAGGAGATTTGACTGTTGGTGGGGATTTAGCTCTCTGAGGTTCTGGAGACTTAAGGCCTGTAGGGGATTTAACTCTCAGAGGGGAGGCAACTGGCTCAGGAGACTTGATAGGAGGTGGAGATTTTACCCTGGCAGGTGAAGCTATTGGCTCAGGGGACTTCAGAGCTGTTGGAGACTTTACTCTTTGAGGGGTGGTTGGTTCAGGAGACTTAATAGGAGGTGGAGACTTTACCCTCTGAAGAGAGCCAACCGGCTCTGGTGACTTCACTCTGAATGGGGATTTGATACACTCCGGAGATTTAATTCGAGGTTCAGGAGATTTCACACCAGTGGGTTGTGGTGATTTAATTTGGGGTTCCGGAGACTTTACTGAGGGCACAGGAGATTTTAATGAAGGCACTGGAGATTTAACTGAGGGTACAGGGGATTTCACTAAAGGTTCTGGAGACTTTACTGATGGCACTGGGGATTTCACTGAGGGCTCTGGAGACTTTACTGATGGCACTGGGGATTTCACAGAGGGCTCTGGAGACTTTACTGATGGTACTGGGGATTTCACAGAGGGCTCTGGAGACTTCGCCGATGGCACTGGGGATTTCACAGAGGGCTCTGGAGACTTTACTAACGGCACTGGAGATGCGACTGTTGGCTCTGGAGATTTAACTGATGGCACTGGAGATGTCACTTGTGTAGGTGTAACTTCCTCTTTAAGTACTGGTTTGTGAATAGTCAATGTAAACCTTGCCTCTTGCTTTCCTTCTGAATTTTCTACTACTACAGTATAGCTGCCTTCATCAGAAAACTCAACCGATGAAATTTCAAAAGTAGACTTATACTGTGTTGTAGACACATGAATACGGTGTGAAGAGACAACTGTTCTTCCCTCATGCATCCATGTGACACTTGGTGCTGGCTCTCCATCAATATCACAGACAAATCGTGCAGAGTCACCCTCAGATACAGCCAGAGACTGTGGTTTTGTGAGTATTTTGGCTGAAAGAGTAGCTTTAACTTTCTTTACTGATACTTCAGCAGATGTTTTTTCTGATTCTTTTATCTTTGATTCAGATGACACATGTTTTTCAGATGTTGTATGTATTTCAGAAGATGAATATGAAGCTGATGATAAGTATTCAGTGGATGCATATCTAATTGGAGTTGATGCAAGCTTCTGAGATTCATATTTTTCAAAGGCAGAAACTTCACGTCTCTCAGATAGTTTTGTTTTGGTTTCTTTGATCTCCAAATGTGTTCTTGAGGCAGAGGAAGCTCTGATTGTTGTTGAATGATAATAATCAGTTTTTGTTATATCAGGTACAAATGGTGTCGGAGCCTCTTCGTCTCTCCGTCTTGAGGAGTACGTAGTAAACTCTCCACCTGAAACATCAAGAGTTCCATAGTCTGATGCCTCACCCTTTGAATTTGTGCAGACAACCCGGTATGTGCCACTGTCCTCTGCCTGACAGTCATTAATTTGGAGAGACAGAACTCCACTCATATTTGTGAACTGGTATTTGCTGCTCTCTTGTATTTGTTGTCCATTATGAAACCACTGGATATCCGCATCTGGCTTTGATTGAACATTCAAAGTGAATTTAGTGTTTTGACCACATGGTACACGGTGAGAACGCATTCTTACTGTGATACGTGGAGCATGGTCAAGACTGAAGGGTTGCTGAGTCACAACCTGGTACTTGCGCTCAGATTTGAGAGCTGCTTTTCTTGCTTCATATCTAGACATGATGTCAAATCTTGCAGACCTTTCAAATCTTGAGGAGGATCTGGAAGATCTTCTCTCAGTGGATACAGGACTTGGTGATCGAGGGCGTGTTCTCTCAGGGGTGGGCGATCTTCTTTCAATGAGTTCAACTTCAGTCTCAGTTGAGATGCGTGCACGGGGTTGTCTGATAAGCTCAGAGACAGGACGCATCAGTTCAATGTATGTTGGAGACAAGGATCTCCTCCTTCTCAAGAAATATGAAATGGGAGGAGGAGAGCCTTGAACTTGCTCAGTTTTTGTTACATGTTTGGTCTCTTCTACACGTCTCATTTCAGCTTTGTGAACAGGTTTTGGTGAGGCATGACGCAGTGCAGACAGCTCAAAGCGTACAGGGCTTCCACTGGGTGGGGAGGCAGAGAAGCCAAGTTCTAGTTCTTCTTCAAGCTCTTGCCTCTCTTTTTCAGTTCTCTTCATTGTCAGATAGTCCTCACCCTCGAGGAGCTCCTCATCAGAAAGATCTCCTAGTGAGCGTCTTCTCAGTCCGAATGATGCCTCAGATTCCGGGGATGGTGACCGCCTTGCTGGTCGAACAGTCTCTAAATCGTCTTGCGTAAGTTTTGGAATGCGCCACTTTGGTCTGTACTGATCAGTTATTCTAGGCAGTGGCATGACATAAAATTGCTCCCATCTGGAAAGACGAATACGCCTCTGTCTCTTCTGAACAATTCTTTCCATTCTCTCAGGAATCTCATATTGGTCACGCAGTTTCTTGTACCATTTCATGTCAGATAACGGCACAAAGTGTTTGATCAAGTTATCTTCACCAAGAACAGTTGGATCATGTGCACGGGCTTCAGGGATTTCATAAGGCATACGTATCTTCTTATCTTCTTCTTTTATTTTCTTTATTTCTTGATCCTCTTTATCAGAGATGTCAAACTCACCCTGCACATTCTTGGTGCTCACTGCAGGTTTATATAATTCAGCAGCTTCCTTCAAAGCCTCCTGTGCTACAGGATTGAGTGTAACAACCTCCGCCGTTGAGAACTGTTTTGCCATTTTCAGTGTCTTTTCTATTTGGTTTCTGACATATTTCTGCCTCTCTTCCTCATTCTTGAACTCCCTCCTTGTGTATGTCAGGCGTTCAACTTTGAGAGTAGCTTGACAACTTGCTGATCCAGCTGTATTTGTTGCAGTGACTCTGTATGTGCCTGAATCCTCAATGAGGGTTTCTCTGATATGTAGAACATGATAGTCTACGTCCTCTTGAACGACTTCAACTTGTGGTCTGAACTCAAGAGGTTTGCCATTTTTCTCCCATTTCAGAGTTGGTGCTGGGGTTCCTGATACTCTCAAGTCAAAGCGAACACTTTGCCCCTCAACACACTCAATATTGGCTAAGAGACGTTTGAACATTGGTCTCATAGTGTCCTCAGCAATTAAGTGTGGTGTCACAGTGAGACGTGCCTTGCAACTATCCTCACCAAACTTGTTGTTTGCTACAACAGTGTATTCAGCGTCATCACTGAGGTCAACATTGTGTATCATGAGTTGATAAAGACCCTTGTCACTTGTGAATGTGTATTTTTTAGGATCTGGTTTGATTCTGTGCCCAGCCTTTAACCATGTAACACTTGGCTCTGGATGGACTGTTATGGTTACACCAAAGCGTACATCTTCACCAATGTATGCTGCACGGTTGTATAATGGCAAAGTAAACTCTGGTGGCCTCTGCAAAATTTTGGTTTTGTCAATTCTACGCTTTGGTTTCTTGAGTGAGCGTCCCAGATAGTATTCACGGTGGGACCGAACAGTCTCAACAAACAACTCAGCATAAGCATTGTCCTCCCTGTCTTCACTGACAACCTTGCATCTATATAATCCATCATCGCATTCTTCAATGTCTTTAACATAGATGCTAGCAACTCCATTAGCATAACTGATTTCATATTTGTGGCTTGCAATCAGTTTGCGAGACCCAAAGTACCAGGTCACTTCAGTGTTTCTGTCGTAGTTTTCAATGCAGCAAACAAACCTGACATGTCCTCCCTCTTCAGCAGATCCATGCATGACAGGACCCGCTCTCAAGCCTTGTTCAGGATGTCCAACTTTCACTCTACCAATGGAAACATTTCTCTGGTTTCTGTAGCCACCACCATAGGCAACACGTGCTGCTGAAACAACAGTGCTCCATTCTTTTTTCACCAGGGATTGGTAGTATCTTCTGTGTCTCAAAGTCTTGATAACCTTTGAACTAATATGTTCCAATTTCATCTTGAGCCAAGGGTGCTCCAAAGCTTCTGAGGCAGTCATTCGTAGCTTTCTGTCTTTAGTCAGCAGTCTGTCGACAAAGTCCATACCCTCAATGCTGGTCTCTTTAAAGGCTTCACTATCAAACAAATACTCTGCATTTGAAATGTGCTCAACCATTTTCTGATGTGATTCAGCAGCAAAAGGATTAAGTCCGCTAAGGAGGACATATGCAAGAACACCCACAGACCACATGTCAGTGACAGTGGTGACAGAATCACTGTTGTGGATTTCAGGTGCATAGTACTCAGGGGCAGTGAACTGAATCCTGATGTTTTCTCCAGGTGTAAGCAATCTAGCTTGACCCATTTCAATTATCTTGATTGTATTGCTCTTCCTTGTGGAATAAACAATGTTATCAGGTCTGATATCAAAATGACAATAGTTGCGACTGTGGAGGAACTTCAGGGCTCCACAGACTTGTCTCATGTAACAAACTATTTCTTGCTCTGTGAGGTCAAAGTTTGTACCAAGGCGCTCAAAGATGTCCATACCAGACATGAATTCATAGATCAGGACATATTCTTCCAGGCTATCAAAGGACTCATGAAGATACATAATGTTTTTATGTCTTGCAATATTGAGTGTCTCAATTTCTCTTGCAACCAGCTCTCTATCTGCATCTTTAACTTTGATAAATTTAGCTAAGAATGTCTTCTTAGAGCTAATTTCAATACAGCGATGGACAATGCCAAACTGTCCATTGCGTGCAAGTTCCTCGGAGATTGTGTAGAGAGATGGCACAAGCTTGACTTTTGAATGTGGTGCCTCCTCATTTGTAACCGTTCTTGTTTCATCTACTTCTTCATCATAGTTTCTGATTGCTAACTTGTCTTCTTTTGTAGTCACAGGGTCCGTTGGTGCAGATGGATCACTCAAGCCAAATCGGTTTTCTGCAATCACGCGGAACTGGTATTTTGTTTTGCCAAAGAGACTCATCACGGTGTATTGGGACTCAGGAGTCTGAGCAACACGAATCCATCTGTCTCCAGTGGTAGGGCACTTTTCTATAATGTAATTGATAATTTCACTTCCTCCATCATTTCCTGGACTCCAATCAAGGGTGAGTGTATCTCTGCTAATATCACTGACTTTAATATCCTTTGGTGGATCAGGGACATCAGCAACATCAAGTTCAACTGTCTGCTTATCCGTGCCAAATCGATTTTTGGCACAAATTATGTAGTAGCCGGAATCTTTCCTTTGCACTCCTTTTAGGAACACCAGGGAGGTGAATGATCTTGTGAGAATGACTTGATGATATGCTGTATTATTAATAATCTCTTGTCCCTTTTGCCATGTGACTATTGGATCAGGTTTTCCACTAATTGGAATCTTGATGGTAACCACTTCACCACGAATGGCATGAACAGCTCCCATGCCTTGGAGATGTAATGGTAAGTAAATTTTGGCAGGAACTAGAAAAAAAAAAAAAAAAAAAGACAATTTAATATGGAATAGTAGTAGTGCAGAATGAACGTATAAAGATAATTCTTTTAAAAATTACTCAGGTTAAATAACATGTTAAAAAACAAACCACCTGAACTACTTACCCTCAACATCTAGGTTCATGCTTGTGGAGATTGATCCAAGCTGGTTAGTAGCTCTAATTTGGTAAACAGCTGCATCATTCTCATCAGCATTGCTGATAACAAGTTGGAAGTAACCCCCCTTGAATTCTTGAACCTTTATTTTCTCTCCATCGGGGGAAATTTCTTTGCCGTTCTTGTACCATTTAACCACTGGCTTGGGATGTCCAACAACCTTTGTGACAAATGTGGCATTTGCCCTGTATTTGACACACATGTCCCTCAATTCTTCCTTGAAGAATGGGGCACGGAGAGCTGTATCTGATTTTGGAATGACTGGTTCTGAAATCTCACTCCAGTTACTCTCTCCACCAATATTTTCACATTTGACACGGAATTCATATTCGAAACCTTCAAGAAGACCATTGACAGTGTAATATGTCTCGTGGATTTCTTCTGAAGTAACTGTAATCCATTTGTTCTGTTTCTTCTCTCTTTTTTCAAGGTAATAGTTCTTAATTTTGGCACCACCATCACTGGTTGGTGGTTTCCAAGAAACAACACATGAATCCCTTGTAACAGAAGAAACAAATGGCTGTTGTGGGACTCCAGGTTTCTCTGTTTGAAAAAATAAAGAGGATTAAATTGAATGGATTTGACAATCTATCCTTTTGTGTTTCATGCTAATTTATATATATATATATATATATATATATAGAAATAAAAATAAAAATGTAAATAAAAAATGTAAAAATGTAAGTAAATAAAAAAATTAAATAAAAATGTAAAAAACTGTTTTCAACATGGATTATAATCATAAATGTTTCTTGAGCATCATATTATAATAATTTCTGTAAGCATCATGTGACACTGAAGACTGGAGTAATAATGCTGTAAATTCAGCTTTGATCACAGGAATAAATTATACTTCACTATATATTCACATAGAAAACTGCTGTTTTAAATTGTAATACTATTTCACAATATTACTGTTTTTTTTAATTTAAGAGAGAGAGAGAGAGAGAGAGAGAGAGAGAGAGAGAGAGAGAGAGAGAGAGAGAGAGAGAGAGAGAGAGAGAGAGAGAGACTACTATTTAAAGACCACCAATTCATGAAACTTACCGAATGGACTCTTGATAATCACAACAGCTGGTATTTCAAGAGATTCACTTATTCCATACTGATTCTGTGCAGAAACCCGGAAGTAATATCCCGCACTCTCAATGAGGTTTGGAACACGACATGTGGTTCCTGGGATAGCTGAAGACACAAGATGCCATTGCTCGCCCTCTTTTGCTTCACGTTTCTCTACAATGTAATTTGTGATCATTGATCCACCGTCATCCTTAGGTGGTTTCCAGCTAATGATCACAGCGCTCTTCAAGAGAGCATCAACAACAATTGGACCTTCAGGCATGAGAGGTTTATCTGAAAAGTCAGAGAGAGTATTTTTTTTACATTTGCAAATTTCACACAAACAAGTCTATTGGTATTTCAGTGTTTATCTGTTTAAAAATGGACCTTAATTTACCTTGGATTTCAACACGGAGGGTAGTTTCCACTGTGCCAAATTTGTTGCTCATTTGTACCTTATATCTTCCAGCATTGGTCTTACGCTGGACATTTCTGATTACTAAGTGAGTGTAACTTTCTGTGTTTTCAATTATTACATTCTCAGATGGATTGAGAGGCTTCTTGCCATAGAACCACATTATTTGTGGAATAGGGCGACCAATGTAGACGACATGGAGACGTAGGCTTGTTCCACAACCAGCATAGTATTTCTCCTTCAATGGGAATCCAGGATGGAATTGCGGTGCAGCCTGCAATAGAAGCTTGCCACTAGTCTCAATTTCACCTGCCTCATTGACGGCTCTGCATGTGTACATTCCCTCATCTTCTTGTTCATCTGTTGACACTGTTATAGAGTGGTTTCGGCCATCAGAGCTCATCTTGTATTTTCGACTTTGGATCAACTCCTTTCCATATCTATACCACTTAATTTCAGGAAGAGGTCTTCCAATAATTTGGCATGTCAATGTTCCAGATTCTCCTAGTTTAGTGGTAGTATCTTTAATTTCCTCTTTCAGGCATGGAGCCTCTCCAACTAGAGGATCAATTGAACATGTTAGTCACGTTGCATACTTTGTTAATGTATTTTTCAGAGAAGTAATTTTATTAACTTACCACTCAGTTTTGTTTTAATGCCCATTGCTGTTCTTCTTGGTCTACTCAGTCCAGTTTCATTTTCGGCAAACACTCTGAATTCATACTCTGTTGCTTCCATGAGTCCACCCATGGTAAACTGTCTATCCTTGGAACGCTCTTTGTTGCATTTCTTCCAGGCACTTTCCCCTGCTTGCCTGAATTCAATCCAGTACCCAAGGATTTCTTTTCCACCATCGGATTCAGGACGCAACCAGTGAATGGTTATGCAGTCCTTGGCTATAGAGATGATGTCAATCTCACCGGGTTGGCCTGGTTTATCTGTTGAACACAAAGGATTAAGGATGTAAAAATAATTTTGTTTTTATTTAGGAAATGTATTAACTTTGGAAGTGAGAAGAGAGAGTTACATACCAAATGGATCTTTGCAAACAACTGACTCAGATACAGGTCCAGGCTCACTTTGACCAATATCATTTTGAGCAACCACACGGAACTGGTACTCTGCATCAGGGATGAGACCAGTGAGAGTATACATTGTTGTCGTGATATGCGTCTTGTTGTGACGCACCCACTTCTCAGTGGAAATCTCTCTTCTCTCAACATAGTATCCAGTGACACGAGATCCACCATCATCCTTGGGTCTTGACCAGGACAGGCCAATTGCGTTCTTTGTAACATCCATGATTTCTGGAGGGAAACTAGGAGGTTCTGGTGGAGCTTTATGCAAAAAGAATAAAACAATGTACAATAATTAGTGTGATTTTCAATCATTTAAAAGTGGTTAAGAAAAACAACAACAACACATAAATAAATATATAAAAATGCTTACAAAGAGGTGTCTTTGGTGTTACAGATTCATCAGATTTGAGGGATTTGCTTATACCAAACTGGTTCTCTGCTGTAATCTTGAAGTGATATTCAACATTTTCCTTCAGTCCCTTGACCACAAGTGATGTATCAACCACACGTGAGTCCACAGTGTACCAAGCTGCTTTTGGCACCTCTCGCCTCTCCACAATGTAACCAAAGATATCAGAGCCACCATCATCTGAGGGCGGTCTCCAGCTCACTCTGACCGAACGTGCCTGAATATCATCAAATTCAAGAGGACCCTCTGGTGGATCTGGCCGTCCAATTACTTTGACCTTAATATAGGCAGCCTTCTTTCCACATTTGTTTTCCAACACAAGGTCATAGGTGCCTGTATCATCTCTGTGGGCCTCCTTGATCACAAGTTCAGTACGTTCTTCACTGGTTGCAATCATAGCTCTGTGAGAAATGTCATGACCTTCCTTTGTCCACTTGCATGTTGGGAAGGGCTTGCCCTTGATGGGCACAGATAATCTAATGACACCTCCTTGTCTGACAACATAGGCTTCCTGGTAGATTTTCTCCAACTCATAATCAGGATATTCTGAAAAGATAATAAAGTTCTTCCATTACAAAAATGCACTGCCATATACATGTATGACAGAATAATACGGTTTGTATGTGTACATATGTTTATAATAACACATTTTTACTCCCATTGTTAGGTAATTCCTCTTACCAAGCATTTCTGTAACTTTGACCACTCCTGGAATCTCAGCTGGTTCTCCAGCTCCACCAGCATTACATGCCAACACACGGAACTTGTATTCAGCTCCCTGGGGCATATGTGTCAGGGTGTATTCACAAATCTTTATTGGTGTTGTGTTGCATTTTGTCCATTCAACCTGGTCAACCTTCTGCATCTCAATCAGATAGCCAGTTATAGCAGCACCACCCTCTTCCTCTGGAGAAGACCAGGCAAGCGAAACTGATGTTCTTGTGGTATCTGTGACTCTTGGGTTCAGTGGAATACCAGGAGGCTCTGTTTAAGAGGAAAGTTGAACACATTGGTCATGTTTGGTCTACTGACAACTGATTTACTTAAATTTTTACAAGCTTGTTTTGTTCCGTTGTACATACCGATAGGATCCATTGCAATAGTTGGTTTAGAGTTTGCACTTGGTTTTCCGGTTCCTCTAGAGTTGATAGCGGTCACTCTGTACTCATATTCAAGGCCCTCAATAAGTCCTGTGGCTCTGTATCTTGTCATGGTAACTGGATTCTTATTGATGGGAAGCCATCTGTCGGACGCAGCCTCTTTGCGCTCAATAATGTAGCCAGCAATAGTAGAACCACCATTATCCTCAGGTGGTGTCCAAGTAAGGGTCATGCCATCATGAGACACATCAAGTATTTCAGGTGTGCTCGGAGCTCCAGGTACAGCTACAAAAAAGGATATGAGACTAACTTAATACTTTCATTTTTAAATGACATAAATATAAATAGAAAGCACCTGAAATAGGTAAAAAAAAAAACGTACTTTTGACACTCTTGCACTCAACAACTTCAGATTGCAAGAACCCGCCGATACCAAAACGATTTGTTGCAGCCACACGGAATACATATTCAGTTCCCTCCACAAGTCTTGTAAACTTGAACATGGGTCTTGTGACAGATTCAGACACAGGCATCCATCCAGGTCGATGTGCATCACGCTGCTCAACAACATAGCCACTGACATTTGCACCTCCATCTTTCTCTGGTGGTTCCCAGCTGCAGGTGACAGATGTTGCATCAACCTCATCAATTTTCATAGGCCCAACAGGTACTCCAGGTTTATCTAGGAAAGAAATATATTTGGTCAATTTAAAAAAAAAAAAAAAACTTAATATAGCTATATACCTGTAAAACCTGCAAGGAAATTTAAAATTTAAAATTCTCACCAAGAATGATAACTTTGATGACCTCAGATGCTGTTCCAGTGACATTTTTCACTTCAAGAGAATAGTCACCAGTATCATCAAGTGTGGATTCACGGACTGTCAATTTGGTAAATTTAGCAGTTGTCTCAATCTTGATGCGGTCAAGCTTGTCCTTCATCTTGACTCCACCAAAGAACCATGAACAGACTGGTATGGGTCGACCTTTAATGGGAATGTTGAGCACAATTGGCTTACCAGCTGGCACATTGACAATCTTTTGTGGGATGCCAGTCAAATCAATTTTGGGCATGGCTGTAATGAAAACAGAAATAACAATAATTAACCTTTCAAACAGACAAATTATATGAAATTTTTACTGTTTTCCTCATTTCAGCAGTTTTTAATGATATCCTACCTCTCTGTTCTTGTATTGTTACAGGTGTCATGAGATCTCTGGGCTCACTGACACCTCTGCTATTTTTAGCTCTGATTCTGAAGAGATATTGCTCATTTTCATTCAGCGAGACAATTGTGTGCTGCAGCACAGATGATTTCACATTAGCAACATTCATCCAGCGGTCACTTCCAGTTTTGCACGCTTCAATGACATAGCCAGAAAGTCTGCTGCCACCATCGTGAAGCGGTTTTTCCCATCCAAGTATGACAGTAGACTTTGTGGTATCAATGACACACAGATCTTGAGGAACAGATGGAACTTCACAAACCAGTACAGCATCTGTAATTTCACAAGGTTCTCCAATACCATATATGTTCTCTGGCAATACTCTAAAGAAGTAATGTGTTCCTTCTTCCAGCCCAGTGATTCTGTATAATGTCTTCTTGCATTCTGTTGTCACCGTTTGGTAAGATTTCATTGAGGCTTCACGCTTCTCAATTATGTAGTTGTTGATGTGAGCACCTCCATCAACAGTAGGCACATCCCATGTGATTACAACAGACTCTTTTGTGTAATCTTTGACCTTTACTGCAGCACATGGTCCAGGAGTATCTACAAGACAATTTTTTAAACCGTTTTAAGCATTGGTTACAAACAAGTTAGCCTATTTAATATAAGTGAATGCAGAGTATTCATTATTTACTGCATACATTTACTTACCATAAATTTTGACTAGAATGGTAACTATTTTCTTGCCAGATGGATTCTCTGCCTCTATTGTGTATTTTCCAGCATCATAACGATGTACATTCTCCACTATTAAAGTTGTTGTGTTTTCTGTAGTATCTATTAATCCTCGGGATTGTAGGTCAATTCCAGGCTTTCTCCAGGTAACAACTGGTGCGGGCCTTCCATTTGTAGTAGCATGAAGACGTAAAGTGTTGCCAGCTCTGATGCAAATTGTTTTCTTCAGTTCATCAGGTAGTTCAATATCAGGAATTTCTGAGAAGACAACAGATTTTATGCAGTAATTCCACAAAAAAATTAAATAAAATAGCCCTTTAGGAGCAGAAATTAGTTTGACCATTAGTGGTGGGAAGGAACGCGAGGTCCTTGCACATCACTGTTGACCATAATTTTTTTTTTTTTAAAACTTACCAATTCTTTCTGAGGGTGCAGCATCAATACTGCCTTCACTGAATTCTCCAGTACCCATTTTATTGACAGCAGCCACTCTGAAGCTGTACTTTTTGTTACTTGCCAGACCAGTTACTGTGTACTCGGTACTGATCAAGGTCTTCTGGGTGGCTCTATACCATTGCTCTGTTCCCTCCTCCAGAATTTCAACAATATAGCCTGTGACATCAGATCCGCCATCATACATCGGCCGTGTCCATGTCATACTAATACTGTGCTTTGTGGTGTCTGTAATACGGGGAACTGATGGTGGAGCTGGGGTATCTGTAAAATGACAGGACAGGTTAGGCGTGTTAATATATTCTTTTTTTTTTTTTTAGAAGGGGTAGATGTAGGTCAATGTTACTCACATGTTGGGTCTTTACAGTGAGCATACTGAGATGCATCACTTGGAATGCTGGTGCCAGCGGCATTGACGGCTGCAACACGGAATTGATAATCGCTTCCCTCAATGAGACCAGTGATCTTGAGGCGTGTATCATAAATGGTGTAGGTTTTGTTCACTCTTGTCCATCTGACACTGCTCGTCTCACGTTTATCCACAAGGTAGTTTTTGATTTCACTTCCACCATCACTCTCTGGCTTAAGCCACTCAATAATGACATGTTCTTTTGCAACAGCAGTGATCTCTGGTGCTCCAGGAGGTTTTGGAACAGCTATAATGTAAATGACATACTAATGTTATTATTTTATCCTTGGTACTGTAGGTAAACCTCAATTAAAAATGGAAACACTAATACATAATAATTGTAATTAATCTTACTGTATGCATTTCTTGCAATAACTGGTTCAGACTCAAGGGGCACACCGGGCCCGTATTTATTTACACCTCTGACACGGAAAATGTACTCATTGTCCTTGATCAGTTTTGTGCTGACACAAGACAGAGTCTTGCATTCATTTTCCATGATGACCCAGTTGAGTCTGCTGGTCTCACGTCTTTCAACAATATAATGAGTGACAAGATCTCCACCATCATTTGAAGGTATCTTCCAGGAAACTGAACATTTCTCTTCTGTGACCCTGCTGATTGTTATTGTTCCATCAGGTGGACCAGGTGAATCTTAAAAATAAAAGATTTTCTCATTAAATATACAGCCAATAAATGTTTGGGTTTTTTTTGTGTGACTGAAACATGTGATTTATTATGTTCTTACCAAGTACTTTAACATTGACAGCAGCTGTTTTGATTCCACTTGCATTCTTCACAGTAAGGATGTATCTTCCAGTATCATTTCTATCACACGACTTAATGATCGCCATCGCTCTTGTACTTGTGTACGTCAGCGAATATTTTTCTCCAAGATCCAGCTCCTTATCACCCTTGGCCCAAAAAACCTTAGGCTCTGGTTTTCCACCAACAGCAGCATCAAGAACAAGGTCTGATCCTGCTCTAATAGTGATTGTCTCACCCACAAGTTTACTGTCAAGCTCAGCCTTTGGTGGTGCTGTAATAAATGAATAGCATATATTAATACATATTCAAAACACTATATGTTTGTTTCTACACATAATGTAAGAATGCATCATCAATTAAGGAAACCATCTCACTATATTCATCTTTGCATGTGATAAATCCTGTCGATTCAGATGGCATACTATGGACTCCAGCACCATTTTTGGCAATAACACGGAATTCATACTCCTCTCCCTCATGGAGTGATGTAATAGTGAAGAAGTTTTCTGTGATTGTAGTATAGTTGCACTTTAACCAACGAGCATCTTCATCATCACTGGATGCCCTGCGTTCAACAACATATCCAACAATCTTGCTGCCACCATCATTGAATGGTATAGACCATTTAATAGACACTGAGGTCTTGGTTACATCATAAACCTCTGGTTTGCCAGGTGGATCTAAAAATGCAGACAAAAACATGTGATAAATATTAAGCCATGAATAAAAATGAAAGTAGAAAGCAACAAACTACTTACCAACTGGATTTAGAGCCAGCACTGGCCTTGATGGTTCACTTGCTTTACTCAAACCAGCAATGTTCATTGCATATACTCTGAACTGATACTCAAGGCCCTCAATAAGGCTGGAGACCTTGTAGTGACACTCAAGGCAAGGAATCTTGTTCTCCCTCACCCACAGAATGGTATTACGCTCTTTCTTCTCAATCCAGTATCCAGTTATTTGGCTTCCACCATCATGATATGGCACATCCCAGCGGATAGAAATTGCATTAGCAGACACTGAAACTACATCTGGGCGAGTTGGTGGGCTTGGTGAAACTGAAGACAGAAACATAACATTTATCAGACAGGAGACAACAAAAATCAATACTGAATTGTTTATGTACCATTTCATCAATGGATAATGTTATATACAGTACCAAATACTTACTGAATGGATGCTCAGCAACAATAGTTTGAGATTCAATTGACTTGCTAACACCAAACTTGTTCTCAGCGCAGACTCTGAAAGTGTACTCCATGTACTTAGTGAGATGAGTTACTTTGATGGTGGTCCGTTTCACACTTGAATTCACAACCTGCCATGTGGTGGAGCCCGACTCGCGTTTCTCAACAATATAATTGGTTATGTCTGTTCCACCATCATCTGTAGGTTCTTCCCAAGTCAACACACAGGATTCTGATGATATTCCTGAAACCTTAACAGGTCCAGTTGGGGGGGTCGGTCTACCAAAGACAACGACGGTGACAGTGAATGTCTTTGATCCAGCTGCATTTTCAAGCGTGAGATAATACTTTCCACTGTCACCTCTCTTGGCATCCTTAACCAGTAGAGTGGTTCTGCCTTTGGAAATCTTAATTGACACTCTGTCTGTTTCTTTGAGTTTCATTTCTTCAAGTTTCCATGTTACCTTGGGTGCCGGTCTGCCACTGATTGGAATATCAATGGCAAATGAATTTCCAGTTTTGCAAGTGATGAGCTGTTTATCTATGCCGCTGAGATCCGCTGTTGGCTCAATACGTGGCTCCTTTATGATGACAGAGGCTAGTGCATCTCGTGGATGACTAATGCCAGCATCATTCTGAGCCTTGACACGAAACTCGTATTCTGTGTTCTCAACCAAGCCTTCCAGAACCATTTTCAGAGATTTAGTTTGACCACCTACAACCCAGTGATCAGAGCCCTTCTTTCTAGTCTCAACAATGTATCCAGTAATACGGCTTCCACCATCATGCTCAGGTTTCATCCATACTAAGCTGGCTGTTGAGGATGTAGTATCAATGATATCCAGTCGCTTAGGTGGTGCAGGCTCTTCTGTGGCTACAATAGGCTCTGTCATTTCAAATGGCTCACCTTTGCCATGTTGATTTACAGCGATAACCCTGAAGAAGTATGAAACGCCAATCTCAAGGTTGGTCACTCTCAGGATTTGACGTGTGCACTTTTCACTGACCCCTTGCCAACTCAATCGACTTGCCTCTCGCTTCTCAACAATGTAGTGATGAACACGTGCACCTCCATCATTGGATGGTGCATCCCACATGAGTGTCAAAGCACCTCTTGTCACATCCTTGAATGAGAGAGGTCCTGGTGGTCCAGGTGTGTCCAACACTTTGACTGTTAATGTAATAGCTTTACGACCACTGTTGTTTTCAAGAGAGAGTGTATATTTTCCAGCATCATACCTGGTGCAATTTTCAATTGTCAAAGTGCTGTATGTGTCTGTGGTATTAATATCCACCATTACGCCAAGATCTCCATCTGCCTTTGTCCATGTGGCAAGTGGGGCTGGCTTTCCACGGAAGGGAATGTGAAGTGTGACTGTTCCACCGTTCTTCACAATATGTGTCTGCTTGAAGTTTGCATCTATATCAATTTCTGGTGAAGTCAGTCTATCAACAGTTTGTACTGCATTGGGAATCTCAGAGAATTCTCCCTTGCCAGCACCATTAACTGCACAAACACGGAATTTATACTCTTCACCAGGTTCTAACTCTGTTACTTTGTAATGTGTATGGATGCAAGTCTGATTGTTGACTCTGTGCCATTCCTCAAGACTTGCCTTGCACATCTCAATAATGTAACCAATGATTTCCATGCCACCGTCAAATACTGGTTTTGTCCATTCCAAAGTAACAGATGTCTTTGTGGAATCAATGACCTTCACTAAAGATGGTGCACTGGGTGCACTTGTTGGTTCTCTACACTTGAACAATCTGGATGTACCACTTGCAGGTCCAATTCCAGCCCCGTTTTCAGCCATAACACGGAATTCATATTCATTTCCTTCTGTAAGATTTGTAACTTTTTGCCTTAGTTCAGTTATTGGTCTCTTTGCGGAAACCTTCAACCATCTTAAGCTCTTTTTCTCTCGTCTTTCAAGAATGTATTGCTTAATCTCATTTCCTCCATCATGTCTTGGTCTTGTCCAGCATAGAGTGATACTGTTTCCTGTCACATGAGTGCAGTCAGGTGTTCCGGGAGCATCTGGTACCGCTGTTAGATATCAAAAAAGAATGTGTTAAAGTCAAGAATAACCAGGAATAAATTAGAAAATGATTGGATCAAGAACAACTATTTTTACTTACTGTACTGCATTTGAGCAATGATTGGATCAGACTCTAGTGGCTTGCCCACACCAAATTTATTGACAGCAGATACACGGAACTGATATTCATTGCCTTTGATCAGATTTGTGGCATTGAAGGAGCAGGCGTCACACTTAGATGTTACAAGTGCCCATGAAATTCTGGAAGTTTCACGCTTCTCAATCAAATAATTAATGATAGGTGCACAACCATCATTTTCAGGTGGGCTCCACCAAAGAGTTGCTTTCTCTGCAGATATATTTGTGAAGCGAAGAGGGCCTTCGGGTGGTCCAGGGGTATCTGAATAACAGAGAGGGGAAATAAGCAACGACTAAATCCAGAACAACTTTATTAAAACTATAAATCAAAATTGATTTTAGATTATACCTTGTACTCTGACAAGAACATCCACTTTTGTTGTGCCAGAACTGTTCTTGGCCTCAACTGTGTAGATACCACGGTCATTGCGGTCAGCATCTCTGATGAATAGTGAGCTTGATCCAATAACAGTTGTGATGTCAACCAGCATTTTGTCTACTTCCTTTCCATCTTTATACCATGTGACTTGAGGTACAGGACGTCCACTTATACTGCAGCTGAGTTTAATGTTTTCTCCTGCCTTGATGGTGAGGGTCTTCTCAGCTTTAAACTCAATCTCAGGGATGACTGAAAAAGAAAATGTTTGGGGGGTATTGAGAAATGTTTTCTAAAAGTCGAACAACTTCTAACTCTACATGGCTTTCTAAACATGCGGTTCTCTAGGTTAACAAAAACTTTAAAACGCAACAATGATTCTAACATCATCATCGCCTCTTGTGCACCACTGATAAGGCTGCCTGACACAAACCTAAAATTTAAACACACTGCTTTTTTTGCATTTGAATTTTTTATTTTTAGAACAATATTTGAAATTTGAATTAAAATTTTACAGCCCTAATGTAGAACAATTTATAGTGAATAATGCCTTTGTAATTACATACCACTTTCATCCTTGGTCATGATGTAGCCAGATGACTGAGAGGGTGGACTAACCGTTCCAATAGCATTCCTGGCAATTACCCTAAATTCAAATCGATCACCAGCAGCAAGACCTGTTACTGTAAACTGACATTCGCTGATGTCAATGAAATTGCATCTCAACCAACGTGCTCTTCCTTGACGCCTTTCAACACTGTATGCCACAATTCTACTTCCTCCATCACGTTTTGGTGGTTCCCATTGAAGTGTTACAGTGTCTCTTGTAACATCAATGCAGTTAAGGGAGCCAGGAGGATCTAAAGAAAAAAAAGATATTTGGAAGAGAAGAAAATAAGGAACTTTGGCAAAAAGATACATTCTGTGAAGTAATTAACCATAAGCATTAACAAAAGCTTATCGTGGATGAATGTTACAAACAACAATACTAAGACTTACCAACAGGGGAAATTGCCAGTTTGTGTTTGCTCTGTTCACTGACTGGACTCATGCCGGCATTGTTTTGTGCATAAACTCTGAATGAATACTCCAGTCCCTCAATAAGTCCAATTGCTCTGTATTCTCGTCCAGAGATAACACTGGAATTCACTTTCATCCACAATAAGCTGTTCCTATCTTTTTTCTCAAGATGGTATCCAGTGATTGGAGAACCGCCATCAAATCCTGGAGCATCCCACTGAACAGTCATGCCATCACTTACAACATTGAATACTACAGGTTTTCCTGGTGGACCTGGTGGCATATATTGGTGTTGAGCAACCACATCTGTTGAGGTTAGAGGCTCGCTCACTCCATATTTGTTCTCTGCACGTACCCTAAATTGGTATTCAGTACCCTTAATCAATTTTGTTATCTTGAATGTGTTCCTGACCACACTAGAGCAAACCATCTTCCATGCTGCTTGAGATGTCTCTCGCTTTTCTACACTATAGCAGGTGATCTCTCCTCCACCATCTTCCTGGGGTTCATCCCATGAGATGATAATACTCTGGGCTTTAATTTCATCAAAACGGATTGGGCCTATAGGCTGGGATGGTGGCCCAAGAGTAATCACTTTGATGTCAAAGAAGTTCTTGACAAGTTTGTTATCAAGGACCAAGGTGTATTTTCCTGCATTGTCCTTTCTTGCATTTCTTACAATGAGACTTGCCTTGTTTTCTGTTTGCCTGAAACGAACTTGCTCGCTTTCCTTGAGTGGAACATCATCTTTCATCCACTGAATAGTTGGTTTAGGTTTACCTTTGAAAGGCAAGTCAATATTTACATTTTGTCCAATGCGAACGCTTAATTCTGCGTTAGGATAGTCAATAAGGTTTGCCTCAGGTGGTATAAGGAACTCCTTTACAGTAATGGGTCCTATTTGAGAGAAGTCACTGCGACCCTTCTCATTTTTGGCAAATACTCTAAAGTACATTTCTGCAAGCTCTTTAAGGTGTGTTACCTCATAGTGGCAACATCTACATGTACCACCAATGCTCCAGGCTTCTTCTTCCTTTGTCTTCTTCTCAATAATGTACTCAGAAATGTGGCTGCCACCATCATGATCAGGCTTGGTCCATGCCAAAGATACAGATGTATTAGTTGAGTCCACCAGTACAACATCTTTTACAGCACCAGGCATCTCAGTTGCTCTCACAGGTTGTGCAGTCTCACAAGGATCACCAACACCATATTCATTTTCAGCAGAAACACGGAAGAAATAGGAAATTTCTTCTGAAAGACCATCAACTTTGTATGTTGTATTGGCACATTCATTTGTCACAATGGTGAATGCCTTCATTTTAGCATCCTTCCTTTCAACTATGTAATTTGTGATTGAAGAGCCACCATCAATATAAGGTGGTTCCCAGCTTAGTGTGAGTTTACCTCGTGTTACATTCTTCACGATCAATCTATTACAAGCAGAAGGTGTGTCCAATACTTTAACAGACACAGTAATGGTTTTAGGCTCTCCGACCCCATTTTCAATTTCAAGAAGGTATTTGCCAGTATCATCCCTCGTGACTTTGGGAATGATGAGTGTAGTTGAGTATTCGGTGTTTTTGATGGCATATCTTGTATCACCACTAATGTTCTTGTCTCCCTTTCTCCATATTACATTTGGAGCAGGTCTACCCTTAAGAGGGATTACAATCTCCACATCTCTACCAGACTTTGCTATGTATTGAGTTGACATTGACATGTCAAGATCCACATCTGCCTCCTCTGTTAAAATGAAAGAACATATTTGATCAGGTTCACAGTATCATAAAATAATTTCAATCAGGTTTTTTATTGCTTCAGACATTTAGAAAGTACAAACCCAGAATATCTTTGGCTTGCACTGGCTGCATCATCTCAATTGAACGTCCAGATCCAACACAATTAACAGCAGAGACACGGAAGAAGTAGTACACTCCAGGTTTCAAGTGGGACACTACAAACTCAGTTGTCCTTACTTCTCCTTTAGAACTTATAGTCACCCATTCTGTCTCGTCAGCCATTCTTTGTTCGACAACGTAGCTTGTGATTTCACTGCCACCATCATAGACAGGCTTCACCCATCTAAGGGTAATGGATGTCTTTGTTGAATCATCAACTGTGAGCTTGGTTGGCTCACTTGGTGGATCTAAAATAACAATTAGTAAATGTAAATTTTGTTTTAAATATAATTACATACTTTGCACATAATCAATGCACATTCAGGAAAATAAAACAATACAAATAAATAAAAAAAAGCTTACCAATTGGGTCATAAGCTTTGTAGAAAATCGACACATCAGAATATGGGCCTGCGCCAGCTTTGTTGATTGCACAGACACGATACTGATATTCATTTCCTTCTGTGAGGTTGCTGACTTTCTGTCTGGTATCACGAATTGTATCTTTAACAACCTTGAACCACTGTAGACTTTTCTTCTCGCACTTCTCCAAGTAATATCCATCAATGTCACTGCCACCATCCAAACTTGGTCTTTCCCATACCACAGTCATTGTTGATCTTGTAATCATAGTGACTTCTGGTTTAGAAGGCTGACTAGGAGGAACTGTTGGGCAAAATGAATCATATTGGGTTACAATTTAAATAATAAAAAAATATTAGATTATTTAAATAATGAAAAAAATTGATTATTTAAAAAAAAAAATCTTACCGAAGGAATTCTGTGCAATTACTGGTCTAGATTCCAGAGGATCTCCGACTCCATATTTGTTCACACCACGAACACGGAATATGTATTCGTTGCCCTTAATTAGCCTTGGGACTGTGACAATGCAGTCTTCTAGTTTTTCTGAGATAATGGACCACAAAATTCTGCTTGTCTCACGTTTCTCCACAATGTAGTGGGTAACCATTGCACCACCTTCGTCAGCTGGAGGATCCCACATGATGGTCATAGTATCTGCTGTGATTTTCTTGAACTCTATGTCTCCAGCAGGGGGTCCTGGTTTGTCTGATGAAGGTGAGCAAAAATGTAGCAAAAAATGTTGAAATTATGGCTATCAAAACGAATAAATTAAGACATGCAATAAATTCAATGTATTTAATACAGCTATTTTTTTTCTTGATTCCTTAAAAGTAAAATAACTATGTAATAACATATAATTTAAAAATAAAATGATTCATGTAAATAGTGTTAGATTTAATGCAAGTTATTAAACAATATTTAGCAGTATACTTTGCAACATACCTTGGACAAGCACTCTGACAGCAGCATACGCTGAGCCTAAAGAGTTCTTGATCTTAAGTTCATATGTTCCAGTATTCAAACGTGTGGCTTCCCTGACTGAGATGTATGCAGAGTCAGTGGTGTTGGAGATAGAAATCTGACCTCCAGACTCTAGCTCTTTTCCATCCTTGTACCATTCAATTGTTGGTTGAGGTTTAGCAATAATACCTATTTTAAGCTGAACTGTAGCACCCGCTTTGTATTTTACAACATCAAGATATTCTTGAGGAAGTTCAATCTCAGGGGCACCATAAGTGTCCACGCATTCGACTGGTCCGACAGTTGCTGATGGGTTACTAATGGAGCCAACTGCATTCTTAGCCATGACCCGGAATTCATAAGATTCATTCTGAGTCAAGCCTGATACAGTGAACTTTGTGTCAGTAACATTTGTCAAATTAGCTTTTGACCATCTGCCTTTTGGACCATCTTTACTTTCAATCAAATATCCAGTAATTTTACTTCCTCCATCATATGAGGGTTTCTGCCAGGCAAGGCTAATTGAACTCTTTGTGATATCAGTGACTCGAAGGTTATTTGGAGGTTCTGTGGGGGAAGAAAACAGTGGTAATTAATGTTAATTATAGAATTTTCTCAGTGGATTAAACTATAATTATTAATACTGATGGTTCAAGTATATGGAACAATCAATTTAAAGGGAGCTAAATGCTTACCACATGAATCAATTGCAAGCACAGGATCTGAGGGCTTGCTTACTGGACCAATACCAGCAGCATTTTCAGCTGCAACCTTGAACTCATAGATCAGACCAGCGCTCACATTTGATACTTTGAAGTGTGTAGCACGGATAACAGTTGTGTTAACTTTCTGCCAAAGAATGCTATTTCTGTCTTTCATCTGAAGGTGATATCCAAAGACATGGCTTCCACCATCTGAAGATGGCTCCTTCCAGTCAACAGTAATACTTTCCTTTGTTACTGCTGATACCCTTGGTTGGGAAGGTGCCACGGGGAGTGCTGAAACAAAATGTCATAAGTTTTCATAGATGCTTAATGGGGATATATTTGTATACCAATTTGCTGCTTATGATGTAGAGAAGCATTTTACTCACTGTATGGAAGACTGACTGTAACAGTCTCTGAATCAATGTGCTCACTGATGCCAAAGCGATTCTCAGCCCTGATTCTAAACTGGTACTCAATTCCAGTAATCAACTTCATGATCTTGATTGAGCACCTTGCAACAGCAGATGAGACTTCTATCCAGTTTGCAGTAGTCATCTCACGTTTGAGAACAATGTAGTTGGTGATTGGGCTACCACCATCATATGCGGGAGGCAACCACTTCAGATTGACACTGTCCTCTGTGACATCATAAATTTCAACAGGGCCAACTGGAAGACTTGGTCTGTCAAGGACCACAATATTTATAAAAGACTTTGTGGTCCCACTGGAGTTGGAGGCTGTGATATCATATCTTCCTGCGTCCGCAGCAACACACTCACGTAAAAGAATGATAAGGGAGTCAGTTGTCACATCAGAGTTAAATCTCATGGTTGACTTTAGAACCTGTCCATCCTTAGAGAGGGATACTTTTGGTAATGGTTTACCACTGAGGGGGATCTCAATCTTCAGATTTGAACGTGCTTTAACATAGGCAGTGTTGTGCTGGAAGTCCTTCATGCTAATTTCAGGTGCCTCTGTTGATTAAAGAAAGCAACACGATTATATTTAATTTAACATCATATAAAATAAAACATTATGCATGTGTAAAAATGAAACATCATTAATAATAAATAACTTACCCAGCTGATCTTTTACAAACACAGGTAAAACCATGTCTTTGGGGTCACTAAGTCCTGCATGGTTTTCAGCCCGTACTCGGAAGTAATATTCAGCACTCTCTCTCAATCCATAAACAACAAAGTGAGTCGATTTGGTGGAACCACACTTTATCCACTTTTGTTGCCCTTTTTCAAGAGCCTCAACCAGGTAGCTTGTAATTCTACTGCCTCCATCGTGTTCTGGTTTAAGCCATGCTAGTGAGACACTGTCTTTTGTGACATCAGTGACTCCAAGCTTGGGCGGTGGACTTGGTTTTTCTAAAATTGGACAAAAGTAACAAGTGTGAGGAACAAAAAAAAAATAGATTTAAAATAATAATCAAACAAATGTTCTACAATCATGATATGGTACACGTAAGAATTTTATTTTACCTGTCATTTTTGTTCCTTCTTTAGTCTCAAGTGGCACTCCTATACCATACTCATTTTCACCAGTAACTCTGAAATAATAAACCCCCCCTTCTTGAAGGTCAATCACTTTATAAGTCAACCTGGGACAACTGTTTGCAATCCTGGTCCAGCCCATTTTAGTTGCCTCACGGAGATCAACAAGGTAGTTCTTGACTGGAGCACCACCCTCATTCTCAGGAGTATCCCACGAAATAGTTGCAGAGCACTTAGTGACTTCCTTAACCTCAATGTGGGCTGGTGGGCCTGGAGAATCAAGGACCTTTACACTCAATGTTAGAGTAGCAGTTCCAGCAACATTTTGGAGGGTTACAGTGTATTTTCCTGAGTCATCTCTTGTAGCTTGCTCAATTGTGATTGATGTGCAGTTATCAGTTGTATCAATAGCTGCCCTTACTCTCAGGTCAACATCTGGTTTGTTCCACATTACATGTGGGACAGGCTTCCCCTTGAATGGGATTCTAAGGGTAAATGAGCTGCCATCTTTGACAATCAGTGTCTTCCTCATATCATTACTGACTAGGAAAACTGGCTCATCTTCTCTGTCCTTTGCTAACTGTGGATCGGTTTCATTGCTTGGCTCACTTGGACCAATCTTGTTAATTGATCTGACTACAAAGACATACTCTAATCCTTGTGTGAGTCCAACCACTGTGAACTCTGTGCTCTTAGTGTTACTGACACCAACTGTCCAGTCTTCATCATTGGTTTTCCTGTACTCCACCATGTATCCTGTAACTGGAGAGCCACCATCAAATAATGGCTTGTGCCAAGACAGTGTAATAGATGTTTTAGTAGAATCAATTATTTTAGGTTTAGCTGGAGGTGATGGTAGGAACAGTGGATCCTCTGCCTTTGTCAATGGACAAGGTACACTTGGCGCACTCAAACCAGCAGCATTCTCAGCAAATACTCTGTATTCATACTCGCATCCTTCACGAAGATTGGAAGCTTTTACTCTTAAGTCATAAACAGGCTTTTTGTTGACACGTACCCAACGAAGACCAGTTTTCTCACGTTTCTCAATTACATAGCCATAAATGCTACTGCCTCCATCAGAGACAGGTCTTTCCCAGCAAATTGTCATTGCTTCACTTGTAACACTGGTGACTTCAACATCTGTTGGTGCTGCAGGGACTGTAAATGGATCCATTGCCTTAGCAGGATCACTCTCTAGAGTTTCACCTATTCCATACTTATTAACTCCCTGAACTCTAAATATATACTCATTACCTTTGAGCAGTTTTGTTACTTTACATGTTGTGGCTTTCATGTCTGCATAGACTAGAGTCCAGGCAAGTCGGCTTGTTTCACGTTTCTCAACTATGTAGTGCTGAATTTCCGCACCTCCATTTTCTTGTGGAGGTCCCCAGGTCAATGTACATTTCTCTGCAGTCAAACCAGTTACTTCCAATGGTCCAGATGATGGGCCGGGCCTGTCCAGCACCTTACAGTTTACTGCTAAAGATCTGGTGCCTGCAACATTTTGCAATGTAAGAACATACTGTCCTGAGTCTCGTCTAATAGCATCTGTCACAATTAGTGTTGTACTAGTTATTGTTGACGAAATCTCAACTCTGGCCTTGGCTTCAATTTCTTTTCCGTCCTTTGCCCAAGAAATCACAGGAATTGGACGTCCTGATATTTCAGCATCAATTCTCAGTATGTCTCCAGCTTTCACTACAACCAGTTGTCTCAGCTTGTCCTCAATTGTGATGCGTGGTGGATCAACATCATCTTTTACAGTTACAGGTCCTGTACCCTCTGATGGTTCACTAAGTAGGCCAGCTGCATTCTTAGCAATGACACGGAAATCATATCTTTGATCTTCAATTAGACCAGTGACATCAAAGAATGTTCCCTGAATATTGGTGAAATTACACTTTAACCACCGACCATCTGGAAGTTCACTGCGTTCAACAATGTAACCAGTCACTTTAGCTCCACCGTCATACTCAGGTTTTGCCCAGGAGAGGGAAACAGATGTTCTTGTGATGTTCAATATTATTGGCTGACCTGGAGGTGCACATGGATCACGGGCAGAAACAGGAACACATGCCTTTGTGCAAGGTCCAATGCCAGCTATATTTTCAGCATACACTCTATACTGATAGAAGAGGCCCTCTTCCAAACCAGTTACTTTGAACTGAGTTTCTGAAATAAGTACTCTGTTCATCTTTGTCCAGAGAATGCTGCTCTGATCTTTGCATTCCAAGTGATATCCAATGACTGGACTTCCACCATCACTTTCTGGTCTGTTCCAGGTAACTAGCATTCCTGATTTAGTGGCATGAGAAACTTGAAGACAGGTTGGAGGACCTGGAGGTGTGAAAGGGTACTGTGCAACAATTGGGGCTGAGTCAACTGCATGACTTTTACCGTAACGGTTCTCTGCAGCAACACGGAACTGATATTCTGTTCCTTGTGTCAAACGAGTAATTTTTATTGATGTTCTTGCAACTGTTGCTGAAACAATTTGCCATGCTGTAGTGGTCGTATCTCTCTTCTCAACTACATAATTATTAATTTGACAGCCACCATCATATATTGGAGGGTCCCATGATAGTGAAATAAAATCAGCACTTAATTCATCTACCTTGATTGCACCTGGTGGACCCGGTTTATCAAGAACAATGACACGTATTTCTGCTGATTTGACACCAAATGCATTGGTTAAAGTAATTTCATATTTTCCAACGTCCTCTCTTGTTGCATCCTTGATGACAATCTTGGATGCTGTCTTTGATGTCAGAACATTAACTCTAGTTGTTTGCTTCAATGAGTGACCATCCTTTTTCCATGCAACCTCTGGAGATGGTCTGCCTCTGAATGGAACATCTATTTTGAGATCATCTCCTGATTTTACAGTGTAGGTATTAAACAGCAAATCAATAATGGGTTCAATAGTAATATCTCTTGCCACAACAGGTGCTCCCAGGGGTTTAGTATCACTCTTTCCTTTGTCATTAAAAGCTGTAATTCTGAAGCTGTATTCCTCTCCTGTTGTAAGTCCTTCAATTGTGGCTTCCAGTGCCTTTACTGTAGCGCATACTGTCCATTTATCTGATCCCTTAGTCATCATTTCCACCACATAGCCTGTGATCTTGCTGCCACCATCATGATCTGGCTTTTCCCATGCTAGAGTAACAGTGTGGCGAGTTACATCAACAACTGTAATTTTACCAGGTGGTAAGGGTGCTTGGGATACTTTGATAGCCTCTGTGGTCTCTGCAGGCAAACCAACACCAAGTTCATTCACAGCCAATACACGGAAGTGGTAAAGACCTCCTTCTTGGAGATCATCAACCTTGAATGAATTTCTGACACAGCTGTTTGTCACAGTTGTGAATGCTAGCCTTTTAGATTCACGCTTCTCCACAATGTAATGCGTGATCTTGGCTCCACCATCAATTTGTGGAGGCTCCCATTGTAAAAGGACAAAGTCTCTCTTTACATCCCTAATTTCAAAGTTCACTGGAGCACTTGGAGAGTCAAGAACTTTGACATTAATAAATGCAGATTTTGAGCCAGAAATGTTTTCAAGGGTCACAACATACTTTCCTGTGTCAAATCGATTAACATCGTTTATAACAAGCACAGTGTAAGAGCCTGTAACTTCAATTTGAGCACGCTCTGGTAGGGTACCATCTGCTTTTGTCCACTTAACCTCTGGCTCAGGCCTTCCCCTTATAGTGACAAATAAGCGTAGTGTTGCACTGGCACGCACAGCTACACATTTCCTAAGATCTGCATCAAGTTCTACCTCAGGAGCTTCAAGTTTTTCAGCAGCAATTACAGATCCTGGGACATCAATGTGTTCTCCAGCCCCCTCAATATTAATTGCACAGATACGGAAGTTGTATTCTGCATTTTGCTTTAATTTTTTTACTGTGAAGTGAGTTGTTTGCACACCGGTTGGAGGAGTGCACACAGTCCATTCATCTTCACTAACGTCCTTTGCCTCAACAATGTATCCTGAGACCGTTGCGCCACCATCATAAATTGGTCTACTCCATGCTAAGGAAACAGTTGTGCTTGAGTGGTCTGTTACTTTGGGATTATTTGGAGGACCAGGGGGATAAGTCGCATCACAAGCTTTGTAATATTCAGATGGTTCACTTGGTGTGCCCACACCAGCAGCATTTTCAGCAGATACTCTGAATTCATAGAAGTGTCCCTCTGTAAGCCCAGTGGCTCTGAATCTCAAGTCATTGAGTCTTTTCTTGTTACACTTTGACCATCGGATACCCTCTTTATCACGTTTCTCAAGAACATAACCATCAATTTGTGATCCACCATCCTCCTCTGGCCGTTCCCATGTGAGGACTATTGAGTCTCTGGTGATTGCACTTGCCTCTGGAGTTGAAGGTGGTCCAGGTTTGTTGAAAGGATTTTTTGCAAGGACAGGTTCAGATTCAAGTGGTTCACCAATACCATACTTGTTTACTGCCATGACTCTGAAAATATACTCATTACCAGGTAGGAGTTTAGTGACTTTGTAACTGATAGCTTGAATTGATGGTTCCACCACTGTCCAAGACAGTCTACTAGTTTCCCTTTTTTCAATGATGTAATGAGAAATACTAGCTCCACCATCATGTGATGGGTGGCTCCAATGCAAATAGCATTTTTCTGCTGTGACACCAGTTATTTTCAGAGGGCCATCAGGTGGACCAGGTCTATCAAGAACCTTTACATTAATGGGTACCTGCTTTGTTCCACCAACATTACTGAGACTTAAGATGAAATGACCACCATCTACTCTGATGCATTCCTTAACAGTCAAAACTGTTCGTGTGATGGTGGATTTAATCTCCATTCTATGTGTAGCACTGTCAATTTCCTTTCCATCCTTAAACCACATAATATCAGGAAGAGGTTTGCCAGCAATATCAGCATCAATTGTAAATGAATCGCCAGCCTTTACAATGGTAACATCTTTAAATTTTGAGTCCATAGAGACAGATGGAGCTTCAATCTCATCCTGAGCAGTAATTGGTCCAGTGCTTTCAGAGGGTACACTTAAAATACCAGCTGAATTTCTGGCTAATACTCTAAATTCATATCTTTGTTCTTCTTCTAATTCAGTTATTGTAAATTGTGTGTCTATGATATTTGTGAAACTGGCCTTCATCCAACGACCTTCAGGCAGCTTCTTTCTTTCAATGATGTATCCTGTAATTGCACTGCCACCATCATACTGTGGTTTAGACCACTGAAGAGTTATCAGATTTCTTGTAATAACAATTGCTTGAGGAGTTCCAGGGGGATCACATGGATCACGTGCAACAACACTTTCTGAGACTTTGCTTGATGGACTGATTCCTGCAATGTTCTCAGCATACACTCTGTATTCATACTCAATTCCCTCCTCCAGACCGTTTGTTCTTAATCGAGTGTCAGTAATAAGAAGCTTGTTAAGTTTAGTCCATAAAATGCTGTTCTTTTCTTTACGTTCCAGGTGATACCCAATAATAGGGCTGCCTCCATTATTGCTCGGGGGTTTCCATTCGATTGTCATGTGGTCTTTTGTCACTGATGAAACAAACGGAGCAGCAGGAGCTGCAGGCTCAGTGAAAGGATAACTGACCACAACCGGTGCTGAATCTAACGATGTGCTTTTACCATATCTGTTCTCAGCAAACACTCTAAACTGATATTCAGAACCAGTCTTCAGCTTTGAGATTTTGATTGTGGTTCGAGCAATGGTTGCTGAAACAATCTGCCAGTTAGTAGTGGTTGTATCACGTTTTTCCACTATATAGTTGTTTATTTGACAACCTCCTGTGTATACTGGTGGCTCCCAGGATATGGTAACATAGGTGGCACTTACTTCATCAATTTTGACTGGTCCGACTGGTGGGCCTGGTTTGTCTAGAATGATTATGCCAACTTCCTCTGTGACCGTACCTATATTATTTGTGGCTGTGATTGTGTACTTGCCGGAGTCCTCTCTATTTGCATCTTTAATTTTAAGAATGGTTGATGTTGCTGTGCTGGAGACATTTAATCTGGTTGTTTCTTTCAGAGGTTGTTTATCTTTCATCCATGCAATTTTTGGAGTTGGACGACCTTTAAATGGTATTTCCACTTTGAGATCTTCACCAGCTTGAACACTATATGTGTTGGAAAGTATTTTGAAGCTTGGTTCAATAGTTACATCCTTGGCAATGATCGGAGCAGCTAATGCCCTTGGATCACTTTTTCCTTTGTCATTGTAAGCTAAAACTCTGAAGAGGTACTCTTGTCCTGAACTGAGTCCAGTCACTATACCCTCACATGTTTTGGTGACTGCAGCAACTGTCCATTCCTCTGATCCCTTTGGCTGCATTTCAATATAATAACCCAAGATTCTACTACCACCATCATGATCTGGTTTATCCCAGGAAAGTGATGCTGTGGTTTTTGTCACATCAGTCAAAGTTACCTTGCCAACAGATAGAGGAGGATCAGCTGTCTTCACAGATTCTTCTGTTTCTACAGCCAGACCAATTCCAAATTCATTTTCTGCCATGATTCTGAAGTAATAAACACCACCCTCTGTCAGATCACCAACTCGGAAGCTGGTCTTGGAGCACTTAGTAGTAATGTTTACAAATCCTTGTCTATTTGATTCTCTCTTGTCAATGATGTAATTTCTTATTTTGGAACCACCATCAATAAGTGGTGGCTGCCAAACCAGGGTGGCATAATTTCTTGTTATATCTTTCACAACAAGGTTCTGTGGAGCACCTGGTGTATCAAGTACTTTTACTGACACAAATGCGGATTTAGTGCCAGCACTATTTACCAAAGTCAGAATGTATTTTCCAGCATCATTTCTGTCACATACATCAATTGATAACTGAGTGTAATCTGGTCCCTTTTCTAATTGGGCTTTATCTGGTAAATCACCCTCATCCTTGGTCCAGTTTATCTCAGGAATGGGGCGTCCTTTGAATGGTATGTTAATTCTCATGGAACCTCCAGCACGTACAACAATACCTTTTCTCAACTCAGAGTCAAGCTCAATTTCAGGGGCATCCATCTTATCCACTGGTTTGACGGTTCCTTGGATGGCAACTGGTTCACCAACACCCAGTTTATTTAGGGCACATATGTGAACTTTGTATTCTTGGTGTTCAGTGAGTTTAGTAATTGTAAATTTAGTATCACTTAATCCAGAGGGTGGAGTACATGTGGTCCATTCTTCTTCTTCAACTTTACATATCTCGACTACATAGCCCTGGATGTCTAAGCCACCATCATATATTGGTTTACTCCAAGCAATTGTAATTGAATTCTTTGTAGTGTCAACAAGGTGTGCATTAGTTGGTTGGCCAGGCTTAAATGTTGGATCACAGGCTTTGTAATAAATAGTTGGTGGACTTGGTTGTCCAACTCCAGCAGCATTTTCTGCAGATAATCTGAATTCATATTCATGATCCTCTGTCAAGCCTGTGACTCTGAAACGTAGGTCAGTGACCCTGCGTTTGTTACATTTTGTCCACCGTACTCCAGCTCTGTCTCTCTTCTCTACGATGTAACCAACAATCTCACTTCCACCATCAGTCTCAGGACGAGTCCAACATACCGTCATAGAGTCCCTTGATATATTTGCTATTTCTAGGTCTTTAGGTGGCCCAGGTAGAACAAAAGGATTTCTCATAATCACTGGTGCAGCTTCAAGTGGTTCACCAACTCCATACTTGTTGACAGCCATGACACGGAATATGTATTCATTTCCTTTTAAAAGCTTGGTAGCTTTAAACATTGTTGCTCCACAATCACCTGAAACTACAGTCCAAGCAAGACGACTTGTTTCTCTTTTCTGTATGACATAGTGAGAAATGCTACTGCCACCATCATGTCTTGGAGGTAGCCATGACAATGAACACTTCTCACATGTTACACCAGAAATGGTCAAAGGACCTTGAGGGGGGCCAGGTCTATCCAGCACCCTTACACTGAAGGAAGTAGACTTTGTTCCAGCCACATTAGTGAGGTGCAATGTGTACTGTCCTCCATCAATTCGAATGGCGTCTTTGACGACAAGAATTGCTTTGACGTCAGTGTTCTTGATCTCAGCTCTTGCAGAATTCTCGACTTCCACATCACCCTTAAACCACTGCATTGTTGGAATTGGCTTTCCTAGTACGGATGCTTCCAGGGTAAATGTTTCTCCAGCATTCACAGTCAAAATCTGGCAATATTCTGAGGCAACCTCATAGGTTGGTGGTTCAACTTCATCCTTAGCTGTAATTGAGCCTGTGCTCCCAGAGGGCCTGCTGACCGATCCAGCTCCATTTCTGGCAATAACTCTGAAATCATATTTGTTGTCTTCTATCAGGCCTGTGACTGTAAATTCAGTTTCAAGAATATTAGCAAAACTAGCTTTCATCCAACGGCCCTCTGGCAGGTCTAGTTTCTCCACAACATATCCAGTGACAAGGCTACCTCCATCAAATTCTGGTGGTGTCCATCTAAGTTTCACTGAGTGCCTTGTCACAATCACTGGCACAGGGGTGCCTGGTGGGTCACATGGGTCACGTGCCACAAAACCCTCAGAGATTTTGCTGCACATTCCAATTCCAACTATGTTTTCAGCATAAACTCTGAACTCATATTCAATGCCCTCTTCCAATGAAGATGTTTTGAATCGGGTGTCTTGAATTAGCGATTTATTGATCTTTGTCCAAAGAATACTATTTTTTTCTTTTCTCTCAAGATGATATCCTAGAATAGCACTTCCACCATCTGAGACTGGTTTGTGCCATTCAACTGCCATAGACTCTTTTGTGAAAACAGACACAAATGGAGTTCCTGGAGGCCCAGGCTCTTTGAAAGGATACTGGGCAAGAACTGGATCTGAGTCAATGCCATAGCTTTTACCATATCTATTCTCAGCAAAGATCCTAAACTGGTATTCGGATCCAGTTTTTAAATTACAAACTTTTAGTGTCGTCCTTGCTACTGTGGCAGAAACAACTACCCAGTTTGTGGTGGTGGTGTCTCTCTTTTGGACAACATAATTTGAAATCTGGCAGCCTCCAGTGTATGTTGGTGGGTCCCAAGACAGTGTAATGCTCTCTGAACTCACTTCATCAATCCTGACAGGGCCTGTTGGTGGTCCAGGTTTTTCAAGTATGATTATTTCAACAGTGGCTTCCTTTTGTCCAAGTACATTAGCCACAGCAATGTTGTACATTCCACCATCTTCTCTTGTTGCATCTTTGATTGTAAGAGTGGTATGATGTGCTGTGTCAGCAACATTTACTCTTGTGGTCTGTTTCAGAGCTGAACCATCTTTGGACCATGTAATTGTTGGTTTTGGATGACCAGCAATTCGTGCTTCAATTTTCAAATCTTGCCCAACCTGAACATTGTAAGTACTAAGTTTTGTTCTCACTGAGGGCTCAATAGTGAGGTCCTTTGCAACAACAGGATTTGCCAGGAGTCTGGGATCGCTCTTTCCTTTATCATTAACAGCAATGACTCTAAAATGGTACTCCCCACCTTGGGCTAAATTAGTTACAACAGTGTCAAGGGATTTTACTTGAGCACAAAGAGACCATTTATCTTGATCTTTTGCTTGCATTTCAATTTCATAATGAGTAATTCTGCTGCCCCCATCATGCTCTGGTTTTTCCCATTTGAGAGAAACACTCTTCCGTGTTACATCCACTACAGAAACTTTACCAGGGGTTTGTGGCACCTCTGAGATTTTTAGTGGTTCTAGAGTCTCTGCAGGCAATCCAATTCCATGTTCGTTTTCAGCAAGAACTCTGAAGAAATAGATGCTCCCCTCTTGGAGTGGTTCAATTTTCCATGTCATCTTGTTGCAGGTAGTAACAGCTGAGAATACCTTTCTTGTACTCTCTCGTTTTTCAACAATGTAGTTTTTTATTTTAGCTCCACCATCCAACAAAGGTGGCTCCCAGGTAAGAGTGACTGAATTTTTTGTTATTTCTTTCACATGGAAGTTTGCAGGTGCATCAGGCGTATCTAATACTCTGACACTAATAAATGCAGATTTTGTTCCATTGGCATTTTCCAGAGTTAAAGTGTATTTTCCACTGTCAAATCTATTAACATTTTCAATTACAAGTGAAGTGAAACTGCTTGTAATATCAATCTGAGCTGCTTCATTGATTTCACCTTCAGCCTTTCCCCACTTTACTTCAGGGGTTGGCCGACCACGGATAGGAACAAACAATCTGAGAGAGCCTCCAGACCTGACAGTGATCATCTTTCTCAGGTCAGCATCAAGATCAATATCTGGTGCTTCAAGTTTATCCTCTATAATTATGGATCCAGAGATATCAGCAGTTTCTCCCACACCAACCTTATTTATGGCACAGATTCTGAATTTGTACTCATGCTTTTCAAGGAGTTTTTTAACCTCAAATCTTGTCTCGTTTACTCCTGAGGGTGGTGTACACATCATCCATTCATCAGAAGTGATTTCACAGGCCTCAACAATGTAACTTTGAATCTCACATCCACCATCATAGATTGGCTTGCCCCACTGCAGGATAACAGATGCTCTTGAGACATCAATTACCTTAGGGTTGTTTGGGGGACCGGGCTTGAAGACTGGATCCACTGCCTTGAAGTACACTGTGGGTGTACTTGGTTTACCAACCCCAGCTGCATTCTCAGCAGACACACGGAATTCATAACTTCGGTTTTCAAGAAGACCTGTTACTCTAAAGCGTAATTCACTCACTACACGTTTGTTGCATCTTGTCCACCTAACACCCTCTTTGTCTCTCTTTTCAACTATATATCCTGTAATTGCGTTACCGCCATCATTAGTGGGTCTTTCCCATGTGATAACCATGGACTCCTTTGTTATATTTGACACTTCAACATTACTTGGTGAATCAGGTGGGACAAATGGATTTGCTGCAATCACTGGATCAGATTCCAAAGGCTCACCAATTCCATATTTATTTACAGGTATCACTCTGAAAATATACTCATTTCCAGGAAGAAGTTTCGAAATTTTAAGATTGAGGGTTTGTACCTTTTGTTCCACAACAGTCCAAACTAATCGGCTGGTCTCTCGTCTTTCCACTATGTAATGAGAGACCTCCGCACCTCCATCATGCAATGGAGTTTTCCAGGAAATGCTGCACTTTTCACTGGTAACCCCATAGATTGAGATTGGGCCATCTGGAGGTCCAGGTCTGTCCAGAACCTTGACATTGATGCTAACTGATTTCTCTCCACCAACATTTTTCAGTAGTAAGGTATACTGGCCCCCATCAACACGGATAGCCTCCTTCACACTAAGAGTAGTTGTGAAGTCAGTATTCTTGATCTCAAATCTTGCAGTATTTGTAAGTTCTTCGCCAGCTTTTATCCAATGAACTGAAGGTATGGGTTTGCCAAGTATCCCTGCATCTACTTTGAATGACTCACCAGCATGAACAACAATAGTTTGTGAATATTTAGCATCCAAGTCAATTTTGGGTGGATCAACTTCATCCTTTGCTGTGATTGCACCAGTGCTGTCTGATGGAGCACTAGACACGCCAGCACCATTTCTTGCAATGACACGGAACTCATACTGCTGCTCCTCTACTAAGCCACTGACGACAAATTCTGTCTCAATGATATTAGCAAAAGAGGCTTTCATCCAGCGGCCATTGGGCAATTCTTTCTTCTCAACGACATATCCAGTGATCTTGCTGCCACCATCAAATTGTGGTTGTGTCCACCTGAGTGTTACAGAGCTTCTTTTAACAATAACTGCTTCAGGTTTGCCTGGAGGATCACATGGATCTCTAGCCACTTGTATTTCTGATACTTTGCTTGCTTTGCTTAACCCAACTATATTCTCAGCATAAACTCTAAATTCATATTCAATGCCTTCCTCAAGGCCACCTATCTTGAATCTTGTGTCTGGAATGATCGTTTTGTTTTGTTTCACCCACAGCAGGCTGTTTCTTTCCTTCATCTCAATATGATATCCCAAAATCTTGCTTCCACCATCACTACTGGGTTTGTTCCACACAATTACCATGCTTTCTTTAGTAGCAGACTGAACAGTGGGAGTTCCAGTTGGATTTGGAACCTCAAAGGGATATTGTGCAAAAATAGGTGCAGAAAGAAGAACAGAACTCTTTCCATACCGATTTTCAGCAGCAATCCTAAATTGATATTCACAGCCAGTCTTTAATCTTGCAGCTTTAGTTGTTGTTCTCGCAACTGTTGCAGAAACAATCTGCCAGTTTGTGGTGGATGTGTCTCGCTTTTCAACAATGTAGTTATTAATGCTACAGCCTCCTTCATACTCTGGAGGCTCCCATGATAATGTAGCACTGTCTGCAGTTACCTCATCTATTTTGATTGGGCCAGTTGGTGGTCCAGGTTTATCAAGTACAATAACATTGATGTCTGCTGTAGCTTCACCAGCTGAGTTGGTCAGTTTAATAGTATATTTGCCCACATCATCCCGTGTTGCCTCTTTTACCACAAGGTAAAGGTGTTTCTCTGTTACTTCAGCATTTACTCTTGTTGTTTCTTTCAAAGTAATGCCATCTTTTTGCCAGCTAACTGCTGCCTTGGGCTGGGCAACATATGGCACATCAATTTTCAGATCATCACCTGCCAGAACACTGTATGTGCTGAATACAAGTTTGAAGGCAGGAGCAATAACAACATCCATGGCAACCACAGGGACATTAAGTGGACGTGGATCACTGGTTCCCTTTTCATTGGTTGCTGAAATACGGAAGGAGTATTCTTCACCTTGTATTAAGCCAACAACAACTGCCTCTGTTACTTTAACAGTCATTACTTGGGTCCATTTTTCACTGTTTTTCGTTTGCATTTCGACAATATAACTATTAATTCTGCTTCCTCCATCATTGTCCGGCTTCTCCCAAGAAAGTGTTACACTGTTGCCAGTTACTTCTTTTAGAGTCACTTTTCCAGGAGGAAGAGGCCTCTCAGAGATTTTTATAGCTTCCGGGGTCTCTACTGGAAGACCAACACCATACTCATTTTCAGCTAAAATTCTAAAGGAATACAAGCTTCCCTCTTTTAAGCCTCCAATTTTCCAACTTGTTTTGGGACAAGAGGCATTAACAATGGAATATGCTTTTCTTGTAGATTCACGTTTTTCAACGATATAATGCCTGACTCTTGATCCACCATCAATGATTGGAGGATCCCAGATGAGTGAAGCAGAATCTTTTGTTATTTCTTTGATTGCAAGGTTTTGTGGTGCACCAGGAGTGTCAAGAACTCTGACATTAACAAATGCTGTTTTAGCTCCTGAACTGTTTTCCACTGTTAGCATGTACTTTCCACCATCAAATCTGTCTACATTCTCAATAAGAAGTGTGGTGAATGATGATGTAATATCAATGGATGCTCTATCAAGGGGTTCACCATTCTCCCTTGACCATTTGACTTCAGGAGCAGGTCTTCCTTTAATTGGCACAAATAATCTTAAGGTACTGCATGCTCTGATGTTCACTACTTTGCGGAGGTCTGAGTCAAGCTCAATTTCAGGTGGAAGGAGTCTGTCCTCTGCTTTAGGTGATCCAGGCACAGAGGCTGGTTCTCCAACACCTTCACAGTTAAGAGCTGAAATGTTGATCTTATATTCTTGATTTTCAGTAAGGTTGGTTATGGTGAATGATGTTGCTGTTAGACCAGCCTTTGGAGTGACAATTGTCCATTCATCTTCCTCTGGCAGGCATGTTTCAACAATGTAACCTGTGATATCCGAGCCACCATCATAAACTGGTTTATTCCAAGCAATAGTAATGGATGACTTTGTTGTATCCAAAACCCTAGGATTTCCAGGGGGTCCAGGTTGGAATATTGTGTCACAAGCTTTGTAAAATGGACTTGAAGGACTTGGTGCACTTAAGCCAGCAGCATTTTCAGCTAAGATTCTGTATTCATACTCATGTCCAGGTGTTAGTCCTGACACTTTGAAGCGCAGATCAGTAACAGTCCTTTTATTGCATTTTACCCAACGAAGACCAGTTTTATCTCTCCTCTCAATGATATAGGTATTTATACTACTTCCGCCATTATGTTCAGGATGTCCCCAACAAACCACCATTGAATTTTTTGTGATAGAAGTTACTTCTGGAGTCTGTGGAGGATCTGAAGGCACATATGGGTTAGTGGCAACAGCAGGCACAGATTCAAGAGGTTCCCCAACTCCATACTTGTTCACAGCCATGACTCTGAATATATATTCATTTCCTTTCAGCAATTTGGTAACCTTATAGCGATTAACTTGTAAATCTGTGGCTACATTTGTCCATGTAAGTCTACTTGTTTCACGTCTTTGAATTATGTAATATTCAATCTTTCCTCCTCCATCATGAAGTGGTGGCAGCCATGACAGAATACATTTCTCTGTTGTCATGTCTGTGACATGCAGTGGTCCCTCAGATGGGCCAGGTCTGTCAAGAACTTTAACATTGAAGACAAATTTGGCAAATCCTCCCGGATTGCTAGCAGTTAGTGTGTATGCACCACCATCTCTACGTAAAGAATCTTTGTTAATCAAGCAAGTATAGAAATCTGATGATTTGATCTCTAGTTTTCCAGTATCTTCAAGCTCCTTGCCATCTTTAGTCCAAACCAAGGATGGAATTGGGCGACCAGTAACACGTGCATCTAGCTTGAAGACATCACCTGCTTTCACTACCACAGCACTACTGAAACTTGCATCAGCATCAATCTTCGGCTCTTCAATGTCATCTCTGCAGACAATGACCTCTGAAGGTTTAGATGGTTTACTAACCGCTCCAGCTGAGTTCCTCGCTAGTACATGGAATTCATAAGAAGCATCTTCTGTGAGACCACTCACAGTAAAGTTTGTTTCAAGAATGTTGCTGAAGTTGGCTTTGAGCCAGCGACCATTAGGAAGTTCTTTTTTCTCCACTGTATATCCAGTTATTGAGAAACCACCATCACCCTCTGGCTTTGTCCACTGAAGAGTAACTTCATGTCTAGTAATGTTAAGTGCCACTGGTTGGCTTGGGGGGTCTATGGGATCCAATGCATATGTCATCTCAGATGGCTTGCTTGCTTTGCTGAGACCAGCCATATTTTCTGCAATAACACGGAATTCATATGCAATACCATCCACCAGACCTGGTGATTTAAACATATTGCCAACAACTGGAGCTTTGCTGATCCTCTGCCAAAGTATGCTGTTTTTCTCTTTCCTCTCAATGTGGTATCCTAAAATTGGGCTACCTCCATCTGAAGAGGGTTCATTCCAGCTGATTGTCATTGAATCCTTCGTGAAGGCAACTATTTGTGGAATTCCTGGCTGTCCTGGTACATCAAATGGATAAGCAGCAACCACAGGTTGTGATGTTATATAGGGTCCAACACCATATCTGTTCTGAGCTTTAACACGGAATTGATATTCAATGCCAGTTGTAAGGCGTGCAGCTTTGAATGTTGTGCGGATAACAGTTGCTGCCAGTTCCACCCAGGATGTACCAGTGGTCTCACGCATCTCAACAATGTAGTTATTAATAGGAACTCCTCCATCATTTTCTGGTGCTTCCCAGGATATTAGAACATAGTCACAAGAAACTTCATCCAATTTTATTGGTCCAGTTGGAGGTCCTGGAATATCATGTACTTGAACAGTAATGATTTCAGTCAGAGTTCCTAAGATGTTCTTTCCAGTCATTGAATACTGTCCACCATCTTTTCTCTTAATTTCATTTATGTTGAGAATAGTAGAAGTTGCAGTATTTTCAACATTTATTCTCTGTGTTTGTTTAAGTTCCTGATCTTCTTTCGTCCATACAACAAGTGGTCTTGGGCGACCCAGAACAGGGATCTCAACTTTAAGATTATCACCTGCTTTAGCTACCACAATCTTCTGATGTATACTTCTTAGGTCAAATTCCGGAGCTGTGGTTTGCTCCTTAATCACAACTGGTCGACTTTCACGAGGTTCGCTCCTGCCTGACATGTTTACAGCAAAGATGCGGAACACATATTCTGCATTTTCCAACAATTCTGTTGCAGTGTAGTCCAAAGCTTTTATTGTTGTCACATGGGTCCACTGATCAGAATCTTTAATTTGAGCCTCTATCACATAGCCAGTTATTCGACTACCACCATCATATTTTGGTTTTGTCCATGCAAGAGTTGCTGTGTCTTTGGAAACATCCGAAACAATCAGATTATCTGGTGCAGATGGAGCCTGAGAAGCTCTTATTGGTTCAGGTGTCTCTGCTGGTTCACCAATACCCCTTTCATTCTCAGCAAAAACTCTGAAGTAATACTCTGCGCCCTCTTCCAAATCTGGAATTTTGTATGAGCATTTCTGCCAGTTTGCAGTTAAGGTTGAGTAAGCCTTTCGTGTTGCCTCCCGCTTTTCAATAATATAATTTGTGATCTTTGAACCACCATCAATAATTGGAATCTCCCATTGTAAAGTAATGCTATGCTTTGTGATTTCCCTTGGTTTCAAATTTACTGGAGGTCCTGGGGTGTCCACAACACGAACATTGACAAATCCAGTCCTCTTTCCAGCAACATTTTCTAATGTTAGGACATATTTCCCTGCATCATATCTTGTACACTCAGGGATGACTACTAGAGTGTATGATTCAGTAGTGTCAATGTGAGCACGGCCTTTAAGAGGTACGTCTTCCTTATGCCATGTTACTTCTGGAGCTGGTCGGCCCTTGATTGGCACAAATATGCGGATTGAAGTGCCTGACTTCACAACAAGTGTTTTTCTCAGCTCTGCATCAAGCTCAAAGTCAGGAACCTCCTCTCGATCCACCAGTTCAGTAACTTGCTCAACTTCAGCGGGTTCTCCAAGTCCTTCTGAGTTCTGTGCTCTGACTCTGAAGTGATATTTTCCTCCTGATTGTAGACTTGAAACTACAAATTCTGTTATTCTCAAGGGAGTAGTTGTGTCTTGAACCCAATCATCATCTCCTTCCTTTTTATGTTCAACAAAGTATCCTGTAATATCAAGACCACCATCATAGAAGGGTCTACCCCAGTTAAATGTTGCTGTTGTTTTGGTGGTGTCAGTAATTCGTGGGTTGGATGGAGGCCCTGGCGGATCTGAAAAATAATTAAATGATAACGATAAATAATCAACATTTTTTTGGGGCAAAAACGAGAAAAAATATCTGGAAATATAATTTAAAACACAACAATTATCTACTCACATGCAATATCCTTTGTCATTACAGGTTGTGATGGCTCACTGGGCTCGCCAAAACCAGCCTTATTCTCTGCAGTGACACGGAATTCATATTCAATTCCCTCTGACAGGCCCGAGACCTTATAACGTAGATCAGAAATTGACTTCTTTGAAGCTCTGACCCATCTCATTCCTCTTCTCTCTTTTCTCTCAACACTATAGCCTCTAATGTCACTTCCCCCATCTATGATTGGTCTCTTCCAGGAAATTGTCACAGCATTTCTACTGACATTATCAATTTCTGGTTTTGATGGTGGCCCGGGGGGTCCTACAAAAAAGAAGAAGTTGAAAAACATTATACATGTAAAGCGTATTTTAAAAAGAGATCAAGTATGCAATCATCGATAGTTTGCGCTCACATGCACCCTTTTTTATGCAAAGTCACAAATAAGTAATGTTCCTGTAAATGTATTCTTTTGTACTTTCTGTATGTACCGGTATGTGAAAAGCCCATCTGGGGACGGACATTGCAAATTAGCCTTGTGCCTATCAAATAAATAAATTATATATATATATATATATATATATATATATATATACACAAACACACACACACACACACACACACACACACACACTACCGGTCAAAAGTTTTAGATCGGTAAGATTTTTTTATGTTTTTAAAAGAAGTCTCTTCTGCTCACCAAAGCTGCAATTATTTGATAAAAAAAAATCACAATTTAAAACAGCGGTTTTCTATGTGAATATATAGTGAAGTGTAATTTATTCCTGTGATCAAAGCTGAATTTACAGCATTATTACTCCAGTCTTCAGCGTCACATGATCCTACAGAAATTATTATAATATGATGCTCAAGAAACATTTATGATTATTATCCATGTTAAAAAAACAATTTTTTTACAATTTTATTTCAGGATTCTTTGATGAATAGAAAGTTAAAAAGAACAGAATTGATCTGAAATGGAAAGCTTTTGTAACATTAATCACTACCATTCAAAAGTTTGGGGTCAGTAAGAATTTATTTTTTATTTTGGGGGGAAAGAAATTAGAAAATACTTTTATTCATCAAGGATGAGTTAAATTGATCAAAAGTTACAGTAAAGACATTTATAATTTTAGAAAAGATTATATTTTAAATAAATGCTGTTCTTTTGAACTTTCTATTCATCATAGAATTTTGGGGGAGAAAATGGTATACGACTGTTTTCAACATTGAAAATAATCATTTTTGTTTTTTGAGCATAAAATCAGCATATTAGAATGATTTCTGAAGGATCACGTGACACTGAAAACTGATCTGTAATCAGCAACAGTAATGATGTTGAAAATTCAGCTTTCAAATTACATTTTAAAATATATTAAAATAGAAAACAGTCATTTTAAATTGTCATAATATTTCACAATATTACTGTTTGTTATTTTTTTTTTTTCATCAAATTAAGCAGCCTTGGTGAGAAGAAGAGACTTCATTTAAAACCATAAAAAAATCTTACTGATCTAAAACTTTTGCACGGTAGTATATATATATATATATACACATAGACTGAAACAAAATAATAAAGTAAAAATTGAAGTTGGGCTTACCAAAGCTGTCAACCATTTTAACTGGTCCAGACTGTGTTGCATCCCCAGTGCCATACTGATTGACCGCTGAAACACGGAATATGTATTCATTTCCCTTTATCAGCTTGCTGGCAACATACCGGCAATCCATAACATTTTCAGCAAGCTTTGTCCAGAGAAGGCGACTGGTTTCTCTCTTTTCTAATGTATATGATTTGATACTGCAGCCACCATCTTCCTCTGGAGGCAACCATGTCAATGTGCATTTTTCAGCAGAGACACTGCTGGCTTCAATAGGACCTGGAGGTCCAGGCACATCTAGGATTTTCACTTTAACCTTTTCTTCTTTGATACCAAATGGATTGCTCGCACTAATGGTGTACTCTCCAGTGTTCTTTCGGCTGGCATACTTGATAGACAAAGTTGAAGTTGTGGGAGTGCTTGTGATTTGGACAATATCTGAGGACTTGAATTCTCTTCCACCCTTAGACCAGACAGCTGTAGGAGGTGGTTTGCCAAGAATGCTTGATGCTCTGATGACAATTGTTTCTCCGGCCCTCACAGTCACCCCATCCTTCATTTCAGGGTCAATTGTGATAGTTGGCGGTTCTGTAAAAAGTGAATTAATGATTATAAACATTGTTATGTTTATGGAGGGTTTGGTTAAGCAAATTGATTAAAACCAATATTACCATATTCATTTTTGCAGAGAAGAGGCTCAGTTGTCTCTGAGGGAGCACTGATAGCTCCAGCTGCATTTTTAGCCCTTATTCTGAACTCACAAGTACAGCCTTCCTGTAAGTCTGTAACAGTGTATGCACAGCTTTGGACATTCACATGGTTAGCCTTCATCCATGTCTTTCCAGGATGCTCTAGTTTCTCAACAATATAGCCAGTCAATTTGTGGCCCCCGTCATACTTGGGTGCAGTCCAAATAAGTGTTACACTGTTTCTTGTGACACTGATCACATCAGGTTTGCCAGGTGGATCTATAGAAAGAGACAATCATAATACAAAAAAATCATGTTGTGCTTTCTTCCTCATAACCAGCACAAATAGAAGAAAAAAAGAGCACACTGAGACTCACCAATAGGATCAAGTGCAACAAGTGATTCAGTTGGTTTGCTTGGCTTTCCAAGTCCTGCCACATTCATAGCTATTACCCTAAATTCATATTCCAGGCCTTCAATCAAACCGGTCACTCGGCATTCTTTCACTCTCAAAGGTGTCTTGCTGGCTCTCTTCCACATTAAGCTATTTCTATCTTTGAATTCCACATAATATCCTATAAGTAATATTAGAAGTAAAAGTTTTTAGATACAAAGAAACTCATAAATAACTACAATAAATAAATAAATAAATAACTATAATTAAGAAATGCTTACCAGTGATGGGAGAGCCTCCAGTATCTTTTGGATCAGACCATGTTAGGATAGCAGACTCATGGCGAATGCTCACAACCTCAGGTGGTGCTGAAGCCCCTGGTGCATCTGGTGTAGGGAAAAGTGTGTATTCGTAAACAAATATTTTTAAATATCCAGCACATTACATTGAATAAAACATATTTGGGCTTTCCTGTTAAATACTTACTGAATGGATGTTTAGCAATTACTGGATCAGATTTGAGGTACTCTCCAACTCCATATTTATTTTCAGCACAAACTTTGAAGATGTATTCTGTTCCGTCATGGAGTCTTGTAACTCTCATAGAGTTCTTCTGAATCGCAGAAGCAACTGTGACCCACTTGTTAGCAGTAGAATGCCTCTTCTCCAAAATATAGTTGCTAACTTCTGATCCCCCATCATCTGTGGGTGGGCCCCATTCTACAGTAATCGCCTCTGCTGTGATTTCATCAAATTTGATAGGACCAGTGCAGATTCCAGGCTTTCCAACAACTTTAATGTCAATAGTTGATTCTTTGGTTCCAGCAATGTTTCTCAAAATGATAGTGAATTTGTCAGCATCGACTCTCTGGCAATCACGAATCAGCAAGACCGTGTTTGTTGCGGTGGATTCAACTGAGATTCTGCCACTATCTGATAAAGTAACATCACCCTTTTTCCATGTGACTGCTGGAGCAGGTATACCAATAATAGGGATATTAAGGCGAACAGTGCTTCCTTCCTTTGCTACATAGCAAGAGTCTGGCAAGCCTTTAAGGTTGCAGTCTGGAAGGACTGTAAAGAGAAAAGAGAAAAAGGAAAATGTTAATGGACATAATTGTATACCCACAAAGACACCAATTCAACTATTAGGCACACCAGGGCTTCTCAAAGTCTGGGGAGAGCACTTCAGCACGGCTGGGTGACATGTCCAATGTGCAACCAGTTTCAAACAACAGAGATTTTGCTATAAATTTATAAATCACATACGAGGTGCACGGACAGAAAGCAGTATGTCAGCATGAATTCAGTTCTCTTTCATCATCTCGTGTTCGAGATCCACCTATGGGAAGGGCATCCGTACCTGACCTCTGCAGAAGCATCCAATTGCACCAAGTCTGGCTAGACAGACAGAAGCGCGCGGCCAATGCCCGATGAGGCCACACCCCTCACCCACGGGCATATAACATCTGGGCGCGCTGCTATTCCTCAGTTGTCATTCGCTTCTCGCGATCTCTGCAATTCTCAGCTCGGTTAGTTTTTACTCTGCTCACCTCGTGTCTACAGGAGGACATATCGGCCTGATCAGCCTCCACCGGACGTGGCAGATTAAATTCAACTGCTGTTGTGCATTCGGAGCTTTTTCTCACCGTTCTACAACACGGCTGCTCGCCACGGTTTTCTCCCTCGCTATGTCTCTGTCTAAGCCTACGGCATCATCTGGGGATAGCTTTTCACGGGCCTGCCCGGCCGCGTGTGGAGCCCTTATCGCAGCTAAAGACCTCCACCAGCTTTGCGTTGTCTGTTTGGGTCCTAAGCACGCTCGGGAAGCCCTTGAGAACCCAGACAACTGCAGTTTCTGCCTCTTGCTGCCGAGGAAACTGCTTAAACGTCGATTCAAGGTAGCAGTGACACAGTGCTCCGAGCTCAGCCCCACGGGCTCAGACTCGGACGGGGGACACGGTGATGACGACGCGCCACCGAGGGCCTCTCGGGACGCTTCGTCGCTCGTCTGGGCTGACCAGCCCAATCCCGCCTTCCCCGAGGAGGACATCTTCGGGGATAACCTCGCTCTCGCCCACGAACCGGCCGGTTCTGGCGAAGAGGAGGATGCGGCCATTCTTGGGGTTTCAGAGGACGAGGAGGCCTTCCCGCCCTCTGTCGTTCCCCAGATTACCGCTCACGCGGCTCTTCCTCAAGCCATCCTCCTGGAGGTGTGTGAACGAGCGGCCGCTCGTCTCAACATCGAATGGCCAGCACCTCAGAGCGCCACCGACCAGGAGAGGGATATTTATGATGGGAAAGTGTTGGGACCCCCTCCCGGCCCGAGGAAACAACTCTTCCCCATCCTCCCGGCGTGCGCTAAGCACATGAGGAACTATTGGAGCGATCCGCTCGACTTCAGACACGGTCTCACGGGACTCGAAGTTAAGGACATGGCAGCTCACGGTATGGGTGACCCCCCCGCCGTCGAGCCTTCTATCGCCAGGCACCTTAACCCCGCTCAGGGTGGGCTGCTCGCCCCCCCTAAGCCAGTCCTGCCCAACAAAATGGACCGTTTCGCTGCGTCCGTTCACCAGGCAGCGTATAAATCCTCGTCTGTGGCTGTCAGGGCCCTTAACGTTTCTTCGCTCCTCTCCGCCTACCAGGCGGAGATCCTCGAAGAATTAGGGCAACAGCTAGAAAAAGGTAATCCTTCCGAAATCCTTTGGAAGGAGATCCTCACGGTGAACGACCTCGTCCTCCGTAACGCCCGTCACGCTGTCCAAGCGTGCGGGCGCTCCATGGCGCTCTCCGTGGTGGGAGAGCGCGCGCTCTGGCTGAACCTGTCGGGACTCCCGGACAGCGAGAAGCGGCGCATCGCGGGCGCGCCGGTGGAGCCCGGCCGGGCTCTCTTCGGCCCCGCCGTCGCACTGATGCAACAACGGTGCGACGACAAGAAAAAGGAGGATGAGGCTTTCAAACTTTGCCTTCCGAGGAAGTCAGGTCCACGCCAGAATCCCCCTGTGCGTTCGCCTAACCCACCGGTCACGGGACGTCAGTTTCCCCAGGGCAAGGAAAAGTCCCGAAACAAACCGCCTTCACGACATCATAACCCAGCGCCCTCTAACAAACACTGGGTTAAGCCCGCTCCCGCCGCGGCCGCGGCTGGGAGACCTGCTAATTCCAACCCCACCGACCACTCGAAACGCAAGCGGCATGCCTGACGTTCAGTCGATGGGGACTTCCAGTCCACGTTCACGGGCCGCGAGCCCCTTGGACTCCTCTCTCCTTCTAGGACCCCCGTCCAAAAGACCCCGGGAGTCCCGCGGATGGGTCAGCTTGCCGCCTGTCGAGACTGCCCAGCCCGTGTGTTCAAGGAATGTGTGTTTTCCCCCCACGTTCAGGGGGCCTCTGGTGAGAGGAAGGTTAAGTTCAGTGTCAAAACCACACTGCCCTCACTCTGTTCCCCTCACTCTTTCAATAAAGGCTTCGGCCCCAGTGTTTGCCCAGCACAAAACACACAAAACACAAATAAAAACGAATCTAACAAATTCGTTTCGGAGGGAAAACATCTCTCCGCAGAGAGAACCTTTCTCACTGCAGAGAGAGGAATCCCCTCCGAACCCCCGCATGTCGCCTCTAGTGTGCCCACGAGATGGCGCCATTGCATCACAAATAAATCTGTTGGTCTCAAGACACAGCTCCGCGCTGCCCCGAGCGGGGACACTCGCGAGCCACGAAGCGGCTTGGCGAACCGTTTCGGCTCCCGAGTGGGTTATGCGCACAATAATGCAGGGTTACAGATTGCAATTCGCAGTAAAACCCCCTCATTTCAACGGCATTCTCTTTTCTCACACGGAAGAGAAAGCCTCTCACATTCTGGAAGAGGAAATTTCATCTCTCTTAAACAAGGGAGCGATTCAGGTGGTACCCCCCAATCTGATGAACCAGGGTTTTTATTCCCGGTATTTTCTGGTTCCAAAGAAAGGCGGCTCTCTCCGCCCTATCTTGGACCTTCGAGTGTTGAACAAACATTTGAGGAAATACAATTTCAGAATGCTGACACAGGGCGCACTCGCCCGTGCCATAAAGCAGAACGACTGGTTCACATCAGTCGATCTGAAAGATGCTTTCTTTCACATAAGCATTTATCCTCCGCACAGGAAGTTTCTTCGTTTTGCCTACCAGGGCATATGTTACGAATTCACAGTTCTTCCGTTTGGACTCAGTTTGAGTCCCCGGTCTTTCTGTCTGTGCGCGGAGGCGGGCTTAACGCCTCTGAGAATAACAGGTCTGAGAATCCTGACTTACATAGACGATTGGCTCATCATAGCCGAATCGAAGGAGAAGGTGTTGCAGGACACCGGCCGTGTGCTCGCGCACATCACATCGCTCGGGTTCCAAGTGAACGTGGGCAAGAGCAATCTCACGCCCAGTCAGAATGTCATATTCCTGGGTTTGGAGTTGAACTCGGTTGCCATGCGAGCGCGTCTCTCTCTGGAGCGCGTTCGCTCTCTAATGAGCTGTCTGTCACAGTTCAGAGAAGGGGCGAAAGTGCAATATCGCACATGTCTCAGGATGCAGGGTCTCATGGCTTCATCCACCCAAGTTGTGCCATTAGGACTCCTGAGGATGAGGGCGTTCATGAAATGGGTTTTGTCGCTACATTTCAGCCCGATTCACGACCTTTGCCGCTCGGTTACAGTGACGCGCGCGTGCTCTGCAGCCCTGCGCCATTGGAAGAACGCAGACTTTTACGCACGGGGAACCCCTCTCGGGGCGGTTACGATGCGGAAAGTGGTGACGACAGATGCATCCTTAACAGGCTGGGGTGCCACCCAGGAGGGCAGAACGGTGAACGGTCTGTGGCCAAACAGACTACGTTCAGCACATATAAATTATTTAGAGCTTTTGACCATTTGGAAAGCTCTGAATCATTTTCTGCCTCGCCTGCAGGGACATCACGTGCTGGTACGGTGCGACAATACCACGGCTGTGGCATATATCAACCGTCAGGGCGGCTTGCGCTCGTCGAAACTTCACCTTCTAGCTCACAAGCTCTTGGTGTGGAGCAGACGGGTTTTCTTGTCGCTACGCGCGACTCACGTCCCAGGCATTCTGAACATCGGCGCAGATCTGCTGTCGAGGGGAAACCCAATCTACGGGGATTGGCGTCTCCATCCGCAGATAGTGGAAATGCTATGGATGAGATTCGGACGGGCGAGCGTAGATCTATTCGCCTCGCGCGAAAACTGCCATTGTCCTATGTTCTTCTCTCTAAGGGACATGGACGCGCCCCTCGGGGTAGACGCACTGGCCCACCCATGGCCGAGAGTGCTCCTGTATGCTTTTCCTCCCCTGTGCCTGATAATTCCCACATTGGCCAGGGTGAGAGAGCAGGGCCTGTCTCTCATTCTGATAGCACCCAGATGGCCCAAAGCACCGTGGCTGGCGGAGATAATCCCTCTGTTATACGCCGAGCCATTGTGCCTTCCCGTCCGCACGGATCTATTATCCCAAGCCAACGGGGAGATTTACCACCCCCACCCGGACAGGGTGGCTCTCTGGGCCTGGCCCGTGAGAGGACGAACCTGAACGCACTTGGGCTTTCGCCGCGTGTGGTCACCACTATTCAGAATGCCAGGGCCGTCTCGACACGGTCCTTATATGGCTGTAAGTGGCAAGTGTTCGAGGGGTGGTGTGATGGGCGCGGTATCACATCTTATCAGTGTTCAGTTCCTGATATTTTGTGTTTCCTTCAAGACCTCATGGATAAAGGCAGGTCCTTTTCCACCATTAAGGTCTACTTGGCTGCTATTTCAGCCTGTCATGTGGGTTTTGAGGGCTCGACCGTCGGTCAGCACCCTCTAATCCGCAGATTTATGAAGGGTGCACGCCGCTCTTTGCCAGTCGTCAGGAGAACTGTCCCGGAGTGGGACCTCTCCATGGTGCTGGAAGCTCTGTCTCAACACCCTTTTGAGCCTTTGGATAGTATATCCCTTAAGCTGCTATCTCTCAAGACAGCTTTGCTTTTGGCCTTAGCATCTGCTAAACGTGTCAGTGAGCTACATGCACTCTCGGTTCATCCCTCGTGCTCTAAGTTCTCTCTTAGTGGAGATAAGGTCTTCCTTAAGCCTAACCCGGCCTTCATGCCGAAGTGCTTCCCTGCATTCACTTCGGAGGTGTTGGAGCTGTCCGCTTTTCACCCTCCACCTTTTACCTCTCTAGAGGATCAGAGGCTGAACGCTCTGTGTCCAGTCCGTGCCTTACAGGCATATATGACGAGGACGAATGCTTTCCGGAAGAGCGACCAGCTCTTTGTTTCATGGGCTCCCCCTCACTTAGGGAGTCCAATTTCGAAGCAACGCCTCTCACATTGGGTTGTGGATGCTATTACCATGGCTTACAAAGCAAAGGGAGTGCAGCCCCCTAGGGGCATCAGAGCTCATTCCACAAGAGGTTTAGCCACCTCTTGGGCTCTGTTTAGGGGAGTGTCACTGCAGGACATCTGCTCCGCTGCCAGTTGGGCTTCTCCTCATACCTTCGTGCGCTACTACCGGCTGGATGTCACCAGTACCTCGGTAGCACATTCGGTTCTAGGGGTGGGGTCGTTTTAGCCCCTCCCTGTAACCCTGTTGGTATATATAACCATTAGGAGTGAATGGGCTGACTGGCCATGTTCATTCCTGTCACCAATCACCAATCACCCCCCTTTCGGGTATAGATTATGTCTTGGTGGGTTGGGGTTACTATCTCGCATGTGTCCCATGCGTATTTCATGTCCTGCTTGTCCACATTAGTTAGGTGTGGTTTCACCTTCGCAGGCTCATGATTAAGGGACGTGTCAGGCACCGCCTCCCCGAGGTGACCGTCCTTCTCTGGCTCCAGAACCTCACTGTGAGTGTATTGGGCAATCGGGGAGCTGTCCATGTCTCTCCCATAGGTGGATCTCGAACACGAGATGATGAAAGAGAACAATAGGTTACTATCGTAACCCCGGTTCTCTGAAACATCGAGTGGAGAGATCCACCAGCTTTGCCCCGCTTGCCGCACGAGAAGCGAATATACTTACTGAGGAATAGCAGCGCGCCCAGATGTTATATGCCCGTGGGTGAGGGGTGTGGCCTCATCGGGCATTGGCCGCGCGCTTCTGTCTGTCTAGCCAGACTTGGTGCAATTGGATGCTTCTGCAGAGGTCAGGTACGGATGCCCTTCCCATAGGTGGATCTCTCCACTCGATGTTTCAGAGAACCGGGGTTACGATAGTAACCTATTGTTCTCTTGCAAGTCCCATTGTATGGACAAATACACACTTTGTTAAAATGCCACAGACTATTAATGTAAACACATTCTTAAGTTATGTCTTAAGTAACCGATATATGTGTATCATTATATTGGATCTGTGCATTAGGTATTAAACTGACATCCTTGTGAGAGAAAAATGACTCACTTCTCTTGACCGAATAGCTTTTGTAGAGTATTTAATTCATACAAGGATGAGGATGCAGTTTTTTTGTTTTGTATTTGATTACTTTTTATAATTTAATTTCTGTAGTATTTTACAAGAGAATAAAAACTACCTTAAAGCACTATTTCATTTGTATCTTTATTCTATTCTATTAGAATTTGTCATATTTATATTAATTAGCATATTTCATATTTTATTAAATTTGACTTTGAAAAAAACCTGAAGTAGATTATATGAATACCTATTTGATCTTTAGGTAATACAGTAAGCTCAGTTGGTGGTCCTTCAGCTGCTTCATTAATGGCCTTGACTCTGAACAAGTACTCCTTTCCTTCTACAAGATCACTCATTGTGTAATGTGTGAGCTTAGACTTAGTTAGAAGCTTCCATTTGTCTTCCCCTTCACTGATCTCTAGAGCATATGCAACAACATGGCTTCCACCATCACTGATTGGCTTCTTCCAGCCAAGAGTGCAAGAAGTCTTGGTGATCTCTGAAGATTTAAAATCTGTAACTGGTCCAGGTTGCTCTGCAATACACATAAATATTAGAATTTAGTATAATTAACAGATTAATATATTTAAAATGCAAACTAACTTGCAACATTAAAGTCTCACCTGAGGCTTTGACTGGTCCAGCTGTCTCACAACCCTCACCAATGCCATATATATTTTCAGCTAGGACTCTGAAGCAGTAAGCCTTTCCTTCTTCAAGATTAGTAACCCTGAAAGACGTCTTGGAACACTCAGGAGAAACACAGGTCCATGCCTTTCTCTCAGCCAGACGTTTTTCAACAACATAGCTCTTAACTGGACTACCACCATCAATTAGCGGAGCATCCCAAGTAATTGATACATGGTCCTTTGAGGTCTCCTTAACAATCAGATTGACTGGGGGTCCAGGTGTGTCTGTGTACATTTATAAACAGAAGTTAGATACAGTAAATAATAAACTTCAAAAGTTGTGAGAAAAAGAAAAAAAAAAAAAGACAAAAAAAAAAAAAACTTACCTAGTACTTTGACAACAATGGTATATGACTTGGTACCACTACTGTTTTCTAGAGTTAGGACATATTTGCCAGCATCATATCTGTTGATTTCCTCACAATAAAGGAACGTATCCCATTCAGTTGTCTTGATCATAAGACCCTGTCTCTCTTTCAAGTTTGCATTGACCTTAGTCCATGTTGCCTTTGGAGCAGGACGCCCTCTCAGAGGTACATAAATTCTCATTGTGACTCCAGCACGCAAAACTAAGGCTTTTCTGAGATCTGCATCAAGTTCAGCCTCAGGAGCAACTAAGAGAAATTTTTAATGAAAATAATATCAGAAATGTACATATTTTGAATTCCCATATATATTCAGTTATGAGATCTACTTACTCAAGATATCCTTTGCCATATGGTTTCCAGGAACTTCACTTGGTTCTCCAAATCCAATCTTGTTTACAGCACTAACACGGAACTGATATTCAATGCTATCTATAAGACCAGTAACATTAAATTTTGTCGCCTGGAGATTCTTCGGAACATTGCACTTTAGCCAGTCTTCTGCATCTGCTCTCTTGTACTCAACAAGATAGCCTAGAATTTCACATCCGCCATCATAGGCTGGCTTGGTCCAGGACAAACTGATTGAACTATGTGTAGAGTCAACAGCCTTTGGAAAAGCAGGTGGTCCAGGAGGATCTATGATACAACCACAGAAACACAAGGACTTAAATGCATGAACTATAAAAAGGTATTTTTTGCCAACTTAATTGTTAATTATCTACCAATGCAGTATTGTTAGTACTTACACACTGGGTCTACTGCAATAACACCAACTGATGGATCACTTGGTTTGCCAAGACCAGCTTTATTCAGTGCAATGATTCTGAATTCATACTCGGTTCCCTCTGTAAGGCCTCCAGCTTTAATTGTCCTGTCAATAACTGGTTTTCTGTTTACTTTGGCCCAATTGAGGTCTTGAGTTTCACGCCTCTCGACCAGGTATCCAAGAATTGTAGCCTTGCCATCATCAGCAGGGGCCTTCCAACTGACAGTCATGTGATCTCTGGTGATATTGGTAATAACTGGAGGTTCACATGGTCCTGGAACACCTTCATTTGAAAAAATAAAATGATTTAGGTTGGATCTGTTTATCACATTTTCAATATAATAATATATTTATATAATTTATTATATATTATATATTTATATATAGATAATATATTTACATTCGATTTAGAGATCAACCGATAATTGGTTTGACATTTATGAATGATTTTTAGGTTTGCTAATGGTGAAAAAAGCCTTTAAAGAATAGCACCCAAAACACCATTACAACTTATTAACCAATAATGTAGTTAACAAATTATGTGCCTGTGCAAAACTTTCAACATTAGATGAACACATACAGTTAACATCATTTTTGCATTATTCATCGACATAATTACAACCCAGTAGAAAATAATGTAACATGTTTGATTTTAACTAAGACTAGATTTCTACTTCCCTAGAATTTATGATTTTTGCTGTAGAGTACATTCTAAATCATTTTTAATTATACGTAATATTATTTATATTATTAATATAAAAAAGTCAATGCTGTAATGAAAATGCTGTAATGGTCACTCATCGGTCTATAATATAGAAATGCAAAAGAAAGAATAAAATGTTACCAAATGGATTCTTGGCGATCACAGAATTAGTCACAATTACGTCTCCAACCCCATACTTGTTCTCAGCACAGATGCGGAACTCATATTCATGGCCTTCAATGAGTTTCTCCACGGAACAGTCCGTTATCTGACCATTAATGTTAGCAGTAACTTGTGCCCAGTTAGCTCTGCTTGTTTCACGTTTGTCAACAATGTAATTTGTGATTTCAGAACCACCATCTGCAAGAGGTGGCTCCCACCTCAGTTTCACTCGGTCAGCATAAACATGGCTTATCTTCACTGATGCTGGGGGTCCAGGTTTATCTGCAGAAACACAATTACGCATTTTTCACATAACAAGGAAGACAAAGCACACACTATGCTTTTTGGCATATTTTAATGTTAACTTACCAAGAACCTTCAGTTTAATGTTGCCAGACTTTGTGCCACTTTGGTTCTCAGCAAAAATGGTGTACTCGCCAGACTCTTTTCTTGTCACAGAGAACAGTTCCAAGGAGAAGAGATGCACCTTCTGAGTCATTTTCATACCTTCGGACAATTTGAATGGAACACCATCTTTCCTCCAAGTGACCTTTGGCATTGGTTTACCATAAACTTCAGCCTCCAGGCAGACATTTGCTCCAGCTTTGACAACGATTAATTTCTTCATTTCAAGACTAATCTCAACTCTAGGTGGAACTGAGATAATACAAAGAGAGACATCAAATAAAGTCCTTCATTTAGAAAATGTTAACATTATTGGTGGAACGTAAGACTTACCATGCTCTGCTATAACTGGGATAGCATCAGATTCCTCTGAGGGCAGACTGACATTAATTGCTGTCTTCGCAATTATTCTGAACTTGTACTGGGCTCCCTCCTCAAGTCCAGGAACAACGTATTCTTCCTTTGGTACATTTTGACTGCTTGCGTTGATACGCATCCATTTGTCACCTGGAATCTTCAGAGATTCAACATAATAACCAATGAGTTTGCTTCCGCCATCATGTTTCGGACGGTCCCAGACAAGAGAGACGGAATTTCTGGTCACATCAAGAACTTGGGGTTTGCCAGGTGGATCTGAAAAAGAATATTCATAAAACTTTAATTTGAACGTTTACTAAAAGTGACAGCAGCCTGTTTCCCCCCATACACATACCAACTGGAGATCTCGCAGTGATAAAATCTGTCTGTTTGCTTGGTTTGCCTTGTCCTGCTTTGTTAACAGCAGACACTCTGAATGTGTACTCCAGACCATCGATGAGGCCAGAGCATGTATATTCAGTTGAGCGAACAAGGACTTCATTTGCCTTGGACCACAAGAGGCTATTTCTTTCTTTGCGCTCAATGCAATATCCTGTGATGGGACTGCCACCATCGTTCACTGGTACCTCCCAGGACAACACAACAAAGTCCCTGCTGATTTTGTTGACACAACAGTTCCTTGGCTCACTGGGTGGATCTGAAATCAAAAGATTTGTATTGGTGTAAATAAAGCCTAATCCCTTTTGCATGTCTGTGTTTAAAGGTGTCCATTTATGAGGCTTACCAAATGGATATCTAGCAATGATCTTCTCAGCGTAAATTGGTTCTGAAATTCCAAAGCGGTTTTCAGCACGGACACGGAAGCCGTACTCTTTGCCACACGTGAGCTTTCCAACTCTGCAACTGGTCTTGGTGCAAGATGCAGCTGTGACCCAGTCACCTCTTGTCACATCACACTTCTCAACAATGTAGTTTGTGATGTTGCTGCCACCATCTTCAGCAGGTGAATCCCATGCTAGTGTGCAGGCGTCTACGTCCACCTCAATAATTTGTACAGGACCCTGTGGAGGACCAGGGATGTCTAAAAAAAGGAAAATAAATTTACTTTAATAGACTTCAAAATAGACTTTATCCTTTTAAGACTATTAACACAATTTTCTTACGAAAAAATATACCACACCGTGCCTACGGCCGAATCACAGCCGTGCTGTTATACATCCATTTCGCACTGCTACTTGTGTGATATTGCTCATATATATACGTATTTGGCTCAACCTTCATGCTTGTCCGCTTGTCCAGGACAAGTTAATTTTTTGAAGGGGCACATGAAAGATAATTTTACTTGCCCGCCTCGACAAGTAGACTGATTAAAACCTCAGTGACAAAAAATAATTAGGGAAGCATTGAAACGTGAGAATTCAATAAGAATTAATTTCAGTCTGTGTAAACAGCTATTGGCAATGGATATTATATTTTTGGTAAGAAGGTTGAGCTGTTGAGACTCATGCTGCCCGTCTCTTTGTGAGAGACTTTGTGGAGAAATTAAAAGAAATGAGCATAACAGCACACATAAAGTAACTCACAGAAGAAACTCTAATTCTAAATGTTTGATTTTTTTATTTATAATGTAATATAGTTAAGTAACGTAACAAGTCCAAGGGAGCTGTTTTGCTGAATATTATTATTATGATTGCAAATGCTACATTGATTTTATAAGTTCAATAAACAAGTAGTTAATAATAAGTCACAAGATACAATATTGACTGTTTTTGTTTATTTCACCAACGAAAATAGTTCCAAAAAAGATCACAGCAGAACTATTGCGCCGTCTCAAAGCAACACTCAGCGGTGTTTTTGTGATTTAGCATTTTGAACAAATCGGTTGCATGAATGACTCAATGACTCACTCATTAAGGGACTTGCCGCTACATACTGGTGGTTTAGTTTCATGTTTTAGTTTCCAAACATGTCTTATGTGTTTATTCAAAATCGCATTTAAAACATTAATCTCATCACAATATTTATTGCAGTTGTAAATTATTTAATTTAATTGGTAACAGCTCTGTAGTGTCTCATTATGATAATTGAATTTATTGAGCAAATGTAAGAATTTGACATTAAGAGATGAGGCATAAGATTTAATAAGGTTAAAAAAATTGCCTTCATAAAGGTATATAACGCCCTGGGGTTATAATAAAAAATATATAGATTTAAGTATCTAAAAGCTGATGGTATCTAAAAGTATCTAAATATTGCTTGAGAATAAATTATGTTCACACCACCAAAAATCCAAGTACATGACAAGGCTGGATGTCAAGCCCGGCTATTTAATAAATATTTATGTATATGAATAAACTTACCCATAATGATTATTCGGATGATCTGGTTGACCTTGCCAGTGCTGTTTTCAGCAGAAAAACTGTAATAACCACTATCCTTCCTTATAACTTCTTTAATCGAAAGAGTACTTGAGGTTGGTGTTTTTTGTATGGAGAGACGATCAGATGTAACTAAATCATCATTTCCTCTTCTCCATTTAGTGACTGGTGCAGGCTTCCCAGACACAAGAGCATCAACTATAAGTTTAGTTCCTGCTCTTGCTGTAACCACATCAGAGACGATGATCTTCGGTCCCACTAAAAAAAGGTATTAAGGTATAAAATGTATTCAGAGTGTGATTCATGAAAAACATAGCATGAATAAAAATAAATTAATAATGGGAGAGCACAAAATCTTTGTCTACATACTCAGCTGTTCCTTGACCTCAAATATGCCCTCAGCTTCTCTTGCCAAACTGCATCCTATTGCGTTTCTTGCGGCAACCCTGAATCTGTACTTAGTGTTTTCTTTTAGTCCAGCAACAACAATGGTCAAGTCTTTCACAACCGAGTATGATGTCCACTTGTCCTCAGGTTGACCATCCTGCTGGTATTCAACAACATATCCATTAATCTTAGATCCACCATCTCTAAGTGGTTTGAGCCACCCAAGAGTTGCACTGTTTTTAGAAATTTCTAATACATCCATCTTCTTTGGAGGATCAGGCTCACCTTTACAAAGTAAAAATAAACACATTATTTTTAAAATGCATTATATTATATGATACAATACAATAGAACATAATATAATCAATTATACGGTGCAATGTGGACTTACTTTTGGAATCTGTAGCTAGGTAGGACTTTGGAGAATCTTGAGGCAAACCGATGCCATACTTGTTAACTGCCATCACCCGGAAGTAGTATTCTGTTCCTGGTGTCAGATTTGTGATTTTGAAGCTTGTCTTCTTTAAGTCATTTGTGCAATTTGTCCATGTTTTCCTGTCAACCTCACGCTTTTCAACAACATAGTTAAGGATTGGACTACCACCATCATTTTCTGGAGGCAACCATGCAAGCTGGCATGTTGTCTTAGTGATATCAGTTCCCTCCAGTCCACCAACAGGACCAGGAGTATCTGTTGATAAATTTCAGGAACAGTTTTACCAACAGTACTTGATATTGGGTAAGTGTAAAGCTTATCTTAATTTTAAAATGCATTTTATGCAAATGTAAGATTACCTAAGACTTTTACACGAACAAATACAGCCTTTTCTCCAGAGGCATTTGAAAGAGTCAAAGAATATCTGCCAGAGTCTTCACGTGAACACTCAGGAATCACAAGAAAGGTCATTGTATCAATTTGATCCACATGACCCCTTCTAACGACATTGTCAACACCCATGCGCTTCCAAGTCACTTTAGGTGATGGTCTTCCTCTAATTGTTGCAAAAAGTCTGATAGGACATCCGGCTCTAACGCTAAGGCCTTTTCTTAGACTGGCATCAAGATCAATCTCTGGAGGTTCTGTTGTGAAGAAAAAAGACTGAATAAGTATACTGAATTTCAAGGGGAATCATATAAGCAACACTTTAAAACAAACACTTACCGTTGACCTCCTTTGGTGATACAGCATCCTTGAGGATAGCAGGATAGCCCATGCCAACTTGGTTTTGAGCAGAAACTCGGAATTCATATTCCTGTCTCTCATCCAAGTTAATAATTGTAAATTCAGTTAGGACAAGTTGTCCAGAAGTATTACATTTCTTCCAGCCTTCCTCAGGATCTCTCACTTGTTCACCTTCCATTTGCACCTTATCCCTCATTTCAACCAGATATCCAATAATTGGAGCACCACCATCATACACAGGCTTCGTCCAGCTAAGTGTAATTGATGTCTTTGTGCTATCAACTACTTTAAGGCTGCCAGGAGGACCAGGGGGCTCTAAATATTACAAAATAAAATGAGATACAATTAAATACATCTTTATGGGATAAAAAAAAAAAACATTATACAATCTCAGATGAATAGATGAAATACAGATTATACATACCAATTGGATCTTTTGCAGTGATGGGCCTGGATGCTTTGCTCGGTTCTCCCAATCCTACTTCATTTTCAGCTTTGACACGGAATTGATAATCGTGGTTAGGGATCAGATTGGTGACCTTCATGCGTCTCTCAGAGATAGGGCTCTTTGTGACAGGAACCCATCGAACAGCCCGCTTTTCTTTTCTCTCCAGAATGTAACCAGTGATAGACTTTCCACCATCATTCTCAGGAGGAGCCCATACCACAGTCATCTCATCTTTACCAATTTTGGTTACCTCAGGTGCATCAGGTGGACCAGGCCTGTTGAATTGTGTCTTAGCAGTAATAGGCTTACTCTCCATTGGCGGCCCAGTCCCCATTTTATTTTCTGCTCTGACCCTGAATATGTACTCATTTCCCTCAACAAGGCGTGTTACATTACAGTAGTTGGTGACGACAGAGGCAGAGTAAGTGGACCAAACCATTCTTCTCGTCTCACATTTTTCTAGAATATAGCTGTCCACCTCACAACCACCATCATCCTCTGGAGGATCCCATACAACTCTGCACTTTTCTGTGGAGATGCCAGAAATCTTCATATCTCTGACAGGTCCTGGTATATCCAAAACTGTAACATTGGCATATGCTGTGAACGATCCTGCCGAGTTTGTAGCAGTGACCACATATTTTCCAGTATCACTACGTTTGGTTTTAGTAAGGAGGAATTTTGAGTAATCGTATCCAGTGTCAATACTGATCCTTGGGTTATCGCCTGTAGCCTTGTCCTTGACCCATGTAACCTCAGGCTGTGGTTTTCCTCTAATTCCAGCCTCAAGTCTTACTGATTCACCCGCTTTGACCACTATGGTACCAACAAACTTCAGGTCAATAACTGGTTTCTGAACTTCTTCTTTGACAAGAATTTCAGATGTCTTAACCCAGGCGCTTTCACCTCCATCATTTGTTGACTGGACTCTAAACTGATAGGTTTGGTTCTCAACACATTTGTCCACCATGAAGAATGTCTCTTTCAGGACTCCCTCATGTACCTTTTCCCACTCTTCAGCATCCTTTGCTTTTCTCTCCAAATGGAAGCCCAGGTTAGGACTGCCACCGTCATAATCTGGTTTTCTCCATTTAAGGAAAACAAAGTGCTTACCGATATCACTGACGTGGAAGTTCTCTGGCTCACTTGGCTTCTGAAGTGGGTCGATTGCAAGGATAGGAGTTTTGGTTTCTGTTGCTGGCCCAGGACCACATTTGTTCTCAGCAGACACACGGAATAAATATTCATGATTTTCCATGAGCTTTGCCTTTACCATACGATTTGTGCAGTCAGATGATATCATTGACCAGGTTCGTATACTTGGCTCCCGACATTCCACAATGTAATTTGTTATCTCAGTGCCTCCATTATCCTCAGGAGCATCCCAGGACACCATGCAAGAGTTTTTAGTTACATATGTCATCTTAAGATTCTGGCAGTGCCCAGGTCTATCCAGAACATTTACACTAATAGTAGCTGAGGCCTCTCCAGCTTCATTAGCAGCCTTAAGTACATACTTTCCATGATCTGCTCTGGTCGCTTCCTTGATACGCATTTGCACTACTGGGAAGTTGTTTATCAGAGTGGTGCGCTTGCCCTTTTCCAAAATGCTTTCACCTTTGCTCCAAGTAATTTCTGGATCAGGTCTTGCTTTCACATATGCAACAAGATTAATGTTATGTCCAACACGGACAGTCATACGTTCACGGCATGTGGCATCCATCTCAATTTCGGGAGGGATAACAATATCCTTAGCAATAACTGACTCTGGGATTTCCCTAGTCTCTCCTTCTCCAATCATATTAACAGCTTTAACACGGAACCTGTATTCTGTGTCCTCTATCAGTCCCTTTACTCTATAAGCACACTGCTTAATCAGATCATCCTTATTGACTTTCTCCCACTCAGCACCTTCTTTATGGCATTCAACTATATATCCTAAGACTGGACTGCCTCCATCTTTTGTGGGTCTGATCCAGACTAAGTCAGCATGTATACAACTGTAGTCCTTTATCTTAGGGTTAATTGGAGGTCCCGGAACAGTAATTGGTCTGCAAGGTCTGGCAGGATCTGAAATAGGTGAAGGTCCACTAAAGCCAGCAATATTTTCAGCAAATACTCTGAACTCATATTCGATGCTTTCAAAAAGCCCAAGCACTCTATATCTCAGGTCCTTGCAGGGTGTTTTATTCACTCTGATCCATTTGCCTCCTTTATGTCTTCGCTCAATAATGTAACCACTGATTGGACTACCACCATCAAACAGTGGCATTGTCCATCCAAGTGTGAGTGAATCTTCAGATATATCAGATGCAACTGGTTTTCCAGGATGGCCAGGGGGCTCAAACTGGTGCCGGGCTACAGTTGGTGCACTTTCAAGAGCTGCGCCAATTCCCATTTTGTTTTCAGCACGAATTCTCACAACATACTCAACTCCTTGCTGGAGACGAGAAATCTTGAGCCTTGTGGCAGTGCTGCCAGAACTTACTCCTCCCCAAGTTTCCTTATTTGATTCCCTCTTCTCAACAATATAGTTCGTGACAGGGCTTCCACCATCCTCTTTGGGAGGACGCCAGTCAATGACCATGTATTCAGGAGTCAGTTCAAGGATATTTACGGGACCTATCGGGGCAGATGGCACATCAAGAACTGTGACATTCAGAGAAACAGTCTTACTTCCTGCTGAGTTAGACACTGTGAGAATATAGATTCCGGTGTGACTTCTTGTACAATCGGCAATGCTCAGAACAGTGGAGAAGTTGTCTGTGTCGATTTTGATATTGCCTTCACTCTTGATTTCCTCTCCATCAATGACCCACTTGGCAATGGGAACCGGAAGGCCTCTCATAATGGCAGGCATCCTAATAGTGCTTCCAGCTTTCACAATGATTCCCTCAATCAATTTCACATCAACCTCAACAATGGGTGGTACTACAAAGACAGTAGAAGAATACAAATATTAAATCGTACATATTGAAAACAAAACAAAACAAAAAATCTTTAAATAATCATATGGGACATTAAAATTAGAGTCTAACCTAGTTTTTCCTGGCAAAGTACTGGCACAGTGGTATCTGGTCTACTTAGACCAATTGCATTCTCTGTCTTAACACGGAACCTGTAGGTCTTTCCTTCTTCCAGTCCAGTCACATGGCACTCAGGAATGCTGACAGTCTTAAAAACGATCCAATCCCTTTCACCTTCTTCTTGATACTCAACCAAGAAACCTGTGATGTCACTTCCTCCCGTGCGATCGGGCCAATTCCACTGGAGCCACACCTCGGTTTTATCAGCATCTACATGATGCAGGTCTTTTGGTGGACCAGGTGGAACTGAAATATGAAAATAGATGTTAGTTTATTATATTGTTATACATTATATATATTGTTTTGAAAATTAACATTAAATAAGCCTGTGGAGACATTCCTCAGGCCATACTTACACAGGGGATTCATTGCTTTGATAGCTTTTGTTGTTTCAACATATTCGCTTCTTCCAAACTGATTTTCAGCTGCCACACGGAACATGTATGATGTTCCCTCAATCAAATGCTTAGCCATCATGCTGCGTTTTTTGGATGATGAACAGACTGGCACCCATTGTGCAGATGCTGCATCCTTTTTCTCAACAACAAAGTTAGTGATGCGTGCACCACCATTATCTTCTGGGTCTTTCCAAGAGAGCTGGGCAGAATCACATCTGACATCAGACACCCTGAGATGCTGAACTGGTCCAGGTTTGTCTACAAAAACAAACACATAAAACAACAACAACTTAACTCTTTGCCTGAATAGAATGGTATTTTCTAGGGGGTTTGACGAGTCACAAGATCTTGCTGTATTAAAAAGTGAAGATTTTTCTCATTGAGGTGAAAAGCTGTCTCGCAATATCAGCATGATGGAGTTGAGCTTGTGGCAAAAGCTTTTACAGTGCCTATATTATTCTGTCTTTTATTGCATAGGAAAATTCATACTAAGAAATTAGCAATAGTGACATATATTACAATTATTAAGACGATTAATAGTCAAAAGTCTTAAAAAATGTTTTGCGTTTTGTGATTCAGTTGAATAATAGTCTATTTCTCCAGCCATTGAAGATTTTAAAAATAGTGTTAAAATATCATCTTGAATTGCTCTTGTGAGCCCAATATAATGTAGTATTGTCTCATGAGCTAGGTTTATTGTCACACCCCTAGTATTTTCATTTTAGTTTACTTTTGTGTTCTATTTGTTATAAATTATTTAAAATTGTACAATTTCTGATTTTACATAGTCTTTGTAATATAAAAAAAATTACCAAGAACAAGCACGGTGCATGTGGCTGTCTTTGATCCAGCTGGATTTTCAACAGTTAGTGTGTAATCGCCACAGTCTGCACGGGTGCAATAACGCATCTCTAGTTTGGTTGCTGTTCCAGATGTTTCAATCTCTGATCTTGTAGGAACATCTAATTCATTTTTCTTCCATGTGACTTTGGGGAAAGGCATTCCTTTAATTCCAGCAGTAATAGCAATATGGGTTCCGGCCATTGCTTTGAGTTCACGAGGCATGCCCAAATCCAGTTGAAGTTCTGGGGGCTCTATAGACAAAAAAAAAATAGCATTTAATATTGTTAGACACATTTTCTTAAATGCAATAACATGCATAATTATTAACTAATATCATACATATCCGAATACGCATAAATTACCAAATCTGTCTTGTGCTCGAACAGGCTCTGGGACATATGCAGGCTCTGATTCGCCAGCAGCATTCACTGCCTTCACCTTAAATCTGTACAGTGCACCATCCTCAAGGTTGATAACCTTGAATACAGTGCCCTGGCAGGAGTCGGGTGTCTGATTAACTTGAAGCCATTCCTCATCACCAGCTTTCTGATATTCAAGGAGATAGCCAAAGATTTTGCCTCTGCCACAGTCTTTTGGTGGCTGCCAAGAAAGAGTTACAGACTCTTTTGTCTTGTCAATTGCTACTGGAAGTACAGGTGGGCTTGGAATCACTGTAACAAGACAATCATGAAAAAAAGTGGTTATTATTTTAACTTTAATTAATACAAATAGTTAATTGTAATTTTTTTTATTTAAAATATAATTGGATACATACCAATAGGATCTTTGGCATAGATGGGCTTTGAAGGTGGACTGGGGTCACCAACACCAATTACATTCTCTGCTGTGACACGGAATTCATATTCACATCCCTGGAGAAGATCAGGAACCCAATATTCTGTGTTGGGGTAAATGCGGTCTTTTCCAGCTTTAGTCCACATATTGGCCTTGGTCTCCTTTCTTTCAACAATGTAGTTTGTGATTGGTTTGCCACCATCAGCTGGCTGGATCCACGAAATCAGAGCCGTATCTTTATAGATTTCTTTTATCACAGGTGCTTGTGGTGCATCTGGAACCTCTGCAGGTGTAAGAAATTTGAGAACATGAGTAAAACTCTAGACCATTCATTAAAAGATTCTTGTTAAAATAATGTATTGACTATTGTATTATACTGCAGAATCTGTTACTTACTGAAAATATCCTTTGCTTTTGTTTCAGCAGATAGCAATGGATCACTAATACCATGAATATTTTGAGCACAAATTCTAATGATGTACTCTCTTCCCTCAATTAGCTTTGGAACTCTGCATGATGTCCTTGTGCAAGATTCTGTAACAGGCATCCATAAATCCCTGTTGGTGTCTCTCTTTTCAACAGTGTAGTTAGAAATAGCAGCTCCACCATCATCCAATGGGGGATTCCAAGAAATGACCATATAATTCCTGTAAATCTCATCAAATACAACAGGACCCTCTGGAGGTTGTGGACGGTCTGAAAAATTCATAAAACAAGATTAATCATTAAGTTTGTAAAGAAATAATTGTAAAATTGATAAAAAAATAATACATAAAAAATATAATATCTACTTGACAAAAAGTAGACATTAGCTTACCAACAACAGTAACAGTACATATGCCCTTGCGTGAGCCAATGGAGTTCTCCAGAAGCACAGTGTATTTTCCACTGTGATCACGTTTTGCTTTTGCAATAGTCAAGCCTAATTTATTCGGTGTGCGGGTAAGAGCGAATTCTTCATTTGCCTGAAGCTCCTCATCATTTTTGAACCATTTAATTGTTGGTGCTGGTTTGCCTGTGTATTTGCTTTGAAGAGTGCAAGTTTCCCCAACGCGAACAACAAGCTTGTCACGGAACTCAAGATCAAGGTTTGGTGGTTCTAGTAAAGAGTATAGTATACAATAAATCAAAGAGTCAAAAAATAAGTAAATAAAAAAAAAATCAGGTGCAGTACTTCAATTACTTACCAAACTCTTTTTTGCATGTAACTGGTTTGGTGCTGAAGGATGGTTTGCCTTGACCGATTTGATTGACAGCACTAACTCGGAATTCATAAGAATAACCTTCTTTAAGACCCACATGTGTGAATTTACGATCCAAAAGTTTATCCTCTGTGGCAATAATCTTGAAATGTTCCTGTCCGATAAGACGAACTTCAAGAACATAGCTTGTAATGTCTGAACCTCCATCATACTTTGGAGGCCTCCATGCGATGCTGATTGAATCATTTGTGACGGCTGTGACCTCAAGATCCTCTGGACGCTCAGGTACAGCTGAAGAAGTTGTGTGAGAAATGTTTGAGACATCATACAAGTAATTAAATGTAATGACATGTAAAAAATGTACAAATTAACAAAAACAAGGCTTACCAAGTGGATCCTTGATGACGACTGGAGCTGAAATCTCAGTGAAGGGACCCATTCCAATAATATTTTCAGCTGCGATTCTGAAGTAGTAACCCTTGCCATCAACAAGACCCTGGACAACAGCATTATGTCTTGTGACAGTGTATGTCACTGAAGTCCAGCCTCTGCGGTCAGCTTCTCTCTTCTCAATTATATAGTTGGTGATAGCTGAGCCACCATCATCTTCAGGAGAGTACCATGTCAACTTACAAGAGTCAGTGGTGAGATTCTTACCAGAGAAAGGCTGACCCACTGGGCCAGGGACATCTGTAAAGAGAAAAAAACAAGCAGTGTTCATTAGTTTATTGAAATCATTTCAGAATTAAGATATATAAAAAAAACACTCACCCAATACTTCAACAATAATCGCTTTCTTCCTCTCTCCACCTGCATTCTTAGCAGTCAGCGTATAAATGCCCTGGTGTTGTCTCCTGCAACTTTTGATAACCAAAGCTGAACTTATAGAAGTGGTCTCAACAGCAGCCTCCTTTGGTAAATCGCCATCATCTCTGTTCCAAATGATCTCTGGAGCAGGCTTTCCTGACACATAGGCCAGGATGCGGATAACTCCACCAGCATGAACAACAATCTTTTCCTTGACAGTTGCATCCAGGTCTACTTCAGGGGGAACTAAAATATATGGTAAATTAAATATAAAGTAAATAAATACAGAAAACAGAAGACAGGAAAGAAATCTAAAATCTGAACTAATGCTTACTTGTCCTGTCCTTGACTTCAATCACATCAGAAACCTCACCAGGTTCTCCCACACCTGCAGAATTTACAGCTCTCACTCTAAATCTGTAGAGTCCAAGCTCTTTAAGTCCAGGAACAACAAACTTGGTGCCTCTGATTTCCTTGTCTTTAACCTAAGATAAAAAAGTAAAAACATTATATATACTGTGTATATATACTGTATATATATATATATGTGTGTGTGTGTGTGTGTGTGTGTGTGTGTCACATACCTTCTCCCATTCCTCTTGCCCTTCTTCTTTGTACTCTACAAAATAGCCTGTAATTTTAGATCCACCATCAACAAGTGGAGGAATCCATTCAAGATCAACAGTTGACTTGGTACAGTCTGTTACTTTTGGTGTTGGAGGTCCTGGAGGTGCTGTTGAGAAAAAAAATACAAATGATGTATAATAGATGCATGAATCAGTAAAGATGAAAGGCCCACCAAAATGCAAAAGTAAAAAAATAAAATGAAGAAAACTAGAAAATCCTGACATACCTATGGGGTCTCTACATGGAACAGGATCAGAAGGAACACTAGGAGGGCCGCAACCAGCTGCATTAATTGCAATAACACGGAACTGGTAGATAGCACCCTCCATAAGGCCAGTTACAATATGGGAAACTCCTAGAGTCCTGATTCTGATAGGTTCACGATTTACTCTTGTCCAACGCTTGCTTGTAGTTTCCTTACGCTCTAACCAATAGCCAGTTACTGGAGAGCCACCATCATATTCTGGCTCATCCCATTCGACGGTCATAGATTCAATTGAAACATCTGTAACAGTTGGCTTCTCACATTGGCCAGGCACAGCTATTGAGGGAAAATGGAGTAAAATAAGAAATTTAAACAATACATTCATTTTGCAAGGATCCGAGTTTGAATAGTATATTTTAATACATTTAAAACCATTTTAGCTTTTACTGAATTTTACCTTGTCAATGTTTCATTCTGTTTTTAAAAGACTTAAAACACTAAAAATCATGAGATCATTCATCTTACTTGTACTTTAAGTTATGCACAAAAAAAAATCACTAGATATCAACATACACTGACAAATTAATGCATAGTAAATATGTTCCAGATAACATTTGAATATTCTCCTTTAGTATAATGACGATATAAAGCCAATTTGCTTAATTTGAATTATGGGTCCTAATTTATGTACATATTTTAGTAAGGTGGCCCCTCGCATAGAGATCATCATATTTGGAGGTCATGGGAATCAAAAACAGCTGGACTTAGAGATTCCAATTATATGAAACTTACTGAAGAGGTTTCGTGCTTTTTCAGGTTCACTGTACAAGGGTGGTCCAATTCCATATTTATTCTGAGCCATAACACGGAACTCATACTCATGGCCCTCTGTTAGCCTTTGCACTGTGTATTGGCATTCCTTTGGATCACTAGAGACATGGACCCATGTTTTTCTGTTTTCCTCACGCTTTTCAACAACATAGTTTGTAATCTTGGAACCGCCATCATCTAAGGGTATATTCCAGGAGAGACCAATCCTTTCAGCGAAAATCTCCCCAATCTTAATTGGTCCTACAGGTACACCAGGACGTCCTAAGGACACAAGATTAGCATATTATTATTTTTTATCTTTCAAATGGATGAATCATTCCAAATTATTGTAGGAGAAAATGAAATCATGGAATTCAAGGACTTACCCAAAATGCTAAGCTTGATGCTCTTGGTGGCTGTGCCCAAACTGTTGGTGGCTGTCAGAGTGTATATTGCGCTGTCATCTCTCTTTGACTGCTGAATCAACAGGGTGCATTTCTCATCAGAAACAAGTTTATTGACATGTTTGTCATACTGTACAGCAGCTTTGTCATCAGGCTTATCCTGGGGAGCCTTGTGCCAGACAAGAGATGGGAATGGACAGCCTTGTATCCTGGCAACAATGGTGACATCATATCCTTCAGCACCTTCTAAAGCTTCTCTGAGGTCAATACTTGGAGCACCTACATTTAAAAAAAAAATAAATGTTAGCAAATAACTAAGTGTCATATTTCAAGAAACTTTATCAAAAAAAAGACATGATCTTCAACTCACATGTCTGGTCCTTAATGACGATTGGTCCGGCAGTAACAGAGGGTCTGCTTGCACCAGCTTCATTTACAGCTTTAACACGAAACTCATATTCACCACCTTCTTTAAGCTCTTCAATGATAAAGGTAGTCTCTTCAACATCTCTCTTGTTGCATTGTTTCCAAGTCTCTTTCTGTGGACCACTGGTATCCCAGCTCAACCTCTCAATGATGTAATGCTTTACTGGTGCTCCACCATCATTCTTAGGAGGAACCCATGACAGGGTAACAGTGTTCTTTGTAACAAGGTTAATTTTCACCTTGGTTGGAGGATCAGGAGGATCTTGACATTAAAAGAAAATAAGATGAATCAGAAATTAATTAGAAAACAATTTAGAGGTATGCGATGCTTCTCAAAATTCTGGGCTAACCAACTTACAGATAGGATCCCTTGCCCTAACAGGTTCTGTGGTCTCAGTAAATGGTCCAAAGCCAAGGCGATTCTCAGCACGAACACGGAATAAGTAGTCCTGTCCCTCAAGGAGGTTAGGCACGACAAAGGCCATGCTGGCACAAGTAGCGTTGACAACTGTCCAAGCCTTTCCATTGACAGCCTTCTTCTCAATAAAATAACTTTTGATTCTCTCTCCACCATCATTATCTGGCAGCTTCCAAATGAGTCTCATTGTGGTTCTGGTGATATCAGTAACTTTGAGCTCTTTGGGTGCTCCAGGAACATCTGGAAAGAAAATATCAATTTACTTCATAGCACAATGTTATTTTTGATTAAGTCTTTAAAAATATTAAAATAGCAAGTAGCAAACTCACCAAGCACATTTACTCTGACATTGACATGCTTCTGTCCTGATTTATTCTTTGCTGTAATTGTGTACCTGCCAGAATGGGTTCTCAAACTGACAGGAATTGTAACAACTGAGGTAGTGTCAGTTGATTCAACCTAATCCCCAAGAAAATCACCAATAAACATCAGTCTTATATTAAGAAGAAAATTGTATTTGTGTCTAAAATTAGAGAAAAAGTATTACCTGTGAATCCACTGGTAAGATATGAAGACGATCCTTCTTTTCTGTCTTTGCTTTGCCATCAAACTCCCATGTAACTTTGGGAGCAGGACGCCCTGTGATGGTAGCAGGAATCTTAAATGGAGAACCAGCACGGATACACAGAAGATCATGAGCACTGATATCCATGAAGATCTTTGGTCCAGCTGTAGAATTAAGAGAATGCATAAGGTCATGCAAAAATAAATATTGTGACTCTTGAGGAAGTTAATTTGTATTTAGTACAAAAGATTTTACTTTGAATGTCCTCTATGCGAACTTCAGTGGTTCTGGGGCTTGGTTCAGACTCGCCAATTTCATTGACTGCAATGATTCTGAATCTGTATTTCTTAAGTGCTGGGAGGTTTGGAATTGTGAACTCAGTAGAAGGATGCGGATTTTCAGCATCATTAATCCTGGCCCACTCAGAAGTTCCTTCATCCTGGATCTCAATGATGTAACCTTTGATGGGGCGACCACCATCTTTAGCTGGTGGGGTCCACGCAAGAGTGACACTATGTTTGGTTTTGTCACTAATCTCAGGAGCTGCTGGCATGCTAGGTGGAGCTGTAAACACACACACACACACAAAACAAACAAACATTAAATATGTTAAAAAAAACAACATTCATTTGAAATCTATCAAAAATACAAATGCATTTCATTTATGTTCTTACTCAATGGATCATCGGCAACGGCAGATTCAGAAATGGCACTAGGTGGTCCAATACCAGCAGAATTGCAAGCCATTGCACGGAATTCATACTCTGTTCCCTCTATGAGACGGGTAACCTGGTATTCCCAGCCTTTCATGCCACGTTTTGACACCAGTGTCTTATTCACACGAGACCAATAGGAAGTGCCTTTTTCACGCTTCTCAAGCCAGTAGCCAGTAATCATAGAACCACCACTGTCAATAGGTGGTTCCCATGTCAGTACCATATGGGTCTTAGAGTGCTCAGTGATAGTGACCTTCTCAGGTGGGCCAGGCAGAGCAAAAGGATCCTTAATCTGAACCTCTTCGGTTTCACAGGCCTCACTTATTCCATACTTATTCTCAGCTTTGACTCTAAATTTATAGTTGCCACCAGTTTGCAGGTTCCATGCCTGCAAAAAAAAATTAGAAAACAAGATGATATCATTATTTCAGCAAATTTTCCAAATATATATGTTTTATATATATATATATATATATATATATATATATATATATATATATATATATATATATATGTCTAATATATAAACAATGCTCTTGTTTGAAACATTTTGAATGACTACCTACACAAATGCTATGAAATAATAGTTTTGCTTACCCCATATCGCTTCTCAATAATGGACTTAGTAACCTGCACCCACTCAGCCTTTTCAGGATCTTCAACATTAAGGTCTTTCATCTCAACAATGTAGTTGGTAAGCTCACTGCCACCAATATCCAATGGGGCATCCCAGGTAAGGTTGCAAGATTCTGCTTTGATATTTGAAACAGCAATATTCCTTGGTGGTGTTGGGCGATCTATGAAAAAAGAGATAATTATAAATCATAAAGAATATGCCAAATAAACATACTTTGGAAACTTAAGCTGTGACATACTGGTTGCCATTGCATCATATAAAAAAAGCAGACATTTCAAGTAAAACATTTCACAACAATTTTTTTATATAAGAGATTTATTTATATATATAAATCAAGACAAGGGTATTAGGCACCTTTTGGTTGTCAAACATAAGTAGATGATTTCCATAGTTAATGTGATATTCAACTGTGTGAACTTAAGGAGATCTGACTCCAAACATCCACTAAAATCACCTCAGCATGATGCCACTTGGTTTGACATTTTGTAAAAACAGTTTTAACTGAAAGTGTCCAATACTTTTTTATTGTAAAGTAGAGGATAACTTACCCAACACTTCCACTGTGATGGAATGACTGGGTGATCCCAAACGATTTGAGGCAATAACAGTGTATGTGCCCTTGTCCAATCTCGTAACAGCAGGGATGGAGAGTTTTGTATGAGATGTCACTCTGTCAATCTCTTTGGTTTCTATCAGGAGTTTCTCAGAGCCCGTGTCAATAACAACATCATCCTTCAGCCATTCAATCTTTGGCATTGGTAGGCCTGTGGCTTCAGCAGGCATCTCAATAGGTTCGTTTTTCCTTACTCGGATCAAATCACCCTTGAAGTGCTTTAGCATATGCAGAGTTGGTGCCACTAGAATTATCAAAAGACAGATGAAATGTATGTCATCAAAAAAACAGATGAAATGTCTATGCTCAAGAACAGTGATGTTAAACTAGAATTGGACAAACCTTCATCATCCTGAATTACAACAGTCATGGTAATTGAAGGCTCACTTTCACCAAGTGCATTGACAGCCTTTGCACGGAACTCATACAAATGCAACTCATCAAGGTTTTCAACTGTCAAAATTTGAGCAGTGATCAGCTCTGGGTTGACACGCTGAAAGGCTGGTTCATCTTGTCGCTTTTTCTCAATGATGTAGCCAATGATTGGACTACCACCATCATTACGCGGTGGTCTCCATTCAATAGTAACAGAGGACTTGGTCCTCTCAATATAGTGGAACTTTTCAGGAGAAGTTGGTGGACCTGGCATTCAAAAAAAACATATGACAATAAATACACAAGAACAGTGAGAGTTGGATGTTCTAATAGTAAAAGCATTGTGTATGTCAGGTTTACCTTGAGGATCCACAGCACGGATTGGTCCAAGATCGACTGGAGGTCCACATCCATACTTGTTCTTAGCCACAACACGGAAAATGTACTCCTGTCCCTCAATAATACCTACAATCTCACATTTGGAGGAAGGAGTATCAATGGGTTGTCTCCATGTGTGCATCTTTGGTTCCCTCCTTTCAATGATAAACCCTGTCACATCACTACCACCATCATCATCAGGATCTGACCAATTCAGCATCATTAGCTTTCTTGTAACCACAACAGGTTTCAGGTCAAGAACTGGTCCAGGAACATCTGCAGAGAGATTTTAAATGTTGTCAACTGTGTGTTATGCATGCTGTAATGAAAATGAGTGTACACTTTGAATCCATATTACAATTGAAAAATTCGTACCCATAACTTCAACTCTGGTCCATGCAGACTTAATGCCACTTGGATTTGCTGCTTGGATTTGGTATTTGCCATGATCACTTCTCTTTGTGGTTTTAATGACAACAGTGCTGAGCGGTCCAGCTTCTTCTACCTCCATACGATCTTTTTCTAATGCTGCATCATCCTTTGTCCATTTCAAAAATGGAAAAGGTCTGCCAGTCACATGTGCTGGAATTCTCAGCATCTCTCCAGCTCTAACGACAACACCATTTTTAACAGAGATATCAAGTTCGATGACAGGAACCTCTGTTTTGGCAAAGAAACACAACTAGCTGTTTATCTTGGAACACTTTAATTGCTTAACAATTAAACAATAGCCTACGATAATTAGCATTAGTATTATTTTTATACCTGCAGGGTTTCTCACAATGACTCCATCTGTAAAACCTGGTTGTCCTTCACCAGCACAATTGACTGCAACAACACGGACAATGTATTTTGCGCCTTCTCTCACTCCATACACTGTAAATGTGCGGTTCTTCCATGGCCTCTCTGTGGCTCGCGACCAGTCCTTGGTACCAGCAACAACTTTGTCAACATGATAACCAAAGATGTCTGCGCCACCATCGTCTGCGGGAGGATCCCATTCAACATCAATTGAAAAGTCTGAGGTGTCAACAACTCTTGGAATTGGTGGACCCGGGGGCACTGAAAAAATAATTGTTATATAATAAATATTACATTCTAAATTGAAATTAAAGGTAATTCCGATATTTTCATGGTTTATATAGTCAGTTTTAATGTTACCAACTTACTGATTTGTGCCTGTGCTGTTTTTGGTTCTGATGGGGGACTGAACTTTCCAGGTCCAGCTACATTTTCCGCGCTGACTCTGAAAATATATGTCAGACCCTCTAAAAGGCCCTCTACATTTATTTCCAAATCAGGAACCATGGTGCGATTGACTCTCGCCCAGTGTGTGCTGTTAATTTCTCGTTTCTCTACCCAATATCCCTCAATGGGGCTGCCATTGTCATTGGGTTCTATCCAGGTAACACGCATACTGCTGGCTGTAACATCCTTAATTTCAGGTTTCTCCGGCGCCTCTGGAGGATCTGAATTGACAAAGGCGTATTTAACTGTTAGATCCACTGTGAAAAACAATAATGCAAATTATGTGATCAAACAAACAATGGAAATTCATAATACCAAATGGATTCTTTGCAATGACAGGTTTGGAGATGAATGGGGTTCCAGGACCATACTTGTTCTCGGCAGTGACGCGGAAGAGGTACTCCTTGCCCTCAATAAGTTTGGGCACTAGAAATTTACAACCTCTAAGGATTGATGTTACAGTGATCCATCCAAGCTCAGCCTTGGAGTTATCTTTTCGCTCTAATATGTAGTTAATGACTTCAGAACCACCATCATCCAGAGGAGGATCCCACTTACAGAGGATTGAGGTCTTCCTTACCTCTTCGAATTTGAAATTGACTGGAGGTCCAGGAGTATCTGAAATATGAAAGTGTAAAAATGAACGTTCCATTCTTTTCCCAAAATATTCAAGGTGGAAAAGGGTGCATATGTTTCTTGTAAAGTGTCATTATTAAAGTCGGTTTCAACTGAATTTGTTTCCATACCAATGTGGTATACCAGACCAAACAAATTTACTTGAACAATGCCTAATTAGCTATTTGAGTATTGAATACATTATCCAATAGCTTGTGTGGGGTAAGTGACATCAGCAAAAAAGGAAAGTCATGCTTTATCTTCTTAGATGAAGAGTACATTATCATGTTTTGATTAAAGATTACTGAGACAAAAAGAATCTTTAGAATATTTATGTCAACTCACCAAGGACATTAACTTCACAGGTGGCAGAGGCAACACCATGATCATTTTCCACTTTTATGGTGAAAACACCATGATCACCTCTGATAGTATCTGTTACGATAATAAAGGATTCACCCTTCCTCTTGGATTCAATGGTAAGACGTTCATTTAAGCTTGGGTGGTATGCTTCTTCAGGTTCCTCCGGTTCCTCCACCTCCTTTTCTTTTTCTTTCTCCTTTTCTTCTTCCTTCTTTGCCTTGTCCTCCTCCTTGGCCTCTTTGTCTTCCACCTTCTTTTCTGCATCTGCCTCTTTCTTTTCGGCATCTACCTCCTTCTTTTCGGCATCTACCTCTTTCTTTTCGGCATCTGCCTCTTTCTTTTCCTCCTTTTCTTTTTCTTTCTCTTTCTTCTTTTTAATGGGCCTTTCTGGTCTCTTCTTCAGTGGCTCTGGCCAAATGGTTGAATTGTTTCTCATCCATGTAATTTGTGGGTAAGGAAATCCAGAGATGTTGGCATCCAATCGGATCTCTTCACCTCGTCTCACAGACAAGCCTGATTGTAGACTACCGCTAAGGAATACTTTTGGACGATCTGGAAGCAGAATAACAAAAAATGCTTACATATACTGTACCAATAGCTTGCATCAGAGGGACTTCACATTTGAAAAAAAACCGTTATGATTTGACAAGTAACAAAAGATTAAGTTCATACCAATTGCATCAGAGGCTTTGACAAAAGGTGAGCTGCGTGAAGGATCACTGACACCAGCTGCATTTTCGGCACTCACACGGAACTGATATTGTTTTCCTTCTGTCAATCCCTTAACAGTATAGGACAACACTGGCACAAGGAAGTCATTACATCTCTTAAATTGATCTTCCCCTTTCATCATCTTCTCAAGAATGTAACCCATAATTTTGCTTCCACCATCATACATGGGAGGCTTCCATGTAAGGGTCACACTCTCAGCAGTTGGGTTGTGTGTTTCCACATCGACTGGAGGATCAGGACGTTCTGTATTTGTAAAAAAAAAAAAAATTAATAAAAATATCATTCAAAATGAAAGGTAAATCCAAATCCGTTCAATGAATGTCACTACTTACGCTTCTGATCCTCAGCAATTACAGGATTACGAAGCTCAATGAATTCACCACCACCAATCTTGTTGACAGCTCTGACACGGAAGTAATACTCCCCATTTTGAATGAGATCCTTAACCGGCCAGCTCACTTTGTTTTCCCCAGACATAACATTGACATAGGTTCTCCTTCCTGCTTCTCTGCGTTGCAACACATAGTGGAGAACGGGGGTACCACCGTCATAGTCTGGAGGATCCCAGGATATCTTGCAGGTGCTCTTGGTAATTTCACTAGCAACAATTTCTTTACACACTCCAGGAAGACCTAATGTTTGTTTAAAAAAGAAAACAATGGCATTAGTTTAAAATATAATTTTATGTTAGCATAAATCAGTTGTTAACAGATCAAATATTCAAATAAAGCAGTTAAACTAGCAGTAGAACTCAAAGACATACCAATAACTTTGACGTTGAGTGTTCCACTTGCTGAACCATTTCTGTTCTCCAAGGTAACTTTGTATTGGCCAGCATCAGCGTGTAAGCAGCTTGGAATTTCCAGATGGCAGGATGTATACTCAGCTCTAAAGAAGGTTCTGTCATCAGCCTTCAGTTCATTTCCATCTTTGTGCCATGTAATCTTAGGTGACGGCACGGCTTTAAATGGAATAGGTAGGTGCATCTTTTCACCTTCTACAACAACAAGGTCTTTGGTCTGGAAGTCAAGAGTTGGGCTACCTGCAATGATATGAGTAATAGGGCAATCAGTTTTCCTTACATTAAAATGGTAACAAATGATCATTTAAAATTTTATTTAAAAAAATAATAACAATAAACTCTTACAGTCAGAATCTTTGGCATATACGTTCTCAGAAATGTCAGAGGGCTCACTGGCACCAATAGAATTGACAGCACGGACTCTGAAGGTATACTGCTTCTCAGGAACAATGCCCTCTTCATCCCCTGCTCTGTATTTTAACTCTTTGACAGGACGAGAGTTGACTCTCATCCATTTCTCAGTTCCAGCCTCACAGAGCTCAATATGGTAGCCGATAATGGGACTTCCTCCGGTCTTATCTGGTGCCTTCCAGGCAATACAAAGATGGTCTCTGGCTGCTTCTGTGACATGCAATTCCTGGGGTGGTGATGGTGGGCCTGGCAAGATAAAAAAAAATGGTTTCATTATGGATTACATCTCAAATCAAATATATTAAACCCATTTTTTAGCCCACTTTTTTGTCTCATGAAAATATTCCATATTGTGCGTTTACTAGTATTCTGAATTTGTGAGACTGGAAAAACTGGAAATACCTGTCGGGTCCTCAATGACCACAATATCAGTGGGTTCACTTGGGTGACCAACTCCAGCCTCGTTCTCAGCAGAGACCTGGAACTGGACTTCAGTCCCCTCAATCACATCAGTCACTCTGTAATGGCAGTCAGGACCTGAAGTCTTTCCAGATTTCACCCACCGGGTTCCAAGTTTCTCCTTCTTCTCAATGACATATCTAGGAAAGATGGATATTTGGAACACAAAAAATTAAGGAATTTGTATGCTTTGAGATATATTAACTGGAGGACTTTAAGTCACACCACACAGACAGACAACAGATGCTTTGCCGGTATTGTCGGATCAGTGTGTTAACCCTGCCGGAGTCTGTTGCTGTCTGTCAGAGCTAGTTTTTGCTGATTGAACATGCTAAATTTGCGTGACAATGTCTAAAAAGTGACATGCTGTAATCTGGTAACTATCTGCATTGGTCAGCTTTGCATTCAAGGGTCATAAAAAAAGTAATTTAACTTGAGATAAATGCTGAAATAAAATAAAAATATAAAAAAATGCATGTAAATTTATGAAAAAAAAATTAAATTAGAAATGTTGCTATGGCAACTAACTTAAAATTAAATAAAATAAGTTGAAGTACTAAAATGACTAAAACTGAAATAGATCTGAAATAAAATAACAATAAAACTCATTCAGTAAACAATTAAAAATAAACATTGAAAATATAAAATAAAGCTCAATTCAAAATATGAATAAAAACTATAATAGTATATGAAGAATTCTAAAATAAAAACTGCTAAATGTTAAAATAACAATCAACTGCTACAATGGCCATATGTACAGTACGTAACTACCTCAAGACAGGTCTTCCACCATCATTCTTAGGTGCATCCCATTTCAGGTCAACATGAGTCTTTGAGACACCTGTTATGGTCAGATTATATGGAGGTCCAGGAGAATCTGTGAAGAAGAAAAGCATAAAATTCAGTACTAAATATCAACAAATCAAAAGGAGGAAATAAGCAATAAGGAGGACTAAATACGCACTGAAAGTATCCTTGGCAAGAACAGAGTCTGCAAGTTCACAAAATTCACTGGGTCCAACTGCATTCTCAGCAGCAACACGGAACACATAGAGAACCCCTTCATTTAATGGGGTGACAGTGTACTTCAGCTCCTTCACAGTGGTGTCCACAGCCTGCCAGCCTTTCCGTCTGACATCTCTCTTCTCAACAATGTAGTTTGTGATTGGAGAGCCACCATCTCTCTCAGGTGCTGTCCATTTTAGTTCAGCGCTGTTCCTGGTAGTGGTCACTACTTCAAGCCATCTTGGTGGCGATGGAGGATCTACAGGAGGATCATCATTAGAAAATGTTGTATGCACTTGAATGTTTAAATGTTAGAGAAATGGTTAATTCTACCTAAACTTAAAAGTTCACCATCATTTACTCACTCCCAATCTTTTCCAAACCAGTATGACTTTCCATCTTTCCATAAAAGAATAATATTAAGAATGTCAAGAATATCCAGCCTATTATTACTTTTTTGTAAATAATGAGGAGTTAATAGCGATTGGTGCTTTTAAGCTCCAAAATAACAATAAAACACCAGAAAACGGCTTTTGATGCCATATGATAACTTTTTTATGAGGAACAGACAGTTCACACAACTGTTACATGCCTTCAGAAGACTAGTACACGCATAATATGGACTATTTTTGTAAGACATTTATGATCCCTTTGTGTCCTTTTTGAAGTATGTAATCTCCCCATTTACTGAAATTGCATGAAAAAGAGTAATCAACTACATTATTCATAATTTCTTCTTTTATGGTCCCCAGAAGTCATATAGGTTTGGAACTGCATGAGGATAAATAAATGAAGACAGAATTCTTATATTAACAGTGTGACTTACTGAGTCTCTCCTTGCAGAGCACTGGATCGCTTGGTTCACTAGGTTCACTCTCGCCTGCTGCGTTGACAGCTTTGACACGGAATGAGTACTCTTGCTTCTCCATCAATCCTCTCAGGAAGTGCTCAAGAGAGGGGATACCATCAGCTACACGCACCCACTCGTCAGTTCCGCTCTTGAGGAGCTCAACGGTGTAAGACTCAATCTTTGCACCACCGTCATGCTCAGGTTTTGTCCATTGCAGGAAGGCAGATGTTTTGGCCACATCTTTAACAGTGGGCTTACCAGGAGCCCATGGAGGATCTAAAAGCAAATTTCACATCAAACAGTACGAAATTTTGTAGATGAAATAGGAAAAGTAGTATATCAATCAAATGTTAATCCTACCAATTGGATCTTTAATCAAAATCTGGTCTGTCTCTTTGCTTGGTTTGCCAGGCCCAGCAAGATTCTCTGCCAAAACACGGAACTTGTACTTCTTTCTTGTGGGCAGGCCTTTTACCCTGCAAGCAAATTTGTATTTCAGACATACAAACAAACAAGTTTATGACATACAACAATGGCATACTAGAGTGAAATGACATCCATACATACCTAAAGTTTGTGTCCCTAATAGGTAGCTTGTTGCATCTAATCCATTTGTCATGGTCAGGCTCATATCTCTCTACCCAGTATCCAGTAATAGGACTTCCACCATCATCATCAGGCTCATACCAGGACAGAGTTACCGCATCCTTTGCAATGTCAGATGGCTCCAATTTATATGGGGGACCAGGGGTTTCTAAGATATAGTGAACATATATATTAATTAATATTCAGCTAAAAAGCTAGCCAAAATGTGTGTTGAATTGTTGAGGCAGCATTAAATAACATACCAAATGGATATCTGGCAATTATTGGGGCATGTTCTGCTGGGGGACCAACGCCAAACTGATTTTCAGCATAAACCCTAAATACATACTCCTTGAAAGCCACAAGTTTGGTGGCTTTGTAGGTGGTTTGCTTCACAGTGGAGGACAACTTGTACCAAAGTTCACTCTCTGCAGCTCTCCTCTCAACAATATAGTTTGTCACCTTTGAGCCACCATCATCTCTTGGAGGATTCCAGGCCAACAAACACGACTCATTGGTGATTTCAGAGATATCAAAGGCAGCTGGTGGACCAGGTTTATCTAAATGGAGGTAGCATTAGATATTAATATAATGGAAATAATCTTATAATCTTAATATCTTTTTTTTTTTTTTGGGTCGTCATACTACCTAGAATGTTGACATCAACAGTTGCAGTTGCACGGCCACTGCTGTTGACTGCCTCAATAATGTATGTAGCTGTATCATCCCGCTTGGTCTTAGCAATGGACAGTGTTGAGTGGCCAGGTTTGGTATCAATTGTGATTCTGTCATCTGGCTTCAGGACAAGGTCAGCCTTGGTCCATTTGACTTTAGGCTCTGGTTTGCCAGTGATGTCAGCAGGAAGTTCAATCTTAGTGCCAGCTTTAGCAGTCAGGCCAGCCAACAGCTTTGCATCTAGTTGAATCTCTGGAGGCTCTGTGAAAGTGGTAATAAAGTGGCAAACATTGAGCTTAACCTCAATCATAATGTCATAATGTCTCAGAATGTGAAAGCATAATCTAATAAAGTACCTTTAGGATCAACCGCCAAGATCTCATCTGTCGCCTTGCAAGGCCTACTGGCACCCAGTTTGTTCAAAGCCCTCACACGATAAGCATACCACTGTCCTTCAATGAGACCAGTCACTTCAAACCTGTTTGTAGAGTTAATTCAGTTTCACTTTTGCAAGTATGCACCTCAATTCAGTTTACAAAAAAAGGAAATCTGAAATGATCACTCACTTAAGCTCAGGCAATGGATCTCCACATGGCTCCCACTTGTCAGTGCCACGTTGGCACTTGTCAACAATATAACCTCTAATTGCAGTTCCACCATCCCATTTGGGAGGCTCCCATGACAAGAAGATCTTGCTAGCAGACTTGTCTCGCCATTTAAGGTTTTCTGGTGGGTCTGGTACAGCTGTGAATCACACGCACCAATACATGAATTTATGGGGCATTTCATACTTTTGACATTGTGAATATTTAACACTGACTAATATCTTATTAGGATTGAAACCCACTTGCAGGTGAAGACACATTCACTGGCTCATCAATATAGGCGGGTTCTCCAGGGCCACATTTGTTACAGGCAATAACTCTGAACAAGTACTCCTTTCCCTCAACAACATCTGTGACTGTGTATTCCTGGTCTTGCAAACCTGACATCACCTAAAATTAAATAAGCACAAGGAAACAGATCACTGTGAGTTCGCAAAACAGTTCACGGAAATTAATGGTCAAAGATATGTTAATGTTTATACCTTCACCCAGGTCTTTCTGGAGACCTCACGCTTTTCAACCTGGTAGCCGGTGATTGGACTGCCTCCATCATGATCTGGTGCCTCCCACATCAGGTGAACATGCTTTCTGGTCACTTCTGCAACCTTTAAGTCTTTTGGTGCACTTGGAGATGCTGCAGGATAAAAAAGTATAACTCTTTACTTTTTCCTTTCTGAATTGTAAATTGATGTATGAATGCCTATGGTCAAATATTGTGCGTACCAATGACATTAACTTCAATCTCTCCTGAGACACTGGTCACATCATTTTCCAGCATCAAAGAGTATGTGCCTTTGTCAGGACGCACACTTGGGGTTATAATGAGCTCTGTGAAGGTTGACTTTGTAACCATAGACACACGTTCACCAGCCGTTAGCACATTTTCACCGTACGTCCACTTTGCTGTGGGCACCGGGTACCCAGTGATGGGGACACGAATTGCAAGAGGGTTAGGGACAATGACCTCCAGACCATCCTTAAATCCACTCAAGTCCAGAGTGGGTGCAACTGTGTCAAGAGAAGCAAATCATGTAGTAAGTATTTTGATTTGGCTTGAAGATTCAAATATATCAAAGAGTTCTGTAGGGTGAAATCACTTACAGTGTGGATCATCTGCCAACACAGGTCCAATAATGTTTGAGGGGTCAGACTGCCCGGCCGCATTCTCAGCAAGTACTCTATAGCTGTATTTTTTTCCAAATTTCAGGCCTGACATCTGTGGAAATTATTCAATCACAAGCATTTTGTAACATACTAAGAAGCACTACAATAATCAAAGACAAAATCTCTTTCAAGGAAAGTCAATTCACAAGGAGGTAGTTCACTATTTCAGGCAAACAAGACATTAGAATAGGGGAGATACTGATCTCAAAATTGATAGCTAAATTCAAAGTCTAACATTAACTGTCCCATAAATGATGTTTCCCATGCTTAAATAGCATTAAACTGGTTGGTCTTTGGCAAAGATTGAAAAGCTAGGACACTTACCCTGTACAACAGGTCCTGGCAAAGCCTAGCATTGCATCTGAGCCACTTGTCTGTGCCTTCTTCACATCTCTCAATGATGTAGCCAGTGATCGCTGTGCCTCCATTTTTTAAGGGAGTCTCCCATGTCAACAGACAGGAATCCTTGGTCTGTTCAGAGTGTGTCAAATTCATTGGAGGGCTTGGTCTCTCTGTGAATCAAAACATTGAATACATATATCACATGTGAAAGCTTTCATCTGTGCTAAAATAATGATATTTGGGATTTTGCAAACCGATAGGGTCCATGATCTTCACTGGGTTAGTGGCAGCACTTGGTTTGCCAATTCCAGCCTTGTTCTCAGCCTTAATGCGGAAGATGTATTCTTTGTTCTCAATAACATCATTAATGATAGCTGTGCGTTCATGTGGTTTGGTCACCATGACCGGAGCCCAGGACACAGAAGTTCTATCGCGTAGCTCAATAATGTATGATGTGATCTCAGATCCACCATCGAACAGTGGTGGCTCCCAAGAGACGGTGGCACTAAACTTGTTGACATTTCCAACAATAACTTTCTGTGGTGGATCAGGAACATCTGAAGTGTGTACAATTAAAAAAACAAATTGAGAATCATTGGCTATAGGGTGCACAAAAACTTGACTTTCGGATGTTCTTGACTTACCAAACTTATTCTTGGCTTGAACAGCTTTATCTGTCTCAACATTGGGTCCACTTCCGACTCGGTTGCGTGCACAGACACGGAAGAGGTACTTGGAGTCTCTCTGCAAGCCAGTTACACAGTACTCTGTGCTATCGGCATGGTCCGTGGCCATAGTCCAGGTCTTACGTTTGATATCACGTCTCTCAACCACATAAGCCAAGATCTTGCTGCCACCATCACTCTCAGGCTCTTCCCAAGAAATGCTGACCTCACCGTCAGCAGTGTCAACAACATGAAGGTTCTTCACAGGCCCAGGGACATCTGCGAAAAGAGCAATATTTTGAAACAATACAATATTGGGATATATTACTAAAAACATGAAAATAACTTACCAATAACTTTTAGGTTTATGAAAGCCTCTCCTTTTCCATGTTTGTTCTGGATGATGATTTTATAGGAGCCTTCCTCTGACTTCTTAGGGTCCTTAAGCCTGTACTCTGTCCTGTCGATTGAAGTGTGAATATTGTCTTTTGGCAGACTGATTTCACTGTAGAACCACTCAGCCTCAGCACGTGGGTAAGCATTGTAAGGAACTGCCATTACAAATGGCTTTCCAGCATCTGTCACCAGGTCTTGATCCAAGGTTTTAATTGTTGGTTTGGCTGTAGAGAAACACCAGGGCTTTGTGAACATGCATTGAATGTGATTGTGCTTTGATTGTAAAACATATAATTTAAAATATGTAATGTCTTACCAGCAAGCTCAAGCTTGGCTCTGGCATCTTTGTCCTTGGCAATGCATCTGTACTCGCCTTGATCACGTGGCCTAATTTCACACACTTGAAGCCTGTGAATCTTACCCTCGCTCATCATCTGGTACTTATCACCTTGGACAATGGTCATGTTGTTCCTCAGCCATTTGACCTCAACTCTGTCTTTGTTGAGCTCAACTTCATACACAATATCTGAGCCTGGGGGCTCAAACACATCTGTGGGTGGTCTGACAATCTCCACAGGGGTTTCTAAAGAGGTGAAAACGTCATAAATAACAATTAAGATTTCACTCATTTCCATGACTATTATACGCCTGGAAATTCTGTGATATTTTCAGGTTTTTGATGGACACTGAAACAAACTTACCCTCAACAAAAAGACGGGCTCTGGTTCTCTTGTCATCCACTCCACAGGCATATTCACACTCGTCATCTGGTCTGCACTCCTTTATACGCAGTCTGCATGTTTTGCCATCTCTCTCAAATTGGAATCTTAAAAATGAACATAAAATGCATATTAAACATCCTCAACCCAACAAAAATGCCCTTAACAAAAACCCTCAGAATGCATCTTACCTGGGTCCTTCTCTGATCTCCCTGCCATCTCTGTACCATTTGATTTCAGCCTTCTCTTTGGAAAGTTCACAAGTGAACTCAGCATCCTCAAACTCTGTGATGGTTTGGTCGCTGAGCTGAGTGCTGAAATCAGTGGGTGCCTCACTGATGATCAGTTCTGCCGATGCCTTAGCAGCACCAGCAACTACAGTGTATTCACCTTCGTCTGCAAGGCTGCATTCCTTAATGGTCAGGGTGTGCTTGTCCTTGTCCACACGATATTGAATTCTCTTGCTAAGACTGATTTCCTGACCTGCCTTCATCCATTGGACTGTCACATTTGGTCTGTTCACTTTGCATGAGAAGCTGATGGTCTTTTTCTCCTGTGTGTCAACATCCTCAGGAGGAACAATGATTCTAAGATCTTCCTCTGTGGAAATTAAGGTATATGGTAAGTTAACTTGGCATGTGGTTTTGCAACAAAGTCTAAGGCTCAATCCCAATTCACCCCTTGGTCCTACCCCTTATATTCGAGTGTACCCCTTGGCCCTTAAAACAGAGCTACATATGAAATGGAACAACCCTTCATGAACCCGATATGTCATCAGTCGTCGGCGATGGCTCTGCCGTTACAGAGTTTTTACAGGATTTCTCCATGACAACGTCTGACAATCAGCGCAGCTGCTCTTAACTTTGAGGAAACATGATGATTATAACATTCCTTCCTCCAAATGTATGTACAAGTATTTTCTGATTTGGAAAGGTAATTTATTATACCATTTCTTAATTTAAATGACTATAGGGTTATTATAAGAGTAAATAAAGTGCATGGTGGTATCATCTGGTGCTAAATTTAAATGTTTAACCGTTTGCGAAGCCATCTCGCCGGTGATTTACCATGCACTCTCTCGTAGCCCTCCGTTTGGAGTGTGCCTCAGAAAAATCTCCATTTCGAGGGCTATGTAGCCCTACCCCTCGATCAACAAGAATCGGGACACCTTGAACGTGCAAAACGGAGGACTAGGGCCAAGGGGTGAATTGGGATTGAGCCTAAGTCTGAAATAAATTTACTTAAAATGTCACTATATGATGCAGGTTAGTTGTATAAAGTCTTTAGCACAACAATTAATGTCATATTTATAAGAAATATGACTATATAAGTATGTTATTTTATTTTAAATATATTTTATAATAGTTATATCCTTTAAAATAATGTTTTACTACTTGTAAAAAACAAATGTCAGCTTTTAAACATTAAATCCCCTCTACTGTTTCTAAAAAATTGTAAGCAATCCACTACATACCCACTCAATGGGATTTATTATTATTATTTTTATTTTTATTTTTTTGGCAGATGGTTCATGAGAGATTGCCTTTTATATAAACACAGTTGCAGTATTCATAGAAAATATTTTCCTAGCAGACATATAGACTTTTGTTCATGAGTCTCTAATTTGGAGCCCAAGTCAATAGTTTTGCAACTTAAAATGGATTCTCACGCTCAAAGTCAAAAAACTATTAACTATAAAAAATAAAGGACATCCGTGCATGTGTCATACCTTGCACAGTAAGGTTGGCAGAGCTATTTGCATTTTCACCACGCTGGTTGGTCAGTGTAATGGAGTAGTTGCCCTCATCTGATTTGTTGGTGTCTTTGATCCTCAGAGAGAACACATTGTCCTTCTGGGCCATCATGAACTTGCTACTTTCAAATAATGTCTCATTATTCTTCAGCCATTTTGCCTTTGCATTCTCAGTGTTAACTTCACAATTGAGGACAGTTTCTTGTCCTTCATTTGCCTTTATGTCTCTGAGAGGAGTGACAATCCTGAGCTTTTCTGTAATATAACACAACAAAACATCATAATTTGCCTTTCTCAAAAGAAAAATAAAGAGAAAAACGCAACATGCGGTACATACCAAGCACGATCAAATCAGCTGAGGCTCTTGTGGTTCCAATTAGGACTACAAATCCTCCCTCATCCTTGAGTTCACAATTTTTGATAACAAGAACTCTCTTTTTGCCCTCAGAAATAATGTCATATTTGTCATCTGACTGAAGTTCCTTATCTCCTTTGAGCCATTTCACTTCATATGTGTCTTTGGAGACTGAGCACACAAATTGTGCCTTTTCACCTTCAACCACTTCCTGGTTTTGAGGCCTGGCAATGAACTCAGCGGCAAGTTCTAAACGGTTAAGAAAAAAATGGCAATCACATGTATGAAGCATGTTTATAGAAACAAGGAATGCAGTTTATAAGTAAAAAATATAAAGTACATTTTCAGGGACAAGACAAAGTCTCACCATTAATCTTCAAGTTCCCTGTGGTCTGTGAGGATGGAAGTTTGCAGTGGTATTCTCCAGCATCATCCATACGGAGGCCCTTAATAATGAGGATTCTCTTTTTTCCATCTGTAATATGCTCATATCTACCAACTTCAGGCAACTCTTGGTCACCCTTGTACCATGAAACCTCCGCACTGGGCTTGGAGACCTCACAAATCAGTTTAACACTGTCGGTTTCAGTGCCTTCAACATTAGCCAAGTTCTTTGTGAATCTAGTCTCCTCCTCTGTTGTAAGAAAAATCAAGCAAATCAGTCTACCTTTCAAAGTAAGCTGTTTCATTCCTTTAAGACTACAAATAAAAAGGATAACTTACCAACAACTGTCAGCATTCCAGAAGACTTGGAGGTCCTGGCATCACATTCATATTCTGCTTCGTCATCAAAGACAGACTTGCTTATGATGAGAATACGTTTTACCCCTTCAGAAATCATCTCATATTTTTTGCCTTTTCTGATTTCATTGCCATCTTTGAACCAGCGAACCTATGCAAAACGGACAATGAAATATATCGATAAATTCATTACATAACAGAATATTTAACATTTAACTTATGAATTACACTGATAAAATAAGATGTATATCAGTTGAATAGAGATGAATAAAAGGCTTAAGGTAATAAAAAAAAACTTAATTGAATATTAGACAACCAACCTTTGCACTTTCACGAGACACTTCACATTCAAATCTGGCAGATTCCTTCTCTTTGACCTCAACATCATGGAGTGGCTTTGTGAACTCAACATGCGGAGCTGAAAATCAAATCAAGGTAACCAAATTCAGTGCTTTATTTTTTCATTACAAGTACAATTTGATTTTTTTTTTCATTCTGGTTGACTTACGTTCAACATTTAAGAAAGCTGAAGTCTTGAACTGTTTAGCATCACAGGTATATGTCTTTGAGTCATCAAGTGTGCAGTCATGGATAACAAGTTTTCTCTTACGACCATCAGCAACCATATCATACTTCTTGGTTTTGCGAATTTCTTGTCCATCTCTAAACCACCTGACCTCTGCTTTCTCTTTGGAGACTTCGCACTCTAGTTCAGCAGTGGCTTCCTCTTCCACAGTCTGGTCCTCCAGAGGTTTGGTAAATTCAACTGGAGGCTCTGTACAGCAAATTAATTTATTTTTTTATTTTTACAATTTACTGTTTTTAACAAAGTTATACTTTCCAGTGCTAATATTTTAAGACAGGCTTATTATATCTTTATTTGAAACAGCGAAAGACACTTTCTTACACATGTTCAAGAATGTTTTGTGTTATTGAGAAGCACCTGAGCTAGATCATAGATAGACATTTACTTACATGTACCCCTGAATGTTTGCATGTCAGGACGATTAAAAAAATACATGTGCTGCTTGTTAGTAAAGAGGGTGCAATTACAGTTAATCTACATTTCATAGTGAACAAATGACACCCACCATTTACAATGAGTTGAGCCTGTGTCAAGAAGTCCTTTGCAGTGAGTTTTACTTCTCCTGCTTCTGTCAGCTTCACATCCCTAAGGATCAGCGTGTGAGTTCTGCCTTCTGCTCGGGTTACCACCTGTGAGAATCAAACCAATTGATAAATCAGTCCCCCTTGCTGTGTCAAGGGTGAGGGAGGCTATTTACTGCCCCTCTGCAATAGACGTCAGCAGCTGAGGACTAGGAACTGTTCTCAATTTCACACCTCTACTGCCCCAAATATGTTCCATGTGAGACAATTTATACACTCCTACATCTGGCTTGTGTAACTTCAAATAAGGCTAAATTATCTAAGATGAATGAAAAGATTGAAAACTGTCGTATATGATTTGTTTACAACTAACATCTACCTTAATCTATCAATAGAAATAAAACTAAAAATAAAAGTTTTATTTTTATTTTTTTACAAAGTAACATAACAGTCTTAAATCCTCAATTCAAGCATTCTGCAGCAAAATCTTGTAATTTTTTTTATTGTTCAGTTTCAGTACCATTTCTAAATATTGAATACATTTAGTTCTGTTAAACAACATTATAATGTATTTATGTGATACTAATCGCACAATACTAACAAAATAAAATAATAATAATATGAGCTTTTCCGAATACAACGCAGTAGCTGGAAATTACATACACTGAAATCAAAATATCTAAACACAACTGGTAAAATTAGGGTTCATGTGTACTAAGAATGAAGTTATCATCATACAAACATATCAGGAATACAAGCACATCTTGAACCACAGCTGTCGTCACCTAAATGTATGGCCTTTTACCAAAACCATTTGCTTCATAACACACACAAAATAGGCCATTACTGAAGATCTAACTGACACACATTGCAAATGACATGGAAAACACATTTAAATGCTTTAAACAAAACACATGCATACATTTGCTACATGTATATACAAGCTATGTCTGTAAAAAGGCCTCTTGCCACCTGCCACTGCACATAGAGTCTTGAAGTTGAAGCAGTTAAAAATAACCAGAGGAACGCTTGCAGAGCAGAATACCCCTGTGTGTTATCTCAAAACACGGATCAAATGCTCAACTGGTATCCTGATCCGCCAAGTCCTTATATGAGGAGAGCATTTAACTCACAAATGTAAAGAACCATAATGTAATATGCAGAAAAAATAATCATAATTGTCTTTCAGTTGTTAAATATGTATCCTATCCTATTAGCAGTGTATCACCTAAAGTGTATCACCATCAGGTATGATTCAATTATTGCTTACACAATAAAGAAGCGCTTTTTTCCCCCAAAACCACAAAACACATGCATTTATCCAGGACAACATGCACACTTACTCTGTCACTTGGTTCCAGCTTTGTACCCCCAAGGAACCATTCCACAGGTATGCCCTCATAAGACAGTTCGCAGTCAAAGGTTGCAGTCTCTCCCGCTGTCACTGTTACATCCTTGAGAGGCCTCAAGAGGCCTATCATTCGTGCTTTGGATTCAGGAGAAGACATTGTTAGTCACCTCCAAGTTCCAAGAGTCACTGGCAATCCCTTAACTACAAATCCACATAACGCTTTCCCGCTGACAACAGGCCACTGCTCTGAAGCCTATAAGCCTCCAGGACAAGTGGGATTCAGCAAGAGAGGGACATACGTTGGGGGCCTACTTCATTTGCATATTGAGTTTCCTTAAGATGTATATGGTCAGAAAAAAAAAACTGGAGGTAGTTCTGTTGAGCCTCTGCCAATCACTGACAGACCCTCTCTAGATATGGCATGCAGATTCTAAAATAACCGCAACACCTGATTGGCCACTAGCCCACCCCTGTAATGAAACCCCGCTCAGAAATCTGTTACTGTCAATCAACCTACTGGATTTTTCCAGGAAAAGGAGAAAGTGACATGTTACGTGTGAAATTATAATAGACGAAAATAATCCCACATCATTGTGAAGGGGTGCCATGTCATAACTTGATTCTAAAGCATGAGTATTAAAAAAATCTAACAACAAAAATGTTTGGCTGCCAAACCTATCTATAAAACATTAATCACTGCCATAATAAATGCTTTTCACACCCTGTTATCACTACATGACATCTGTCAGAGTAATTTACGAGCTAATGATAAACTGCAGTGCCCGACTAATTTAACTGCCTTTAATTCACATCCTGTATTCTAAAGCAGCACATATCATCTGTCATGTGACTCAACACAAATTTTTCTAGTCTTTCCACTGATATATGCTGGCGTATCCAAAATATGCAAATAAAGAATCGTATTCATCACTCCTTACCTTTAACTCTGAGCTGAGCCTTAGATTTAGCATTAGCAGCACTGAAGTCTACACCACCGGCCATATCCATGCGGACATTGTAAAGGATAAGCATGTGCTTGGTGCCTTCCTCCTTAATTTCACAGTCCTAATAAATGAAATAAAAAACATGCTTGAAAGATCATTTTAGCACAGAGAACAATTCACAGTAATTTAAATTAAATCACACAATTTAGCTCTTAAAGGAACAGTTCACCTTAAATTGAAAATTTTGTTCTAAGCCACAAGTAACTTTATTTTTTTGCTTGAATTACAATCTGTCCATCAAATATATCGCACAATAAGTACCTAATACTTTCATAATTTTATGGTGCTTTGTGTAAAGACTACTATAAAATATTAATGAAAGTTTAGAACAGTGTGTACATAACAGAATTATCAACTATTCCTTTAATACAATCCATTATTATGATTTTATTTCAAATTAAATTATTCTAATTAACTCTTAACTAATTAGAGCTTTGATAAACATCAAAATGTCCAAAAAGCATCTGTAAGTTATGCTAATATGCTATTGAGAAATCACTCTTTGGTATTTTGGAGCAAAAGAAATTACCGGTGACTGGTGCAGCGCATCTCCTTTGAGTTTCCAGTGTCCATGAACATCCTCCTCAGAGATTTCTGTCTCAAAGCGAGCAGTCTCTGTCTCTGTGACCTCCACACTGTACAGTGGACGGACAACCTTAATATCACGTTCTGCGTAGAAAGGAAGAGGAGAGGAGAAGAGACTAGATATAGTAGTTCATAGTGATTTTATCAATTGAATCTATTAATCTATAACAAAACAAAACACACAAATACATAAAGATACATACCTTCAATATTAAGCTTGGCTGTTGTTTTGTCAGAGCCACAGTCACAAGCGTAATCGCCAATGTTGCCCTTCTCTGCCCTCTTTACTGTCAGGATACGTTTCTTTCCATCAGCCTTGATGATGACATTCTTAGAGGGAGTGATCTCATTGCCGTCTTTGAACCATTTCACCTGAGCAGATGATTTGCTCACTTCGCAAATTAGGACAACCTCATCCTTCTCAACTGCAGTGTAGTCCTGCAACTTGGTAGTAAAGTAAGGTTCTCCCTCTGTTGATATACAAGAGGAAATTGAATGTAATTAATTATAAGTTCTCTAAGACACTACAATTGAAGAGTTCAGATGCAAAAGCCTCTAAATGCCATTTGAAATTTTCTTCTTTAATGATGATTTTTATCAAACTTGTATATTTAAGTTCAGTAATTTCACTTAAATACAGTGTTGTGCAAGTTACTTCCAAACTGTAATACATTAGGTATTACTTGTTACTGTTATTTAAAAGTAATTCATTACCTTACAATATTACTGTCCCAGAATTGTAATGCGTTACATTACTCATGTATTACTTTTGAGTTACTTTCACCAAAATAACTAAGTAGAACTTAACTTTTGGGCTGTAACGAAATGCAATATGAAACCGAAATCGCGATTCGCCACACGACTCAGATCCACGAACCTACAGAATCGCGACACACCTCTTCCAACTCCAGCGTTATTCTCCTTACCGTCCAGATCCAATGCTGCCTTATCTTTAAATTAGGCTATTAGTATTATTTGAAGTTAACATTTTAAAATATGTAGACCTACACCACAAAACTAGTTGAGGATAAATTATTTAAAATTGGGGAAGTCCAGCATTATGGACATGACATTTGCAGTCAAAACTTGAAATAAAAATTCTCAGAAAATTCATGTATTGAAACGTATATAGGCTACTTCCTGAAAGGACTCCAGACATTAGACAAATATCAGTCTATGTTTTATTTTTAATATTAGGGAAAAGACACACATTCATGCGTGACAAAAAAATAGGAGGCAAAATTTTTTTTTGTAATTCTGTTAATTACACTGCGCAAATCGGATGAGGAAGGTTTGGCTCTCCAGTCTCCATAGAACTTAAAATATTTATTTTATTTTAGTTTTCGTGTTCGCATTTATGAGGAAAAAACAATGTTACAGACGCGACCGCTCTGAACTGGCACTAAAAGAATGCTTTAAAACTTTCACATAGTCTGTTCCCTTTAAGAAGTAAAAGCAGACAATACACTGTAATACAACTGTAATACAAGCCTCACTGAACATGTAACGAGTATATTACTGAAAATTGATTAGTAATGCCTTACACTACTGCGTTACAGCAAAAAGTAATATGTTACTGTAATGTATTACTTTTGTAATGCGTTACTCCCAACACTGCTTAAATAACAATTAATAGGTAATTATCATTGCCATTTAAGTGAAATCACTTCTAGAAGAAAATTTCAAATGGCACTTAGAGGCTTTTGCATCTGAACTCTTCAATTCCTATTTTTTAACACCTACCAAGTACAGTGAGCATCGCCTCACAAGTTTTTCCAAGAGCCTCAACTTTAATGAGAGATGTGTCATCAATAGACACCTCTTTGAAGGACAGAGAATGGGTCTTGCCCTCCTCGGACATGTGAACCACTTTGCTTGGATGCAAACGCACATCATTCTTGTACCAGGTGACTTGAACTTTCTCATGAGAGAGTTCAATGCTGAATTCTGCAGTCTCACGCTCCTTAACAGTGACATCTTTAATGGGTCTGACAAACTCAAGACGGATGCCTGGCGAAAAATGCAAGCACATGATTCAATCTGGCAGTAGTCTTCACTTAAAACTTGACAAACTCTTTTTAAAATAATTTATTATTTTCTCCCCCTTACCCTGAATAACAAGTTTGGCAGACGTTCTCTTGTCTTCAGCCTCAAACATGTACTTAGCCTCATCCTCAAAGGAAGCAGATTTGACCACCAGAATGTGTCTTTTGCCCTCCTGAAGTACCTCAAATTTATCATCAGGTGTAATCTTCTGAGATCCTTTCATCCAACAGGAGCTTTTTGGCTGTCTTGAGATCTCACACTCAAACCTTGCTTCATCTTTCTCATATACATGCACATCAGCCAGAGGTGTTACAAATGTAATGGGAAGCTCTGCAAAAAAAATAAATAAATGAAGAACATATCCAATAAACTGTAACAGTGGCTCTCAAACTGTGCTCTGTGAGCTGATTTAGCAAAAAAAAAAAAAAAAAAAAAACACAAAAACACAAAAACAAACTTAACATTTAAAAAAAATAAAATAACTAAAATTTACAAGCACACACACTTTAATTAATTAAACTGATTAACTCATTATAATGATTGTGTTAACATTAATTTGTGATAAAGTGTTTCAGTTGTTTCACTTCAATAACTTACTGGTATATTGCAGAGTAAGCAGCAGTCTAGTTAATTTCAAATAATTAATTAATAAAACAGCAGTCTAAAAAATAGTAGATCAGTAAAAATTAAAGAATTTAATTTTGTATGCATGTATTGAGGACAAAAATCCTAAAAGTTTTTAGCCTTAAAGTGTAACTGGTAGTTTGCAGTTTCCCCCAGAACTGAGTTCCACACTTTTCTTTTGAATGATTAAGTTTGCTGGTAAAAGTTTAGACCATAAAATGTAGGCATGATGTACCTTTCACTTTCAAATTGGCAGAACATTTTGCATTGGCACCCTGGAATGAAACCTCTCCAGACTGGGACACTTTGCAGTTGTACAAAGTTAAGATGTGCTTAGCTCCATCTTCAATGATTTCAACATCCTGTTGCCACAAAGAGAAAAACACAATGAAGTCGTTCATGCAAATGTTACATTTGTCATAATTTCAAATAGTTTCAGTAGCCTTACTGGTGATGCAGAGAGGAGTTCTCCTTGCAGTTTCCATTGGCCATGGACATCATCTTCAGAGATTTCCACCTCAAAACGTGCTGTCTCACCATCGAAGAGCTCAACGCCATACATGGGTCGCACCACTTTGATGTCACGAGCTGAATTTTTTATTTATTTAGAGAGAGAGATTATTCATATAGAACAAAAAAGACCTGAAACATTACAGGTATTTTTGTAGAGCATAGCCTTGAACACTAACCTTCAATGCTCACGGTGGCGGAAGTCTTGTCTGTTCCACAGTCGCAAACATACAATCCTTTTTCTTTCTCCTCAATTTTTTTGATGTTTAGGATTCTTCGTTTTCCTTCTACCTTCATGGTAACCATCTTGGATGCTTTAATTTCAGTCTCATTGTGGAACCATTTCACAGGGACATCTTTGCTGAGCTCGCAGTCAAGATTGACCTCATCTTTCTCAACTGCAGTGTAATCTTGCAGTTTAACTGTGAAGTAGGCATCTCCCTCTATATTAAAGTAAATCAAATTTAAAAAGTAATAAAGTTTAGAGATCCAGTAATGTAGTTTGTGGAATAAAACACTCTTTTATATGATTATTGTTTAGTTAATGATCACTAGATAACAGACTTCAAGACCACTTATTTTACCACCACCACCACCATCATACATATAAAAAGTTACCTAGCACCGTCAGGTTTGCTGTTGTCGACAATCCTTTGGCCTCTGCTTTTATTTGGCAAATATCATCTAGAGTAGCATCCTTGATTTCTAGTATATGTTTCTTTCCATCAACATGCATAAGTACAGTTCTGCTCGGATGCAGTTTTGTTTCATTTTTGTGCCATGTCACTGGTACACTGTCATGGGACAGTTCAAGCTCAAACCGAGCCGTTTTCCCTTCCTTAACAGTTTGATCCGATATCGGCGAGACGAATTTCAGCCGCATACCTATAATGTGTTAGTCCATTGCAAAACCATTTTAGCTTAGTGATTTTGTGAACAAAACACTTTTTTTTTTCAGAGGACCCCATGGTGACTGAAATATGGCTTGAATGAAAACTTACCCTCAACTGTCAGTTTGGCTGTTGATGTTTTACCCAACACTTCAATAGTGTATTCTCCCTCATCCTCAAATTCACAGTGGTTTATGACCAACATGTGTTTCTTTCCATCATCAATGACATCATATTTTTGGTCTGCTGTTACAATATCAGATCCTCTCAACCACATGACTTTAGGCACATCTTTAGTGATCGTGCACTCAAACTTTGCCTGTTTCTTTTCATGCACAGTAACATCCTTCAATGGGACTGTGAAGTCCATTTCAATTTCTATAGGTGTGAATAACAGTTATCACAAGATAGTTATTTTTCCACCCTCTTCAGTTTATAAATACTGCACTATTTGTTCAGACATACATTTTATGCTCATCAACATACCTTTGACTGTTAGCATTGCACTGGTGATGGCATTTAAAGCTTGGTAAGAGACTTCTCCAGCCTGGTCAAGTTGAATATTTTTCAATGTGAGGAATCTTTTATTTCCCTCTGCTCTGATATCACATGTCTGAGGATGAAAAATGATATAATTACTTGTGTATAATAGCCTATATAAATCTGCATCTTCTTTAATTATATATTATCTTACCGGTGATCTTGTCAGAACCTGCCCTCTAAGTTTCCATTCTCCAGGCACATCATCTTCAGAAATTTCAGTATCAAAGTTGGCCTCCCCTTTCTCGACTACCTCCATACTAGCAAGAGGCTTCAAGATCTCAGCTTCACGCTCTAAATTTATCAGTCAAAATGAGTATTTAAAGTGAATACAAAAACAATATTCTGCAAAAGGTAATACATGAAAAGTCTGTCTAACACACCTCCAAGAGTGAGTTTTGCTGCATATCTACGGCCCTCGACTTCAATGGCATACTCTCCAACATCATCAGGTTGAGCATTCTTGATTGTGAGAGTGATCTCTTTTCCATCCTTTTTCAAATCAGTCTTATTTGTAGGGTCAGTAGGAATTTCTTCATCTCCCTTGAACCACTTCCAGTTGGGAGTGTCCTTGTAAAGTTCGCACTTGAATGTGGCAGTAGACTTTGGTTTTACATGCTGGTCCCTCAAAGGTTTTGTCAACCAATCTCTGATTATTTCTGCAAAGTTAGATATTTAGTTTAGACATTTTTTTGTGCAAAACTATTAATAGATAAAGTAAATAACTATAAAGATGCCCATGTGCATACCAATGACTTTGACATTGGCTTCTGTCTTGATGTCCTCACACTCGCAAGTGTAAACACCAGCATCATCATCATTTGTGTCTTGGATCGTCACAGAGCGCTGCAGTCCAATGACATTAACTTGAGTTTTGCCAGCAATTTTCTTGAGTTCTTTTCCATTCTTCTTCCAGACCACATCCTTGTCCTTGCTCAACTCACAGGTCAGGTACATTGCCTGTCCCTTAATCACAGACATTTCCTCCTCCAGAGTCTTTGTGAACTTCACTGGTAACTCTATCAAAAATAAAAATAATAAACAAAAGAAAATCTCAATTCATGTGGTATTATTGTTTTGTATTCAGTATATCTTTTAAATGAGATGACAGTATATTCATATTTTTATGAACTACCTTCAACAATAAGTTTAGCTGTTGAGGTCTTCTCCTTGTTGCCAAGCTTTGCAACACATGTGTACTCTCCAGTGTCTGAAAGCTGTACGTCAATGATTTGCAGTTTGCGGTCTTTGCCATCAGATGTGAATTTGTGCTTCGGGCTCTCCCTTAGATTGCTTCCATCTTTCATCCAGGTGGTGATAGCAGTAGATGGAGAGATCTGGCACTCAAATACAGCCGAGGAGCCGATTGACTCAGCCTCCTGCAACACAATATCTTTGAGCTCCTTTACAAACTTCAGGGGGACGGCTTTGAGCTGGAAACCAAATGGTGAATCTCCTGGAGGTTTGTCACCACCAGCGCCAGGCTTCAGGCCTCTACCCCTTCCACCATCACCAGGAGAAGGAGTTTGTCTTGCTGTAATGTAAAAAGAGGATTAATTAAACTAAAAATTCATAGAGATACATTCATTCCAGAGCTGCCATGAGTGAATATATAAATGATTTAAAATGGCTATAGAAAAAATAAATAAATAAATAAACATACGTTTCAAGCCCCTTCCTCTTCCAGCTTCCTCTTTAGGCTTTCCCTCTGAACAAGCAAAAATCAATTATTTTCAATTTATGGATGTGAAAAATTTAATTGAAATGTCAAGTAATGAAGAAACACTTAGAGACAAACAGGAAAATACTAAACATAGGGAATGAAGGGTCATGAAGATGATAAAAATCATGCTTCCAATTAATGGGAAGTTAGTTAGATGACAAATTATGATCCAAATACGATAACCGTTCTTACCACCAGTGCTTATACTTCAGATCAATGAAGACACACATATAAACAACAAACAAGGTGAAAAGACATTCAAATACAATACACATGCCACAATGAAGATCGAAAGAAGATGAAGAAGGCGGCAAACAAGATTTAGCAGTTTTATGTGGATGAACATGGATGTAGACATGGAAATTATCTGGGAAGAAAATAAATAACAATAGGGGGCTGGTTTCCATAGCATGGAAAATGAGGCATTCAATGGTGTAGGTCACAGCCATCCTCTCACCTCGTCTACCCCCTGGCATCCCAGGAGTCTCAAGTGCCCCTTCCTCCAAATATCTTTCTTCAGAGCCTTCTGAGCCATAACTATCCCGAGAAGCAACCTCCCATCCCCACGCTTCTTCTTCACCTTCAGCTTCAAATTCAGCCTCATACTCTTCTTCAAAAACTTCTTCCTCAAACTGGGTTGACACTTTTCTTAACTGTACAGCTCCAGGAGACAGCTCCTTTAGGACTTGAATTTCCTCAACTTCAGATTCTTCAAATTTCTCCACCTCAGGTGAAACCTTTGAAGGTACTTTTTTCAAGATAACAGCTTCAATTGAGTCTTTGGGTGAAACTTTCTTAGGCTTCTTTGCTAAATCCTCACTAGGCTTCTTCTCCACAGGAGCTAATTCAGTTGGCTTTGGTTTCACAACCTTGGGCGAAGGAATCTTTCCAGGCTCTAAACCACCCTTTTCACGCTTAACGGGTTTTAGAATTATTTCTTCTTTCTCTTCAGCCTCTTTGGGTAAAATACCCTTTTTGGTGACTATAGGCTTTTTCTCATCTTCCTTTTGTGTAATGACCTTTACCGGGGTAACCTTTTTAGGCAGCGTCTTTTTGTCATCTACGGGTACTTCAGTTGGTATCTTCTGAACCTCTTTAGCTTTGTCTGGAGTTTCTTGACTCTCAACTCTTTTCGGTGGAATACTTGCTTCTTTTTTAATTTCATCTTTTGGTGCTCTACTAAGTGGTGACAATTCAATTGGTTTTTGTTCTTTTGGCTCTGGAACCTCCTTTTCTTTTGGTGATCCAGCTGAAGGTTTCTTCGTAAATGGTTTAAGTTGAACCTTCTCAGACTCCTGATCTTTAGATGGAATTTTACCTTTACCTTTAAATAATTTCTCTGTAGGCTCTGAAGGTGCTTCATCTTTGGGAGGTCTAGTTACTGCTTTAACGGCAACTTCCTCTGGCTCCTTTTTATCAGGAACCGAGGGCACTTCTTTTTTCAAGACATCAAGTTCTTTTGGGATTTCATACTTTTCAGGTCGCTCTCCTTTCTGAAAAGTAACTGGTTCTCTACTTCTGTCAAAAGTTATAGGTTCTCTTCCTTTCTCATCTTTTTTGGTGTCTTTTTCAGTTTCGGCAGTAGGTTTTACAGGTTTCTCAAATGGCTTTAATTTGACAGATTCTTCATCTTTTTTGTCTAATGGTAACTTTTTAACCTTTTTCAGTGCGAAGCCAGGCTCTTCTGGTGTATCTTTTTTGGGAACCTTTCCTATGGTCTTGGTCTTTGCTTTTTCTTCTACTCCGCTTTCTGGTTTAATCTGAGGTGATGTTTGATCAGGATCAACAGGACTCTTTTTTTCTACCTTAGGTTGAATTGTCTCAACTCTCTTGGTAGTTTCATAAGTCTCAAAATGCATTTCTGCCTCATAACTTTCAGTTATGACAACTTCAGTGTGAGCCTCAGTGTACACTTTTGGGCCTTCTTTATATTCCTCCTCTTGTGGTTTGAGCACTTTCTTCAGTTTAACCATTTCTTGATCTTCATCTTTATCTTTGGATACTTTTCTAGCTTTCTTCAAGGTAGGAATTTCAAATCTTCCGTCTTGTTCCTTTATTTCAAGAACTTTGCCTTTAGATTTGGAAATTTATTGCATTATAAAGTGAACGGTACATACAAAAAAAAAAAAAAAAAACAACCACAGCACATTTAACACAGTAACATCCTTTGGCCTCCAAGTACAACAAACTCTGACAAGACATAATACAAGACAAGACAAGATAAACATAAAACATAATACAAGACTAAATAACAAAATCAATAAGAGACAAAGTGACAAAGATGGACAAAGCCTTTGACATACAACATACAAAGTGACAAAGATGACAACATACACATTTGTTTTTTTTAATACATACATGTATAACCAAATTCAAAATAACATCACAAATACAATTAGACAGAACATATAATCTAAATCAGCTTAACCATCTGTTAAGTGAATCTGTTGGTGAAATATTTTTGTTAAGATTGAAACATTTTTAATGCTTTTACCTTTCTTTCCTGGTCCAGGTGCAGAAACTGGTCCCTTTTCGCCATCTGATTTAGAGATGTGGTCAAAAACAAGTTATAAAAAAGTTACAATAACAATATTTCTTATCTACTGCAAAGAAAAGTGTCTAAATTAAATAATGGATATCAAAATGTGCAGAAAATATGCATTTTCACTGGTTGTGAGTTAAATAAGACACCGATCTTTATTAAGTGGAAAGGGGACGCTATTGAGTGCATTCACTTAATAGCTTACACATAAGAGAAACACATACAAAACATAACTTGACAGACATTACAGCACACCTTGCGAAGTTTTTACATTGAGAAGCAGATTATGACTTACCTTTTATAAACATATATTTTTTTAATTAAAATAATTCCATAAAGATATATTATAAAGAGTGGGAGTTATTATGAAGAAGGGTTTCTGTTTCAGTACCTTCCACTGGTTGGATTAGTACCGGTTCTTCCTTTGGAGCAGGCTTTGGTTTTTCTGGTTCTTTAGGTGTCAGTACTTCAAAAAGAATTTCAAAGATGTGATGAGATTTCCGTACTAGATATTCATTCTCACCACATTACAGGGATATATACTTGTGGTAACATAATACCTTTTGTTGGAATTATCTTCTCTTCTTTGGGCTTAGAGATGAGTTTATCTTCAGCCTTCTTATCGACTTCTTTAAATTAAAATAAAGTGTGTTGTTTGATGTAAATTTAAGTCGAAAGACATTTAAGATAACAATGTGATGAAAGAACCTCTATCGAGGTTAATAAATAGACTTACACAGATATTACAAGCATGACATACAACACATAAAACACTTAAATCTACTCTATATGCTTATGTTAAAATAAAAGAAACAGTTATTTTAGTAGTAATGTGCAAAACATTCTCATGACATTAGTGTATATGTTTTTCTATAGATTAAAACCGTACAAGTGATAGAAGGTGAGATACGTGAAGATATCGCATAGCTTATATTTTACTATTGTAAGAAAGTTTGAAGATATTTGCAGTAGAAATTTTTAGTTAGTATTAAGAACTCATGCAAACAACTACAAGGACATGCATGCACATAGATTTGACAGAACATATTCTAAGCATCCCAAAGAGAGCGTGTCTTAACGACACAAAATTGTGATAAAATTAAAGACTAATTACCAAGTCAGAGTGGTTCACTAAGCGTGAACTTTTTATCATTAAGACTGTAACTGACCAATATTATTACAGAACACACATGATACAGAACAACATAAAAATATGACAGCAAATGTACAGAATGTTAAGGCCCTCTCTATTGAGGTTAAAATATGCTAAAAAAAAAAAAAAAAAAAAAAAAAAAAAAGCTAATGTTGTTAGACAAAACATATCACATACATATCAAACAAAAAAGTACCTTCTGGGGAAACTGTCTTTGCCTGAGGCTCGGGCAAAGATTCTTTCTTTCTTTCAGGTTGTGGAGATGGTTTCTTTTCAACTGTGAAAATTACAAATTTTAATGTGTTATGATGAGAAAAATTCAGAAGTTATGATGAGCAAAAAGATATGATTTGTAAAAGATATGAAGGATTTGACTCACAGGACAAACAATGAAAAGAGACCACAATAATTTGACAAACTGAAACATAAAAATTTAGTATGACATAATAAGATTTTGTTGAAGAATCCCCATTGTACCTTGTGGGGGTGCCACTTCTTTCAAAGAAACAGGAGTCTTCTCTAAATATGGTATCTTTTCTGGAGATGGTTTCTTCTCTGGTTCTGCCACTTTATATCACAAATAAAATTTTACATTATAAACCAAAACCTTTTTATTTTATTTTATTTTTTCCATTTTACCATTAGACTGGTTTAAAAAGTTTAAAACACACTAAAAAGGAAAAATGACGAACACTCTAGAGAATACTTAAAGATCAGGGGTCATAACTGTATTTATGACTTCAAGACAGGACAAAGAAGAGGTTAGTCGTAAGAAATGGATGTAATTGTAAGAAAATTTCTACTTTCCGTGTCAATAAATATTAATTACAGCAAGTGACATACGAGACCACACAGACATATAAACAACTTAGTATAAGATTAAAAGAAGTTCAAAGACACCAAGTTTTAGATTAAGATAACGCAAGATGTTGTCTGATGTCATTATACCTTGTGTAGGGGTCACCTCTTTCTTTTGAGGTACAATAGCATCTGCTCTAATAGTGACAGCAACCATTTTTTTTCTTTTTAGGCTTAACATCTTCCTCCTGTGGTTTAGGCTCAGAAAAGAGTTCTTCTACTTGAGAAAATGGAAGAACCTTTTTTGGCAAATTATCTTCTTTCTCTTCCAGTTTGTGGGACATTTCCTTCTGTAGACATGTAAGTTCTTCCCTATCAAGAGAGGGAGCAACTGCTATTTTAAGTGTACTTTCTTCTTTCTCTTTTGTGGGCATGATCTCTTTCATCTGAGGTACAGTTTCTTCTGTTTTAAAAGCAGTGACAACTTGATTCTTTTTCATTGGAACTACTACTTCTGCTGTCGGTGTGGGAGCATCATTTTGAGTAACGGATTTCTCTTCATTAAGAGGAAAAGGAACCTCATTATTTTTAGGTACAATTTCCTCGTCTTTTTTAAAAGGAAGAGGGATTTCTTTAGACAATATTTCATCATACATTCTGGGAGGAAAAATAACTTCTTTCTTTCGAGGAACAATTTTGTCATCCTTTCTATGAGGAACCCCTTTCTTGATAGATACAATTTCCTCTTCCTTTTTACCAGGAAGAGAAACATCTTTATTTTTCAGTATTATTTCCTCTTCCTCCCTGGGAGGGGGAAGAATCACTTTATTTGTAGATACAAGAGCATCGTCCTTTATAAGAGGAAGAGGAAATTCTTTCTTTTTAAAGAATATTTCCTTATCAGTTCTTGGAGGAAGAACCTTCTCTTTCTTTTCAAATGCAATTTCCTAATCCTTTCTGAGAGAATCATGTTTAGCAGGAAGAGGAACCTCTTTCTTTTGAGGTGCAATTTCCTCTTCCTTTTTATGGGGAGGGGGAACCTCTTTATTCTTAGGCACGATTTCCTCATCCTTTCTTGGAGGACTATATTTCTCTTTAGGTAACATTTCCTCATCCCGTTTAGCAGGAGGAGAAACCTCTATCTTTTGAAGTGCAATTTCCTCTTCCTTTTTAAGGGGAAGATCAACATATCTTTTTTTAGATACAATTTCATCTTTCTTTTTAGAAGGTAGAGGAACATCTTTCTTTTTAAGCAATGTTTCCTCATCCTTTCTGAGAGAAACATCTTTCTTTTTAGGTAACATTTCCTCACCCTGTTTAGCTGGAAGAGGAACCTCTTTCTTTTGAAGAGCCATTTCATCTTCCTTTCCGGGAAGAAGAATAATCTCTTTCTTTTCAAGTATAATTTCCTCATCCTTTCTGTAAGGAACAGCTTTCTTTTTAGGTATCATTTCCTCTTCCTCCTTAACCTCTTTCTTTTGAAGAGTAATTTTGTCTTTTCCTATAGGAGGAAGAGGAACCTCTTTCTTTTTAGGTAACATTTCCTCATCCTTTCTGTGAGAAAAAGCAACCTTATTCTTTTGGCCTACTATTTCGTCATCTTTTCTGAGAGGAAGAGGAACCTCATCCTTTACAGGAAAATCAGCAAACATTTTCTTTTTAAGTACAATTTCTTCGCTCTGGGGTACAAGTTCTTCCTTTTCAGGGCCAATAACAAAATCTTTTTTAGGCAGTTTGTCTGGAATTTTCTTTTTCTGGTGACAAGCATCAGTATCTCTTTTTTGAGGTTACTTGCCTTCTATATCTTCTAATTTACTATCTTCAGCAACTGGTTTCATAAAACCTATGTCCTCAATTAAACCTCCTCTCTCAGTAGCCAATAACTGAGCAACCTCTGGCTTTTTGGAAGGTTCTTGCACTTCAAAAGAATAATGTTTAAAAATAGCTTCTGTAAAAGGAGAATTGCAGAAGATTAATGTTGTCTCTGACTTTGAAACAACTCTTCTAATTTAATTATTTTGACATTGGAGATTTCGGATCACTGAGAGTTCAGAGGGGTTGCTCCTAATAAAAGATTCCTCTAAACTCTCAGTGATCATATCCACAATTCTAAAATTAATGTAAGCACGGGTTTCCTTTTTTTATCTCACCTGGCATTACAATTGCTCTAGGTGGCTTTTCATCAGAAAAGTTTTCACTCATACTAGACACTCTACTTTCTTTTGAAGAATCCTTCAGTTTTGAAATTTGTAAACTGTCAATTTCTGTGCTCTTTCTTCCGTCATACAGCATTTCTGTGTGTGATACAGGTTTTTGATGAGAGACATGCTCTTTTGAAATTTCTTCCAATAGCATTGACTTCATTGGAATTTTCTGATTGTCTGATTGCATGACTTCATCCTTTTTCAGGACAGAAGTTGACTCTTGAAGATCTTGAATGTGGTGAAAAATTGTGAAGAATAATTTACCCAACAGTGGAACCAAGATTTTCATAGATAATAGAAAGATATTACGTTTGTAATGGAGATGAATCATAAATCTAGTAACGGTACTTGGTACAATGAAGTAGGAAATGTGTCTTTGCTGAAAAATAACTTGAATGAATACTGTCTCAGGCTTTTAAACAACTCTTTAAAGAACGATTAAATTTAAGATCCATTACATTTGATACAAATTTACACAAATTATCTTATAGGGATTTCATAATCTGTATCTTTAACAGGGAAGCAGCATTAGTTTGGACATTTTGGGGTTTGGTTTCTCCCTCTTGAAAGACATTAAAGATTGCTGTACTTAGTATACCCCATGGGATTTAAACAGAATACGAAGACAAAGATGTTCAAGAGAAAAAAAGTTGTTAAAAGAAGAAGGTCTAATAAAAAGATTACAAAGAATCCAGTGGTGTTTGATTTATGTACCTTCAGTCTTCTCATTTCTCGTTGGTGGAAAAAGAACTGTAGCTGGCTTTCTTTGTAGTTCATCTATTGGAGATTATGTCCATGTTCACACCAAAATATTATATTAAATTATCAAAGTATTACATTTTTCAGGTAGCACAGTACTTAAGAAATATATAAGTGAAAGTCCACATCTATAGGATCAAGAGATCACTCTAGCGAGTGGTAAGAGGTTAATGAAGAAGAATAAAAACACACTGGCAAAGGACAAGAGACAAACATATATGGGACAACACAGACACTAAGAAATTAGTACAATAAAATAGTTCAAGATAAGTTTTCAAAGAAAATCGTTTCTACGACCGGAAAGTAAAGAGTAAGAAGAAAAGACAATCAGATGTTATCTGATATTGTACCTTTTGTAGGAGTCACCTCTTTCTTTTGGGGTACAATCTCTTCATCCTTTTTAGCAGGAGCAGGAACTTCTTTCTCATGACGCAGTATGACTTCTTCTTTTTTAGTGAGAGCAACTACATCCTTCTTTTTAGGAAGAATCTCTTCTTTCTCTTCTAGTTTTGGTATAAAGGATACTTCCTTCTCTAGATGTGTAATAACTTCTCTGAAGAAAATCTCTTCGCTTTCTTCTTTCTTCTCTGAAATTTGTGCGGAAAGGATCACATCTTTTTGTAGACGTGCAGTTTCTTCTATGAAGAATATTTCTTTTTCTTCTTTCTTCTCTGAAATTTGTGTGGGAAGTATCTCTTTCTTATGAGTCATAATATGAGGCACATCTTTTTTAGGGACTTTCTTCTCTTGAAGTAGAATTTCTTGGGAGGAACTTTCAGGAGGAAGAGGAACCTCTTTCTTTTTAGGTTCAATTGCCTCGTCCTTTTTAGGAGGAAGAGAATCCTCTTTTGCTTGAGGTAGAAATTCATCCTTTTTAAGAGGAAGAGAGACTTCTTTCTTTTTAGGTTCGATTGCCTCATCCTTTTTAGGAGAAAGAGGAACTTCTTTCTCTTTAGGTAAGGTTTTCTCATCCTGTTTAGCAGGAAGAGGAACATCTTTCTTTTTAGGTTCAATTGCCTCTTCTTCATTAAGAGGAACCTCTTTCTTTTTTGGTAATATTTTCTCATCCTTTTTAGCAGGAAGAGGAACATCTTTCTTTTTAGGTTCAATTACCTCTTCTTCTTTAAGAGGAACCTCTTTCTTTTTTGGTAATATTTTCTCATCCTTTTTAGCAGGAAGAGGAACATCTTTCTTTTTAGGTTCAATTACCTCTTCTTCTTTAAGAGGAACCTCTTTCTTTTGTGGTAATGTTTTCTCATCCTGTTTAGCAGGAAGAGGAAAATCTTTCTTATTAGGTTCAATTGCCTCTTCCTCTTTAAGAGGAAGAGGAACCTCTTTCTTTTTTGGTAATGTTTTCTCATCCTGTTGAGCAGGAAGAGGAACATCTTTCTTTTTAGGTTCAATTGCCTCTTCCTCTTTAAGAGGAAGAGGAACCTCTTTATTTTTTGGTAATGTTTTCTCATCCTGTTTAGCAGGAAGATAAACACCTTTCTTTTGAGGTAAGATTTCCTCCTTTTTAGCAGGAAGAGGGACCTCTTTCTTTTTAGGTAATATTTCCTCATCCTGTTTAGCAGGAAGAGAAACCTCTGTCCTTTGAGGTACAATTTCTTCCTTTTGAGGCACAATTTCCTGCTTTTTAGGGGTAGAAACAGTCTCTTTTTTAGGCAGTTCTTCTTCAATCAAGTCTTCTCTCTGTGTAGCCAATATCAGAGGGGCCTCTGGCTTCTTGGAAGGTTCTTGCACTTAGAAAGAATATTAAAGTTAAGAACAATGCTTCAAATTGCACTGATTTAAGAGTGAGACAAGATGGGTGAAAGATAATTTAGGCAGATTTGAATGCAACTAAATATAAAAGACTTAAGATACATAAGAAATGAAGACATAAGATGTAAAAGATATGGTAGAAGCTGCAAATAAGAATACACCAAGGTCCAATAATATTGCAGGACAAAGACAATGATATAAAACCCAGTGTTCTTCATAATAGTGCGGCTAGTTAATAAAGAAACACAAACACAACAGAAAATATTCCTACATGCAAAACCTGTATCTCTATACCTTTCTTTGGAGGTTCTTCTACTGCAATGGCTTGGTCAGGTTTAGCTGGCATTTTCTTTGGTGGTTCTTGAATAGTTGGTTTTTGTTTCTTTTCTTCAACAAGAACTTTAAAGAACATGCATTGTATTGTTTTAAGATTAATTTCATAGGCACACACATTAAAAAAAAATAGTGTCACATAAAATATGCAGGACAATTGCACCCATAAAGACGTATATGAAAAACCCTTAAAAAAATAAACACACAACATAAAGCATTAGAAATGAACAATATGCCATAAGTTAAACCAAATAATATTCCAGGACAAAGACAATGACAAACAAAAGCCACAGTAAGGTTATGTGTTCCTCATAAGAGTGTGGCAAGTTGATAAAGAAATAGCCCTACATACAAATAGTAAGTCTATACCTTTCTTTGGAGGTTCTTCAATTAAAACCGCAACGGCTTCATCGGGTTTAGCTGGCAATTTCTTTTGTGGTTCTTGAATGGGTAGTTTTGGTTTCTTTTCCTCCGCAAGAACTTTAAAGAACATGCATTGTATTGTTTAAAGAATATTTTTTTTCAAAATCATGTCAAAGAACACACAATGTCACAAAAAAAACATGCTTCCTAATGGAAGCAGGACAAGAAGCAATATACAGCATATAATAATAAGTACTGTAGGTACCAAAAAACAATATTAATCTCAGGACAAAGACATTGACAAACAAAAGCCACTGTACGTCACATGTTCTTCATAAGAGTGTGGCTGGTAAATTAAGAACACAGACACACACACTAAAGTCAATACCTTTCTTTAGAGGTTCTTCAATTGGAGCTGCAATGACTTCCTCAGGTTTAGTTGGCACTTTCTTTAGTGGCTCTTGAATTGGTGCTTTTGGTTTCTTTTCCTCCACAAGAACTTTAAAGAACATGCATTGTATTGTTTTAAGATTAATTTTATAACATGTAATGATTTGTTTACAACCACATGTCAAACAACACACAGCGTCACATTCAATGCACTTCCTAATGGAAACTGGACAATTGCAACAACAAAGACAGGTGTATAAAAAGCTTGTAGACAAGAACATGAATACACAACATGAAGCATAAGCAATGAACAGTACCTTTAGCTGGAGGTGACTCAGGCTTCTTCACAGGAGTAGGCTTAGCCTCAGGTTCGGGCTTAAGTTCAATCTTGGATTTTGGTTCTGGTTTGGGCTCAGCTACTGGTGTAGCTTTAGGCTCCTCAGGTTTAGGTACAGGAGCCACAGGAGCTATAGGTGCTGCTGGCTGTGACACTTCTTCATATAACACATATTTTGGTATTAGTACATTTGTAGCGTTTCAAAAGAGTTGAGATATGAATGAAAGAAAACAGCAGTGTGAAGCAGTTTAAATCATACATCAAACATAGAAAAAGATGACATAAGATAACATAAGATTTGCTGTTTGCATGCTATAAGAAAAAGAACAAGCAGACTTGACATCAATAAAGATACCAGACATACAAAAAGGAAAGAATTAAGAGGGTCATATCTGATTTTGATTTCACAAAACGTTTATGCGTAACATATATAAACAAACATTGAAGCAAAATATCTACATTCACAAGAGGGCGTAAAAAAGGACTTTTATCAGCTTAAGAGGTGCATATGCACGCATTAATAACCAGGTAATGTGACACAGAACAGGAAATAATGGCATGTGTTCTTTCTTTGCATACCTTTTGCTGTGGGCCGTTCAATTGGCTCTGGCACTGTAACTGCAGTAACTATTTCTTCCACAGGCTTTTTGGCTTGTTGGACAAAAAAATTATTACAAATGCTTTAAGAATATTTAATTAGACAAACAAAAAACAATTACACTACAACAGAATATTGACATCACAGACTGAATTAGAAGAAAGTGCTCTTTATACAAACAGAAATTGAAACACTGGAGCACATTAGACAGACGTTTGCATACCTTTCACAGGTACTTCAGTTTTTAGCTCCGGTGGTTTAGATGGCTCAGGTTCCTTGAGTTCTTTGAGAATATTAAGAACAATTATTCAATAATATCAAGACTAGTAGCTTCAGCTTTGAGAGTGATCATGCATTTCAAAAAAAAATTGACAGCACATAACATTGATGACACACATAACTAAGGATGTGAAAGTTACCACAAATTTACAAACACACCTATAAACATGACACATGTGAATGTGAATAAAGGTTTGCCAACAAGTAGAAAAGCAGTGAGCTGTTTTGTCTTTCAGTACCTGTTGTTGGAGCCATCTCTCTCATTCCCAAAGTTTTTCTAGTGACAGCCTCTTCGATCGGGACCCTTGGGGCTGATGAGACAAAGAAAGTCTTTAATAAAAACTGGCATTGGAGAAACATATGACAACAACACAAAATCTTAAAATAAATCTGTTTAAAAAGATGGTAAAGATGGCAACACACAACAAACACATAGGTAACACTTCACAATACACAATTCATGTTTAACTAATGCACAGATAATCATAAGTTAATGTATGACTCATGAAGAACTAAACCATTAATTAATGATGACTGCATCAGCAACTATTAAAGAGTCTATATAAGTGTTACCAACACATACAATACAACTTAATAAGACATTGTGAGGGCATGGTGAAGACAAAGGGAAATAAAAACATTATATGAATGTCAGAAATACATACGACACAGATATAACAATATGTGAGCAAACAAAAGAGGAAAGAGGGTTAGAACAACATGGTGAATTATATTTGTTGACCCAAAAGCTCTCAGTAATACCTGTGACTGATATTTCCTCTACAACACTCTCCTCTGTCCAGGACACATACTCTGGTGAATAGTAAAATGTTGTTACACGTGTCAAAAGAAGAATACTTTAAATATTGACGTTATTTGGTTATTTCACGCAAGAGGTTGGTAAATCAAAAAAAAAAAAAAAAAAAAACCTCACACAATCGTGTTATTTGTTTGAATTTTTTGTTGTTGAACAGATGGATGGTTAATTGATTTTTGTCAATTTTAGTGAATGATACTATATGAAAAGGATGATGTGAAAAAGTTAGTTTAATTCTTATAACAATGCATTTTTACCTCTCGTTTCCGTTTTTTCTTCATAATGGTAATATTCCGAGGAAGACTCAGCTTTTTGAAAATAATAAGTGTGTGAGTAACTGTCTCTTATTTTTAAGGATAAGGATATATTTATTTAAGTAATTTTTATAACATCCCAACCTTACCTTCAATGGTTAATGCAGATGCCTCAGGCACTTGTATTGATGTATCCGGGATGTCTGTGTGAGTGTTATTTAACATTCTTAAAAATTACTTGTATAAATGATGGACTATGAGAAATAATCTGTCAACGTGAACTATAGGTGTTAAAAAAAAAAACTTATCACATACTTACCATAAGGTACACTTTCTATTTCAATTTCTGGAGGGAAAAATATATAAAAAAAATTGTAAGGAGCCTTGATATTCTAGAGATTGTTAGTTAAGTAAATGCTGGATCACGACAGCTGTACCGACCTTTGCCTGACAGATAAAGTTCAGCTGTACTTTTAGCCTCACCCCTGGGCTCCAATCTGACAATGACCGAGTACACGCCTAAAGGATTATTGATTTGGTTAAATGGGCCTTCTTTTTAAATATTATTAAAACGAATAATGGTCCCACACTGGAAGTCCACAAACCTTCATCAGCAGAGGTAACATTGCGGATGATCATGAAGTGCCGTCGCCCTTCACTTTGAAAGGTATATTTGGGGCTCTCTTTAAGCTCCCAAGTGTTCTTATACCACGTTACAATAGCATTGTCGAAAGACACCTCACACTCAAAAGTGGCGGATTGATGTTCTCGCACCACAATGTTCTGGATGCGTTTGGTGAAATGTATTTGCTTGGCTAGAAAAAGATAACGCAAGGTGGATGATTAGGACTGAATCTGATGTGGAATCTTTTTTTCATAATACAGTCTGTTAGGATTTGCTATTAAAGAAAGCCAGGAAAATGTGAAGACAAAATATCCCTGGCATTTAAAATACGAAGAGTTCTTTTTCCATAAGAGGTGAAGAAGATGTAGTCAGATGATGATATAAGAGGTTAGTAGATGGCATAACTTACAGTATTAATAAGTCTGACAGTTCAGTGAATCTATACAAACCTTCAATCGAAAGATTTGCAGTTGTTTCAAGATTTTTATATTTGCAGGTATATTCTCCTTGGTCTTCAGGTCTAACATTTTTGATTGAGAGCTTCTGAGTGTAATTGTCCACAGCAAATGTATATCTGCTTTGAGGCTCTAAAAGCTTCCCATTTTTAAACCACTGGGTTTTTACATTAGGTACAGAGAACTGGCATGTCAATGTACATGTCTGGCCTTCCTTACCAGCCACATCCTGCATTTGCTGTTCCACTTCAGCCTCTGCAGAAACAATAAGGGTCAATATTGTAAAAACATACCTTATAATTATAGTTATAAAGTTTTGCATTCACTAAAAGGAAATGATGTTGCTACATACCCAGCACTGTCAGTTTGGCACTGGAGATATGTGGGCCACACACAATACGATAATTGCCGTCATCTCTTGTCTGGCAATCCTTGATCTTTAAGATGTGACGATCACCCACAATTTTGATGTCATACTTGTCACCACTGTCAAGTTTTTGGGTTCCTTTGTACCAGGACAGTGTGATTTCGGGGTAGTTAATCTTGATCTCACATTCAAACACAGCTTCCTTCTTAACAGCAGTTGTCTGGTCTGTGATATCACGTACCACAGTGACAGGCTGCATAGAAAACACATTAACACTCTATAAATTACATGCAGTGGCTCCACAAAGTATTTAGACACAATATTTTGACACTAACCAAAGCTGTATTTAGCAAAGTGAGAAATTCTAGGCAATAATGTAATAGACAACATTGTAAGAGCTAGTTGTGAAACAAGTCTGTTATATTATACAATGATATTCAAGCATTTTTGCTGTCTGAAAGAACATATTTAATATAGATTTCAAACCTCTGTTTGTTCCATCCTCTTTTGCAAATCAGCAACAAGTTTAGCCAAATCTTCCTCAGACTCTCTTGCACCACTTTCCACTTCCTGTAATATAATAAATCCAAGCAGTGAAACAATTAATACAATTTACTTTCATCCCTGGCTTGAAAGTTGAGTTCCTGAAAGGTGTCACTAAATGCCTGCCGTGACCATATTCTTTGATTTAGTAAATTTAAGCTAAACTATTAAAGGGACACTCCACCCATTTGCATTAAGCTTTCCATTTTTAGAAACCCAGTCTTACTATTGAATGGTCAAAAATGGAGGATTGGGATCACACATGGTGTCAGCCATCTTTTTTTGGAAGCTAAGCTAGCAGGCTCTTGTTCTGTCGAGAAAGCAGAGTTACCATCCTCTTTTTCCGGACATGTCCGTCCGTCGATGTCCGGGATTCAGCTATTTCTTTATGCAGTCGCCATGCATTGTTTACATGCAGATCTTTTGTTTCAATCTAACTGAATTCATTCTGATTGGTGAATCTGAATGTAGTGTTTACATAAACGCTAAACAAGCGATCAGTTGATGTGCATTTTAACATTGCTAAGAAAATTCCCGCTCTTCTGTGAGAGATACAAGATCGGTGCATCTCACAGGTGTCACTCATCAGTATTCACGCCACAGGCCTCGTGCGGTTCTCCCGCGGCCCTCACTCGTCGTGCTCGCCACAGTAAACATAATAAATGGCGACTGTACAAAGCAAAAGCCGAATCCCGGACATTTTGGGCGATCTCGAAACACATTTTTGGGCAGACTCATCACGGAGACTCACTAGTAGCCTAGACTTGTTAAACTACTGTGTGGTTACTGGTAGGCGTGGCCTCCTAGGGAAGCGAAGGAAGTGCATTCTGGGAGTTGTTGTCTTTCATCCACATAAGCCAAAAATACATTTTCTGCCTTTTCTCAGTCTAGAAAGCTCCAAATTCAAAAATTATTTCACATTTCTTCTACATTAATGACCCATTTTAAATAGACATTCATCTTTCCAGAGGTGAAGTATCCCTTTAAGATTTATCAATTAAAATTAGTATTATCATGAATCAATTAAAAGTTTTAATAACAAAGGTTAAGGTTGCAGTGCATTTGTTTGGAAAGACACTAAAATGTGTCAGGGAGATAATTAGGTAATGTTTCATTAAATTGATACAGAAACAATGTGTTCGGGCTTATCACCCAAAGGAACTGATGATGTTGTACTATTATCTGACTGAATATTACCGGTCTTCCACTTTCTTGTTCTTTTTCCCTCTTCAGAAACTCAATAGCTTGAAGGAGTCCACGGTAGTCTGTGATTCCATACATGCGAGCGTATTTCTCATACTCCTTGGGATCAACATTTCTAAGCAACTCAACAATGTCAATTTCCTTGTCCTCTTTAGGGCTTTTCTGCTTTGATGGAGTCCTGTAAAAAAAGAAAAAAAAACCTTAGGTAATCTTGTATAGTTTACTAGGGCAGGTATTAAAGCAGTGTTTCACAAAGTTGGGGGACATGACCCCTACTGGTCCAAGGCACAATTGCATCATTAAAAAAAACTTAACTTAAACTCAAGTAGGCACAAATGGTTCAGCTTTAATAATAGCAACCCATGTATTTAATCCAAATTTACCATTTTATTAAGTTATTTTACATTAAAATGTCTAACTAATGTTGGTGGAGAGGGGTCCTTGGAGATGGTTTGCAATTTGACACACACTTACTTCTTGAGTTTGACCACTTCTAAAGATGTCTCTTTCTTCTCATCAACATTCAAGTCTGTGCTGCACTCAATTTCTCCATGTTTGTTTGAAGCCACACATCTGTACTGGCCAGTGTCAGATTTGGTCACCTCTCTAATCTCCATCTTGGCCTCTTGGCCTTTTTGTTCAATACTGATGCGGCCACCATGAGTCATCTGCCTCCATTTGCCCTTCATCCATTTCACATTGGGAATGGGGTCACCACCAACTTTAGCAATGAAGGTAGCTGTACCCTCTGTAAAAACATAAAAGTTTCAATAACACTTTCTTCCACATTTCAATACAGTCCCCTCATGAAAAAGAAAAGGAGCATCACTTACTCTCAATGATATGGACACTCTTTGGCTCCTCAATAAAGAACAAGTTGTCCAACTTTTTAACTGCTTGTGGTGGTGAAGGTGCGGCCTTTGCCTGGGCAGGTTCAGCCGGGGCAGGTGCTCCTGGTTTCTCTGAATATTTTAAAGGAATTTTGCAGTGAGTTACATACATTTTTAGCTGAAGATATTCAAGAACCAGGCTTAAATCATTTCGAACAACAAAAACTCAAGATCTGTTGAACTTTTTCAAAAAGCACAGCTGCAGGAAGAATAAGAATGGCAATGAAACATTTGCAAAGAAGCAGATTTGGCGATCACTGAGACCTGTTTGTAAGCAACAAGCATATACAAAAGTAATCTGTAGGCAGGCCAAGAAAATGAAGACAGAAATAGATTAATGAAAGATTAATGATTACTCAAATATTCTAATATTGGCAAATAGATTAGGATAAGGATAAGGCAAGGTTAGGATAAAGCAAATAAAATAAAAAAGCTTAGGAATATAAAAGCAGCCAAAAAAGAAAGAATTACCAAGAATGATACAACCATTATTTTTCTTACATAAAAAAAAAAATATTTTTTTCTTATTTTTCTTCGCAAGCAACAAGCATATACTTAGCCTGGCAAAAGTAACCTGTTGCCAGGTCAAGAAAAAAAAACACACAAAAAAAAAACAGAACAGATTAATAATTACTCAAATATTGTAATATTGGCAAATAGCCAACATAAGGTCAGGATAGGTTAGGATAAAGCAAATAAAATAAAATAAAAATCTAAGGAATATAAAATCAGCCAAGAATTACCAAGAATGATAAAACCATTATTTTTCTTACACATAGAAGAAAATTACTACCTTTGATAGTGACTTTAGACTTGCAGAACTCACTACCAGCCTCATTGGTTGCTTTGCAGAGGTAATCTCCAGTATCTGTCTTAGATACACGAATCATCTGCAGTGTGGCAGTGCCATCAACGAATGTGATCTTAGTGTTTGCAGATGAAGAAAGATCATGTCTGTCCTTCATCCACTGAATCTTTAGAGGAGGAGATCCACGTACATGGCAGCTGAGGGTAAGTGGCTCACCCTCAGTCACAGTCACTGGTTTAAGAGGCAAGTCAAAGCTTGGTGGTACCTTTTGCTCTGTATTAAAAAAAAAAGTCATTTATAAAAGGGACATTTCACATTGTATTACATACATATTTTACAAGAAAGTACTATGGGACTACCATAGGTACTTCCAAGAATAATTACATTTAGTATCATGAAATTAACTTCTGATACCGTCATTGTACCACGACATTGCCACAGTATTTTATGTAAGCAATAGAACATTTAAAACAAGACAATGGACATAAGAAAAACTTGACATAGAAACCAGGAGAATACCTGTAATCTGAATTGACACTTCACAAGAGGCAGTGCCAGCTTCATTGGAGATTTTGCACATATAAGTGCCACTATCTGACAGTTGAGATTTTTTGATGCACAGGACAGCCAGGCTGCTCTTGAAGGTTACATCATAACAGTCAGAGGTGAAGATTTCTCTTTCATCTTTATACCAGTTGACAGTCAGGGGCTGTGATCCAGCAACACGAGCCTCAATTTTCACCATTTTGCCCTCAATGTCCTCAATAGTTGCTCCAGGCTTTTTGGTAAAACTAGGAGGAATTTTACGTTCTATAGGAACAATAAATAGAGGTGTTGTTAGACAGGACATATATGACAGAACATCTAAATGCATATACCAAAAACAAAAGAATTTGTGAAAGATGCTCAACAGCGCCATATTTTAAGCAAAGAAAAACATTACCAAGGCAAAGGCATGAAGAATGGAAGACACAAAAGTAAAAGATATAAAGCACCATAAGGTCAGGCCAAGACAATAAAGACAATGAAGACAGTCACACCAAAAAAGCAGTGACCAAATACCTTTCACAGAAACCTCTGTGGAACAAGAGTCCTTCCCGATATCATTACTAGCATGGCAAGAATAACGACCGGAGTCTGCTTTATCAGCCTTCAAAATTGTTAAATGAGGGGTGTTATCGACACACGATATCTTATAATTGCCCCCTGTACGGATGTCCTTGTGATCCTTGGACCAAGTAACTTTTATAGGCAATGATCCCGTCATGTGGCATTCCAGTTCGACAGTATCTCCCACTGTCACATCCACGGGTGTGAGCTTTTTATCAAACACAGGTGGATATCTTGGCTCTGTGGAGTTAAATAGAGACAACAGTACAATCGTAGAGACATGTTAACATCCATGTTAACATCACAACACATGAAACTCATTTAATCAGAGAACAATATGAAAGAGATAAACAGACCTTGAAGCGTGAGCTTGGCCCTGCAAGAAGCAGTTCCAACACTATTAGTAGCAACACAGGTGTATTCACCAGAATGTCTCATTTCACCCTTGGCTATCTTTAGGATAGCAGAGTTATCATCAAAAGACATTGTGTTTTCTGAATTGCTCCTTAGAGCTTCACCATCTTTGAGCCAAGAGACTTCCATAGGAGAGGATCCTGCAACACGACACTCAAACTGGACAGGCTGCCCTTCAATTTGTGTAATGCTAGTAATCTTTTTAGGGAAAGAAGGTGGTGTTTTCACATCTGGAAAGCAAAACATGAATCAAAATACATTGATAGTGGTTACACAGTGTAGGGAAAATCCGTGAGAGACAGATTCAGAGCTTTAGAAAGAAATATGCATCACCTTGTACAGTCAAGTGGCAGCTGCAAGAGGCAGATCCTATGCTGTTTTCTGCTTTACATGTGTATTCACCAATGTCAGATTTGGTAACTTTAGCAAGTTTCAGGCAGGCAGTGCCTTTAAAGAACTCCATCTTGCAGGTTGGAGAAGAACGCACTTTGCCATCTGCCTTGAACCATGACACTTTAATTTCAGGAGTGCCACCAATCTGGCATTTCAGACAAACTGCATCACCTGCCGTGACTTCCATAGGCTCCAAACTCTCAATAAACAAAGGTGGTTCTAAAAGTGACAAAACATACATATTGCATAAGGAAAAGCATGCACATTTTAATATTGTCTCACAGTAGCTTATATTGAGGACGTCTACTGAGAAACAAACCTAAAATGGACACTTCTGCTTCACAAGTGTCGAGTCCAGCATCATTAGAAACCTCACAAGTGTATTTTCCAGCAGCCTCTTTATCACTGTTTAGACACTCCAGGATGCAGGAGTTCTCAGTGGTCGTAATGTTGTACTTGTAAGAGGAGTAAATTTCCTGTTCATCTTTATGCCATTTCACAAGAATCTTTGGGCTTCCCGCATATGTGCATTCAAGTATCAGCGTTTTGCCCATTTCAACAGAGAGGTTCTTTAGCTTCTTGACAAAGTGTGCAGCCTCTGAGGAAAATGACATGACAATGACAATGACACAAAGTTCTGCTATGACAAGTATACGGGAAATTGTTGCTTATATATTAACTAAATTAAAACTAACCCTTAACAAAGAGGTTCACAGGACAGTTTTCCTTCCCAGCATCATTTATGATCTGGCAAGTGTACTCGCCAGCATGAGATTTATCAATGTTGTAGAGCTCTAGAATTGCTGTATCTCCTCTTAAAGCAATCTCACAGCTTTTCCCAGATACTACTTCTTTACTTCCTCTAAACCATTTCAGTTTCATTGGGGAGCTTCCTTGAACGGTTGCTGTAAAGGTGACATTTGTGCCTGGGAGGGCTTCCACCGGTTGAGGTGTGGTCACAAAAGAGGGGGGTTCTGTAGCAAATATGACATGGAAAAGGTTGTGAAATGTGGTTTAACCAATAGATTTACATTTATTGGTTATTATAAATGATTCTGCAGTCAAACACTAACCTTTAACTATTAAGGAAGCAGTTGTCTCTGCAGTTCCTGCACTGTTTACTGCTTTACATTTATATGTGCCAGAGTCTGAAAGTTTCAAAGTTGGCACTTTCAATGTGCAAGTATTCTCAGCAAATGTAATCTCATAGTTCGGCCCACTTTTAATTTCCTCTTCATCATGGTACCAAGAGATAGAGAGAGGTGCAGACCCTGAAGCTTTACAGTCCATTTCAATAGATTTTCCAACAACATTCTGTGTGTCCTTCAGTCTTCGTGAGAACGAAGGAGGGGCGATTTTGTCTGTTTGACCAAAAACAACATACTCAACTTCTGGCTGCATAAGAAATCCCACGCCATTCTAAGATTGTAACAAATATTAAATACAAGAATATTTAACATTACTGACCCAAAACAGTGAGGTCCATTTTGCAGCTGTCACTGCCAACTTCATTCTTGATCTCGAATGTGTATTCTCCAGTATCACTTTTCTCTGTTGACAATAGCTTAAGACTGGAGATCCTTTTTGAGAAGGTGATTTTGTATTTTTTACCTGAAGACAACTCCACACCATTCTTGTACCATTTTGGCTTAAGTTCTGGAGTTCCAGACACAGTGCACTCTAAGGCTGCGGTTTCACCAGCGGTTACACTGATTGACTCTGTCTTTTCGACAATTGCTGCGGGTTCTAGAAATTTAAAAGCGTCATTAAGGTAATTTACAAAATTCAATTAATTGTAAAAGATTAAATGTACTTGAAAGGGGAAAATATTATTCTTACAAACCTAGGATTGTTAAGTTAGCAGTGCATTCAGCTACTCCAGCATCATTTTTGAGCAGACATGTATATTTTCCAGCAGTGGTGGAGTCAGCTTTAAATATCTTAAGAGTGACCTGATTATTCTCAAATGTAATTTTCCTTTTGTCACCATCTCTGAGAATATGGTCTTTATCCTGAACCCAAGACACAGTCATAGGTTGCGAACCTTTGACTGTTGCCAACAAAATCACCTCTTCACCAGAAATGGCTGTCGTATTGGATAATTTCTTCACAAAAGCTGGTGGTTCTGAATGTCAGGAAGATAGTCATCAGAGAGTCAGAAAATTAAAGTGTAGAACTAGTATTTACTAGTTTAAACTCCGTCTCCTATCTTACTGACCTCTTAACTTTACAGTGCCCTGGCAGGAATCACTTCCAACAGTATTTGATGCTTTGCACTCATATTCTCCTGCATCTGATACTTCCAGTCCAAGGATGTGGAGAGTAGCAGAGCATCCCTCAGACACAAATTTATACTTCCTACTCTCTTTTAACTGTTTTTGATCTTTAAACCAGGTTATCTCAAAAGGAGCTGAGCCTTTCAGCTCACAGTTAAGACTGCCATCTTTGCCCTTCAACCCCTCAACTGGTGTTGGGACTTTGTGGAAAGTTGGTGGTTCTACAAGAAAGTAATTAAAAACCAAAAATAACGCTTATGCATATTAAAATCAATAAAATGATAATTTAAATCAATAGATTATATCTATTATTATTAACTAGAACTAAAACGATTAATAAAGCTGAAATAATATAAAATATTACTATTAAAAGTAAACAAAAATTTAAATGTTGCCTTTCAAACTAAGTTGAAGTACAAAAATTACTAACTAGAAATGAATGAAAACTAAAACTGAAATAGAATTAAAAAAAACATAAATATTAACATGTAAAATAAAACATAAAATAATACTAAAATAACACATCTGAAACACATAGACCATGTCAAGGCATAAGCATTAAACTAGTGAGTGAAAGATCCATCCACCGTCTAACCTTTCACTGTGAGTGTGGTGCTGCAACTCTTAGTTCCAGCATCATTCTGGACTTCACAGGTGTAGACTCCATTGTCCTCAAAGCTGGACTTGAAAATTTCAAGGACTGCCACAGAGTTATCGAAAGCCATTTTCAAGTTGCCACCATCACTGAGTATGGCATCATTTTTGTACCAGCTTATTTTCAGAGGAGCTGTGCCAGTAACTTTGCATTCAAGCTGGAGTGGCTCTCCCATCTTTATGACTTTTGCAGCTGGGAGTTTCTGTACAAACTCTGGAGGTTCTGTAAAACCAAAATTAAACATGTTATCATAATGAATAATGTAATATATAAAATGGAGCACTGAAGATGGTTTCAAGAAGATAGCAGATGGCTGAAATGGAGTAAAGCGTTATGACAAACAGTAATGAAGTAAGATGATGGTGACAAGCGATGATGGTGACAGGTAAGCGAGACAAGAAAATGCAAATGGTGAAGCATTAAAAAAGAATGATAATAAAGAGTGCCAATAAGGGTACTTGAAAAGATGTCCAACCTTTAACCAACAAGGTTGTGGTGCATTTAGCGGTACCAGCATCATTGCTTATTTGACAAGAGTAAGTTCCACTGTGTGATATTCCAACCATAATAAGATCTAGGAAGCATGAGAGGCCCTCCAGGCCAGTAAAACAGGAGGGTCCACAAAGCAGCTCAGTGTCATCCTTGAACCATTTCACTGTGAAGGGAGGTGTTCCCTTAAATGTACTCTTAAAGCGAACAGTGGTATTTGGTATGACAGCCTGTGATTCTGGAACCAACACAAAGCTTGGTGGCTCTAAATAATTGATGGGAAAGAAAGACAAATACATCTGTTAAGAAACCGGCAGCCGTCAGAGATCTTAGGGTAATGAAATATACCACTAAATATACTACAAAAGCCATCTGACCTTTCACTCTCAGCGTGCCACTGCATTCACAACTGCCCGCTTTGTTTGTAATTTTACAAGTGTACATTCCAGTGTCAGTTTTCTCCAAACACTCAATTTCCAAAGACACGCTGTTGTCATGCTGAAGAAGTTTATGTTTGGTTCTTCCTGACAGTTTAGTTCCGTCCTTCACCCACTCCACAGTTATGGGGAGTGAGCCTGATATTTTACATCCGATTTCAACATTTGTGCCCAGAATTTCCTCCATCTCCATCAAAGGTTTGATGAAGGATGGGGGTATTATTTGCTCTGATAAAAACAAAGGAAATAAATATCATAAATATCACTACAATTCACCTAATACTAATTATTCATACTAAATCATATACTAATCATGAAGGAACACTAACCAAGCACATTTAAAGTCACTTTGCACTGGCAGGCACTGATGTGGTTGGAGACCTCAAATACATAAGTTCCTTTGTCTTCCAATTGGACAGATTGAATTTTAAGTTGGCTGACATTATTGATGAAGCTAAGGCTGTGCTGTCTTGAAGGCATCACTTCCTTGCCATCTTTACTCCATTTGACTTTCAGCTCAGGAGAGCCTGTAACTTTGCACTCGAAGCTTACTGGATCTCCAGTGGTGACATTAATCACATCTGGCTTTTCAATTATCTGAGGTGGCTCTGGGGATAACATAACAATTATATTTATAATAGCAAGTCTTTAGGATGGGCAGCTACAAAAATCACTTGCAAATATAACCAACCTTGCACTACAAGTGTACCAAAACACTTCTCTTGCCCCGCCTCATTCACAGCCTGACAGGTGTATTTTCCACTGTGGATTGACTCGCACACAGGGATTCTCAAAGTGGCAATATTGTTCTCAAATGCCCTCTCAATTGCAGGATCCTCCAAAATCCAGTTTTCATCTTTCTGCCATTGTATGGATAGAGGAGGTGATCCTCTTACAACACATTTAAACTCAACCTTTTTTCCAAGAACTGTGACAACGTTCTCAATCCTCTCCACAAACGATGGAGGCTCTGATAGGAAGTGCAAAATATGTTAAACAAGGTGAAAAGAGATAAAATCTATAAAACTGATATCAAATATCAGAAAAACTCAAAGCTAACCTTTTATGCTGAGTGTTGTCTGACTTGAACAACTGCCAATTTCATTTGCTACAATGCACTGATATTCTCCAACATCTAAAGCATCACATTTCTGTACATCAAGAGTCAAAATAGAGACATTCTTCTGCAAAACTATGTGCTTAAGGCTTGATTTGATATCCTTTAAATCTTTTTGCCAAGTCACCTCAAAAGGAGCTGTGCCTTTTACCTGACATTCAAAATATGCATTTGAGCCATTTACAACCTCAAGAGGACTCAATGGCTTGACAAGAACTGGTGGCTCTGAAAAATGAAAAAAACTTGGTATGAAAACAGTTCTATGCTCTGGCTATAGACATTTTAAAAGAACCATAGCCTACAAAGTGCACTATATACTAACCTTTCACTCTTAGTTCCATACTACAGCTCTCACTGCCCGCCTCGTTCCGGGCTTCACAGTAGTACAGTCCACTGTCTTTAATATCACTGCTACTTATCTCAAGCCGTGCGAGAAAATCGACAAAGGTAATTTTATGCTTGGCGCTTGGACTTATTTCATTACCATCTCTGAACCAGTAGGTGTCTATCTCTGGAGTGCCTGTAATATGGCATTCAAAAACTACCAATTGGCCTGGTTTTACCACTGTTATTTTTTCAGGTTTGCGGGTAAATTTGGGGGGTTCTGGAAAAAAAAAATTAAATTAAATCAAGTACTTATTTTAAACATTTAACAAAGGTTTAGTGAAAATGAATTTTTGTGAAAACCTTTAACGAAGAGCATCGCTTGGCAGGCATCTGATCCAACATCATTACTTATTTCACAGACATAGTCTCCAGAATCTGAAGGCTTTGCAAAAAAGAGCTCAAGTGAGCTGGAAGTGTCATTTTTCTGAACCGAACAGTCACTTCCTGATGTAACTTCTTTCTTATCCTTAAACCATTTTATGGTCATTGGTGGTGTTCCAGACACAAGAACATTAAACTGCACTTTGGATCCTGGTATAACGTCTTGTGATTCAGGCTTCTCAATGATTGATGGAGGTTCTGATTGCAAGAGGGAGATTTAAGATTACAGATTAAAAGATATATTTTACTAAAAAGCCTAATAAATTTACTGAAACTAACAAATCAAATCTTCGGTCATAAAAGTCAAGGGTAATTGCAAACCTTTAATTTTCAGCATGCCAGAACATTGAACAGTGCCTGCTTGGTTTTTGGCGATACAAGTGTAATTTCCACTGTCTGAACTATCAAGACGACTTATTTCCAAAGATGCCGCATTCTCATAGAATATGCATTTGTGCTTCTCATCTGTCTCAATCTCCTTATTTTCCTTGAACCAAGTAATAGTTATGGGAAGAGATCCAGAGACCAGACACTCCAACTGTGTAAAAGATCCTTTTATACTTTCCATTTCCTTCAATTTTCTTGTGAAGGAAGGCTTGATTATTTGATCTGTTAAAGTGAATAGAAAATAAGATAAAATTGATCTGAAATGTTGATCTAAAACGTTTTATTTTCTAACATACTAACCTAAAACAGTTACAACTGCCTCACAACTGCTGCTTCCAGCATCATTTGAAATCTCAAATATATATTCTCCAGCATCACTCTTCTCAGAAGAAAGAATTTTTAACTTGGAGCTTGTATCTGTGCTCTGCACTTTGTACTTTTTCGCTGATGTCAGCTCTTTGCCATCCTTTAGCCATTTTGCTTTAAGAACTTTAGAACCCGAGTACCTGCACTCTAGAGTGGCAGGATCACCTACTGTAACACTGACAGACTTGGCTTGCTCTGTGATGTTTGCAGGCTCTGTAATTGCAATAAAATACGTATAAATACATGAAAAAAAGCTCTAAATCAAAAAGAGCTATGACACGATGACTGAAAAATAACGTTTAAGAAAAGAGATTTAAATTGCAAAAACAGAGAAACATGCATTAGTCTACAAAAATTACTACACACCTTTTACTGCCAGTACTGCTGTACATTTCTGACTACCAGCTTCATTCTGAGCATGGCAAGTGTACTTTCCACCAAGGTTTAATGGCACACTAGAAATGTGTACAACTGCAGTCAGGTTCTCAAAAGATATCTGAACATGCTCAGATTCCCTGATCTCATGGTCATCTTTCATCCAAGAGATGGTCATAGGCAATGACCCTTTCAAAACACACTGCAAGGAAACCTCACCACCCAGGAGGACATTTGTATTTTCCATCTTCAGCACAAATGATGGTGGCTCTAATTGAAGAACATCAAATGCAAGATGATGTTAGGACAATGTAAAAAAAAAAAAAAAAAAAAAAAACATTTCCAAGAATTCCCTAGACGTACTAACCTTTCATCGTAATATGAAAATCACAAGAGGTTTGGCCAACTTCATTTCCTACAGTGCACTGATATTTGCCAACATCCCCAGGTTCAAATTTCAAAATCTGAAGAGCTGCTACATCCTTTGTCAGGCTTATTATATGTCTTCTATCATTCCGGATCTGCTTTGACTCTTTGAAACAGGAAATCTCATAGGGAGCTGAGCCTGACACAGTTCCTTCCAACACAACATCTGTGCCTTTAACAATTTCTTTGGATTCAAAAGGTTTCACAAATTCGGGAGGTTCTGAGATAAGAAAGCACCAATTAGCTAATTGAGAACTGCTTTAACCAACAGGAAATGAAGTAAGATGATTAACTTCAAACAAACCTTTGACTGTAACCAAGCAACTGCATCTATCACTACCAGCTTCACTTGATGCTTGGCAGATATAATCTCCACTGTCTTCAACACAGCAATTGGAAATCCTTAGTGTAGCAACTGAGTCAGTGAAGGCCATTTGGTATTTTTCATTTGAGCTAAATTCAGTCTCATTCTTATACCATCTAATATTGATCTCTGGGCTGCCAGTCACTTTACATTCCAAAGTTGCAAGACTCCCATTCAATACAAGTTTATTCAATTCAAGCTTCATCACGAATTTTGGAGGTTCTATAAAAAGAGAATGACACATTAAGATGAATAACTAAATTCAAAATACCAAAAAATAAAGATCTAAAAATATCATCGAGACTAAGAAAAGGCACCTTTCACAAATAAGGCAGCTGTGCATGAGACCCTTCCAGCATCGTTAGAAACTTGGCAAGTGTATTTTGCAGACTGATTTGGCTTCACAGAGTGCAGCTCCAGTGAACTTGAGTTGGCTTCTTTCTTGATGAAACAAGTTCCTCCAGTTAACATTTCTTTGTCTTCTCTGAACCACTTAATAATAAAAGGCGCTGTCCCAGTGAATGCAGCTTTTAGAACGACTGTAGTTCCTGGTATAACATCTTGGCTTTCAGGTTTCAAAGAGAAGACTGGGGGTTCTAAAGTTCATTTGAAAGAGTGGGGGAAAGAGATTATTTTAAGAACCACATTTCAAGATGACAGCAAGCAAATACAAAAATTATAAAATGGGATCTATTAGTCTAACCTTTAACAGAAACAGTTCCACTTGTTTCACTGTGTCCTGCAGCATTAGTTGCATGGCAGGTGAAAACCCCAGCATCTGATGTCTCTAAATCTGTTATTTTCAGTGTGGCAGTACTTTCCTGCATTTCAGTTTTATATTTTGTTCCAGTTGTAATGTCCTTTCCCTCTTTGAACCAAGATATTGTTATAGGCTGGGATCCTGACACTTTGCATTCCATTTGAATACTACCACCAACATTACCATCTACCTTTTTAAGTGTTTTTGTGAATGTCGGAGGTATTATTTTATCTGCTCAAAAGAAGTAAAACACTATTGTTAAAAAAAAAACACACACACACAAACAACTGAAAGATAATTTAGGAAGAATACCACTAACCGAGAACAATGACTGAACAAGAACACTGTTCTTTTCCAACCCGATTAGAAACTTCAATTTTGTATTCACTGCTATCTCCCCGCTCTGCCGAGAGGATTTTCAAGACTGCCACATTGTCTTTGAAAGAGATTTTGTATTTTCGACTTCCTGTCATCTCTTTGCCATCTCTGAACCATTTTACTTTGAGATCTGGACTTCCTGAAACTTTGCACTCAAGAGTTGCAGAGTCACCTGCTGTTACACTGATGGATGGAGGTTTCTCAACAAATCTAGCTGGTTCTTTAACAAAAATGAAATAAATCAATTAATAAACCAATCAATTAACAACAACAACAAGAAGAAAATACTACAAAATAATATATTGCTAAATAGTGATATGTTTATGGTTTAATTCTAACCTTGAACTGAAACAGTGGCATCACATTTTTGTTTTCCGGCCTCGTTTTCAGCTTGACAAGTATATTTTCCCCCATGGTTGATGGCCACATTTGCTATTGCCAGAATAGTGATGCTGTTTTCAAAACTTGTGGTAATATTAGGATCATCATCTCTGACTAACTCTGAGTCTTTAAACCACTGAACTGTGATAGGAGCAGAACCTTTAAGAGTTCCTTGCAGTTTCACAGCACTGCCTAAAACTGCAGTGGTGTTCTCAACCTTCTTTACAAAGGATGGTGGGTCTGCATAAAGAAAGCCAGATTAACTTTCACATTAAATAAAACATTAACAACAAAGCATTTTTTAGGCCGTTGAAATTGATTGTACCAACCTTTCAATTTGGCCACTGCTTTTGTAGATATTTTACCAACATCATTGGAAATGCAGCACTGATAATCTCCAACATCTGCACTTTCAAAAGATTTGATTTCCAAATATGCAACTGAGTCCTTTGAAACAATACTGTACTTCTTGTCAGAGGAAACTGGGTTTTTATTTTTAAGCCAGGTCACCTCAAATGGAGCAGTGCCTGTAACTTCACATTCAAGCTGAGCTGTGGACCCTTTGACTACCTCCACCATTTGCAACTCCTTTTTAAATGTAGGAGGTTCTAAGAATAATAAAAGCAATAAGAGTTATATTACATTATAACTCAATTTAATGAGCATTAATCATAAGGTAAGAATCGTGTGTATTACCTTTTACAGTGACTTGAGAGCTGCAGCTTTCACAGCCAGCCTCATTCATCACTTCACAAGTGTAATTTCCACTGTCAGACTCAGACAATTCAATAATCTCAAGAGTGGCTTGGCCAGCCTTAAATGTGATTTTTTGTTTTTCAGAGGAGCTAAGCGGTTTGTCATTCAAAAACCAAGTCACGTGGAGTTCAGGCGATCCTTTGACAGTGCACGACAGACGTGATGACATTCCTTGTTTCCATAAGATCTTAGGCTCTAGCCTTTTCACAAAGACTGGAGGTTCTACGGATTAAAATGCAATGGGGGGGGGGAAAGATTTTTGATTTGTTTGAAAGAAACAGACAAGTTAAGAAAAGACAACTTCAACAGGTAAATATAAGAGATATGTGAAGCACCGTCATGAAAAAAAGCTGTAAGACTTAATAAAAGAAGAGCAGCATCAACTGATGCTTAAGCTTTGTGACATCAGTCTAAGCAATGCAAATATAATAATCTGCTCACACCGACAGAAATTAATACTCAGTCATGCAGATTTGTTTCAAATGCTGCACTTACCAAGGGCATTAATCTGAAAGTCTTACCTTGCACTGTCACGCTAGCAGAGCAACTGGTGCTTCCTGCCTCATTGGCAGCAGTACAGGTATATGTACCTGTATCTTTGAGTTTGGCTTTTTGAATCTCAAGACAGGCTATTTTGTCTTCAAAAGCTAGTTTACAGTCCATTGTAGTATGGAGTTTCTTGCCATCTCTCATCCAGATGATGGAAACACCAATGTCTTCATCTACATGACATTCAAGACGTAGTGGGTTTCCCACAGCAATAGTGATTGCCTCAAAGCTCTTCACAAAGTTGGGTTTGTCAACAACCCTCAGTTCAGAGCAGCATGTAGCTGTACCGACACTGTTTGAAGCTTTGCAAAGGTATGTTCCCTGATCACTTTGTTGTAGATTCAAGATTTCAAGAAAATATTTGTTTTTGTCAGAGGATGCTTTGTAGTGATCATCAATTGAAATGGCAATATTGTCTTTATGCCAGACAACATTCATTGGGTCAGAACCAGAAATAACACACTCAAATTTTGCCTGCTTGTCCACATATAAAGTCATCGAATCAGGCTTTGATACAAACTCTGGAGGGAAAAGCTCTACAAAAAGAAGATATCAATAAGAATATATGAACACTTTGCCAACAAAGTATCAAACACAAAGCATGTCAGCTCCAGAGTTAAATATTTCAAGACAACCAATGGACAATAAGAAAGTTATATTTGTCTTACCTGTCGCACTTAGTTTAGCAGAGCAGCTGTCACTTCCATGGCGGTTTGACGCTTTGCATGTATATTCTCCACTGTCAGCGGTTGATGGGCTAAAAATCTCCAGGGATGAGGTGTGATGAAAGCTGATAATTCTGCATTTGTCACTATGTCTGAGCTCAGAACCAGACTTGAACCACTTGAAGGTCACACCAGGAGCCTCCATAATTTCGCATTCGAACTTTGCAGGGCTGCCGACATTGACCTCCAGATTTTGAATTTTCTGCCTAAAAACAGGTGGCACTAAATTGTGCCCACAGATAAAAAACAAATTAGAACATTATATTTAACATGTCCGATAACAAGTAATAAGCGTGAGAATGAAAAGCAGAAACCACTGATTGGCACTTTCATTACACCTTTAATGTTTTACAAAAATCATTTACTACTAAGTTCAATAGGTTAAATTTAAGCATTTCGGTACATCCTAGCATCTATAATATTTATAGATATGGTATTTTCAAAAAGTGCCAATTTCTGTGGTTACTGTAATGGAGTAAAAAAAAAGCATTCCAGCAGTGACTGAAGAGTAATGGTGATCTCGCTATGAGGGAGAGAAAAACAAATTCCATGAAGAGTGAAAAAGACTTGACATCTTGGCATGCAAGCAAAAAAGATCAAGAATGAAGTGCTCAATGACTGATGAAACGATGAAAAACAATGAAGTATTTTATGACCAATTCACAGAGGTGAACACAAAAACGTGGAAAATACTGCAGGAGTGAAGGAGATGAATGTTGGAATGACACTGAAAGATCCAACGGGTTAAGAGTTGGTGTGAAGAAGTGAAGACATGCTAACATTTCAGTGATGGGTGGAAAAAAATGGTGGAAAAATCTCAGCATTGTGAAGAAGATCAGAGCAGAAGACATTACAAAGGCATTTTCATATGAAACAAAGATCTATAGTGTACTATTAGTTGGTGTGGAGATACTGAAAAAGCACGTCTGATGAAGTGTGGCTATTTTAGCTATGAATGCCAAGAGTTAGTCATGTGGTGACAAAATAATCCCATAATTCCAACCTCTTAAGACCACAGTGAGGTGGGAGGAAGTTGAGGTCTTGCCAGCATCACCTACAGCCTCACAGGTATATTCTCCTTGATGATCCTTCATAACCTTGCTGATTACTAGTGTGTAAGTGTCATGGTCTGTGGAACACTTGAACTCTTTGCCAGACTTAATAGATTTTCCATTAAAAAGCCAATTCACTTTCTTTACATGTCTAATTTTCAATGAAAATGTTGCCTCTGAATGTTCCTCTATTATAATATCCTCCAACATGTTTTCAAAAATTGGGTAACCCTCTCTAACAACTTCTTTCTCTAATTCCATAAATGCTTCGGTTATATATTCCTCCCTTTCCTCTCTCTGAAATTTGACTTCAGTTTCAGTTGAAACAGACCCCGAAATAGCTTCGGTTGTCATACCTACATCCCTCCCATGCCCTTTTACTGTCACAGATCTGGTTTCTTGTTGCTCAACTTGGATAGACTGTTGAATCTTAATTTTTGATTGACTTGCCACATGAATAGTGGACTGTTGCGCAAAAGCTTGCTCTTTAGTGGTTACAGACTGAAAAGAGGCTTTGGCTTCAGTTTTTACAGTTGCAGATTGAATATTTGGTGATGTGAAAGGCTCTACATTTTCTGTCGATCTTACCATCTCCACCACAGGAGAAAGCAATTCTTTTGTAGAAGCCTTAGTTACCTGTAATCTTTGGGGCCTGTCGACTTGCATTGTGCCTGGCTGCTCTGAGGTCAGAACCTGTTGCTCTCGATAGACAATAGAGTAGAAAGCAGCTTGAAGTTCACTTCTGAGATCAGCAGTCTGGGGATAATCTCCTTCAAAAGCAATTGTAATTTCAAGAGGGGCACTTGCACTTGTGATAAGATAAGTGAACATGACAAATTTGGGTTCTCTCCTTTCTTTTACCTCATGAATTTCCACAGCTCCTAAACTCTCCACTACATCCGCCAGGATCAAAGGCTGGTCAAGAGCAACAGCAGTTGCAAGAGTACTTTTTAACTGGTATTTAATGTCCAATGAATGGGGTTTTGGAGGCGCAATAACAAAAGTGAGCTCTTTGGGTAGCGTTTGGCTCTCTCTTGCCTCTGACACTAAAACAGTACCCATCTTTTGCTCACTGAAAACTGCTGTGGTTGTTTCAGATTTTGTAATATCATCAGATGACTCAGCTTTGATTACTCGCTTTTCTTCCATTAATACTGACTGTCTAACAGACTGCCCTTCTTGAATTTGAACTGCAAAGTCTTGTTCGGTGGCCTCAAGAGCAATACTACTCTCTGTTGAGATAGCCTTTTCTTCTACATAAATTAATTCAGATGGGATTTTGGGTTCCACTTTGCTTTTAGACACAAATTTCTCAATTGTTCCTATATTCTCTGTGTGTCCCTCCTCTATATCCTGACTCTCTGACACAGATGTCACATGCACAATATTCCAGTGATCTTCTTTCTGAACTAGGGCACGCTGCTGTTTAACATCACTTACGAAAGGAGTTTCCTTCGGTAACGGCACTGGCTCTGAAAAGACTTGAAGAATACTTTCAGGTTTGGGTTCTTTTCTGATTTCAGACTGCATGCCTGTAACAGACACATCAAGATCTTCACAATAATCAGCAGTATGCGCTCTTTTCTCTTCTGTACTTGCAGCATGATGACGGGACTTTTCCTGCCTCTGTACTGCAATCTGTTTATCTGGTTTTTCCATTGAGATTATCCCTTCTTTTGTCAACGTATTTTCTAAGTGAATTGCCTGAAGATGCAAGGGAGTAGGAGCCTCCTTACCAGGAAGAATGGAAAGTTCTGTTGTTTGTGCTGAAAACTGAGAGGACTCCTCGCATGTCACTGTCTGCTGTAAATCCACTGCCACTGTATGCTTGAGAACAGGACTTTTTTGAGCATCTGCCTTGTCTGGGACTGGTTTCTCACTGCCAAACCTGCCTTCAGATGGAAGAATATCCTGATCTGTGATGACCTGTAAATGTAGAACTTGTTCTTCTTCTCTCTGGGACTGCACTGAAATGGCACTTTCTAAACCTGGGATCAAACTTGACTGATCAGCTTGGAGCTGATGCTTTTCCTCAGCAACGAGTGCTGATTTCAATGCACTGTCTTTGACTAGAGATGCGGTCTCCTCAACTGGCCTGTGCATTGATAACCTCTGCTCTTTTGCTAAAGTTTGAGCAGTCTCACTAACTGAAAGGACAACTGGTTCTGGTGGTTCTTTCTTCACTGTTGTCTGAAAGGTAGATTCTTGAGTTGACAGTTCTTTAGTGTGACCTTCTGTGATCTGTTGTTTCTCCGTTGAAACTGCACTGTAAAGTATTTTAACTCCCTCTTTAACCTGGTAGCCCTTTTCCTCCTGAGTATGCGGTATAACCAGTGAATGTTCTTTAAGAATTGGGAGTTTTGACTCAACTTGGTGACTTGATATTGGATACTTGGGCTCAGGAGATGCCTTGATCTGTTTCGTTTCTCTGGTTGATAATGGCTCAGCTTTGACAATTGTCAGTGGAGTTACACTCTCAGTTATGGCAGACATTATTTGTGAGCGGTGCTCTTTAGCAATTTCCAGCTCTGTAACCTCTGGACTTCTGATTCGTTCAAAGTGCTGTTCTGTGAAGCCTTGGCGTTCTTGAACTGCTGAGGTCATGGTAGCCATCTGGAGCTGTTTCAAAGGGATTGCTACCACTGGTTCTGGCTGAACTGAAGCAGAAATTACTCTCTCCTGCACTTCATGAGATTCCAACACAGCAGCTTGATGAGTCACCTGCTCCCTGTGCACAGTTGCAATGGAAACATCCAAGTCATGCAGACTGTCAACCTGCTCGCTCTCTACCATTTGCCTATCTTCTGTGCCAATGGTATAAATTACCTGATGGTCTCCCTGCAAACTAGCACCTGCCTGTCCAGGTAGGCTAACACTGTACAAACGTGATTCAGTGGCTTCCTCTTTCATGGACACCTTATAACTTTTTTGCTCTTGAACTAATTGCTGTTTATGAAAGACAGAGACTTTTTTGTGGAATACTATCAACTCGGCACTGCAGCTTGCCTCCCCAAAAGGATTTACAGCCTTGCATGTGTAGAGTCCACTGTCTTTCTGTTTGATGTTAGTCATGATAAGAAAGCCAGAGCCATCTGGGTTACTCACAACAGAACAGATCTGGCTTGATTTAATTAGAACATTACCCTTAAACCACTGAACATCAGGGAGTGGAGTACCAGTAACTCTATACTGAAATTTCACCTCACTGCCCTCTGCACACTGCACAGGTTGAATTTGAGTGGTAAAGCATGGTGGTTGCCCTGGTATTTTAAACATTTGTTCCACCCACTTTTCTGCTGCTGATAATTGACTCACTTGTACTTTTAATATTGTCTTGCAGGTGGTTTGGCCAAATCTATTACTAGCGGTACAAGAGTACTCTCCCTCGTACTCTTTCTTTACTTGTGTTATTATTAAAGTGTAGTCATCTCTCTCCTCTACAAACTTATAAACAGACGAAGAAGTGATAATTTTTCCATTGTAGAACCACTGAACTTTCGGCTTTGGAAAACCAGATACTGTGACAGTAAACCTAACTGACTCTCCAACGGTAACTTCCGCAGGTGTAAGCTTGGACTCAAAAACAGGTTTCTCCTTTTTCCTTTCCAACACACTAGAAAAACGTTTTTGCTCTGGCTCGAGTTCAAGTGTTTTCGACTTCTCGGGTAAATGAAGTGATGTGCTGTAGGTTTCTTCCTCTTCTTCGGTCTTCACAGTCAAACTAGAAAATTCTGTATGAAAATAATGGAATTAAAGATTCAACAAAATATTCTCATCAATTACAAGTTTAGATAAAGATGGAGGTCATTCAGTATTAGTAAAGAAGCGGACATAATAATGCCCTCAAGAGATTAAAAAAACAACAACAACAGAATATCAGTAAACAGTTTTATCATAATTTTATTTACTTTTCATGTACATAGAATTACAATAAATGGGTAGAACATAGTCATTTAGATTTCTATATCCCCATCGATACAGGTTTGACTACCTCACTACCTATATTTGTATCCCAAAATAATGACAATTGTAGATACATAAAGGCATAGAAATGAGAACACATAAGCAAATTATTACTCATAAGTCATGACTGTTTTTTTTAATCTAACCTACTTTTATTTTAACATTTTTATTTACAACCTATTAAATCTTTAACTCACTTACTACTACTTTTAGAAAAACATGATCGAACTATACAACAAAAAATGTTAAATTATAACCCAACACTATGCAGTCTTATTTATACTATAAATTATGAACTTGGGCAAGGAAAATATAGTTTCTCCAAACATTATTAAAACTAAGTATTTAAACAAATTTTCTTTACTTTTTTTCTGATCACACTCTTAACATTAAGGAAGAGAGAAAATCACAAAAGGGGAAATAATATTCATGCAATTTGAATTAAAACAAAAAACTGTCAACATTTTAAATCTATTAGAATGGACATGCGTTAACAAGAAATTCAATGAGATCTTTCAAAACGGTGCTTGAAAATCTCACCCAAACTGTTGGCAGACATAAGCAAAGGTACAATATTTCATTATAACGTGTCATTTCACCACCAAAAACAAAGTCCAAGACCATCCAAAAGGGAAAAAACTATCTGTCCCCCAAATTGGAAAACCAATGAAAGTTACTGAAGAGAAATTGATGATAATTTCAGGTCTTTTCAATAAATTGTGGATCGATCATTAAAATATATACCACAGAATAATACTTTTGAATGCAGATTGAGTAAACGTTTCTATACATAATTTCACAATATTTTACAATTGTAATACATAAAAAAAAATGTGTATGTATTGTGTTCAAAGTAAACAAAACGACAAACCTGCCTGACATTGTTTCATAAACTGCACTTTTAAACTGCGGTCAAATTAAAACACTTTTAACAACGAATTTGTTTCAGTGTAACCAGCTTTGTTTTGGATAATACATTTGAATTCACCAGCATCACTGTGAGTTACATTCGTAATAAGCAAATTGAAATGCCCTGATGCTTTCTCCTGGATAATATATCTAGCATTTTTTACCGGAGCACCATCTTTGAACCACTCTGCTGTAGGATTAGGTTTTCCGCTTACTAAGCACTGAAAAATCACAGGCGTACCTACAGCTGCAGTGACATTTTGTAGTGGGATTATACATTTTGGGGGAATTTCAGTGACCTGAAACTCAAAACTACAAGAGTTTGTTGATTTGCCTTTGAATTCTATTTTGTCATCTTTTGAAGGTTCCGCAAAGACATCAAAATTAATACTAACATATTTCTCTCCTTGCTCACTTGTCTCATTATCAGTAATAGCAACCAGTCTGACCGCTTTCTGAGACTCATCAAATTCCTGCTGGAACTCAAATTCAAGCTCTATCTCTGATGTCTGTTCTCCATCAAATGATGAATTTCCAACAACCAAGTCAAACTTCTGAGGATGAACTTTTGCACTGCCAAGAGAAACTGCAGTTAGTTCTCTTCCCCTTGTCTTTCCTGAGAATGACTGTGGATTCATAACCGTAAGCGATGCCCTGCAAAGTGTTTCACCAACAACATTAATAGCTCTGCATGTATATATGCCACTGTCACGTGTGTTGGCCTTGAGAATCTTCAAAAAATGATTATCACTATCTGAGCTACAGATGTATTTTTTCTTATCCATAGGAATCTTCACATTGCCTTTGTACCATGACACTATGGGCGAGGGAATACCCATTAAAGAACATTCAAACATTACATTTGTGTTTTCAGAAGTCTCAATGTCATAAATGGGGTTTATAAAGCGTGGCGGCATTTCTGTAACTTCAAAAGCTATTTTTAAATCATCACTTTCTTGAGTTATGAAATCCACAGTGCCTTCCTCAAACATGCTTGGAAGAACATCAAGGGATATGATCATACTTTTGTTATCAGCTGTATACTCTGGAATGGTAACAATCTTTACCTGTTTTTCAAACTCTTTCACCTCATTCTCATCTAACTCAACCTCCAACAAGATTTCTTGAGGAGAGGGAGACCTTGACAGATCCTCATCCTCCTCAACATCAAACTCAATGACATGCTGATGGGTAACAATAGGAGGGGGTAGCATTTGCCTTGCTTCCTGAGATATAACAAGAACCAAAGCAACACTTTTTGCCTCCCCAACATAATTAAGAGCCTCACAGATATATTCCCCTTGGTCAGCTTTTGTGATATTCCTAATTTCTAGGGCAATGTTATCACCATCTCTTTCAATAATAGTCCTCTCATCTGCTTCAAGCTCAGTTTTGTTTCTAAACCATTTCACTTCTGGAGTGGGTAGTCCAAATACTTCAGCACAGAACTGTAAGGAATCGCCCTCAAAAACTCTTCTTTTAGTAAGTGGCTTAAGGAAAGCTGGAGGAATTCCCTGAACCTTTTCCTGAAGTGTCCCCAAGCCTAGTGAACCACGTCCCTCTGGAAGAATCATACACTCATCGATAGTAAACACAGGGGGAGTTGTTTCAATACCCTCATCATCTGGAGAAGTGAGAAACTTAGCCGGGGAATAAAAACCTTCACTAGAGCTAGTTGAGAGTCTGTTATGTTCCACAGGGGAAAACGGATACTCAGGAGGTGTCATGACACCCCCTGGAGTCTCAGAGGGGGTATGGAAAGATTCTGGTGACTTTTGAATTTGAGAAATTTCAGTGGATGAAGCTGGTGTGTAGAACCGTTCTATTTCTGCCATCTCCTCACTGAATGTGCTACCAACTTCAATAGACATTTCTGACTCTGGCGACAATGGCCTTCCCCAATCAGTTGGTTGGTTATAGTAGTCATAAACAGCACTAAAAGTTACTTCCTCTTCCTCAAGTTTGGCAACACCAACAGCCCCTAGCCTAGCAGATTTTTTCTGTTGAGGTTGCAGTCTCTGTGGAGAGTCCTCTGACAAAGGGTAATCTGCCGAGTCAGATTGCAATACTCTGTCAACCTCAATTTTGGGTTTTACAATAAGAAGTTTTGTTGAATCTGAGGCTTCCATTCTATCAGGTTTTATATCAACTGGACTGACGTTATCTTGTGGCATGTCCTCAACTTCTGCTCTTCGGACACTAACAGTGCCCATTTTTACGGGTTCAGTTATTTCAGCGGACTGTACCTGGGTTTCTAACATGACTGGTTTTTGAGCATAGTTATCAATTTCACTTTGCCTAACGCATGCCTCCTCCACTATAATTCTTTGCTCAACTGTGCTCCCCAAAACTGTTTTAGGGCTAACAGAACTGTCTTCTGGGTTAATTTTTTCAGGTAATCTTGCCTGGGGTCTGAATAAAGTAGGTGATTGCTGAGTCTCGGTAACATTTGCCAAGGATACAAAATGCTGCAAGTCAAATAACGTTGAGTCTATAGAAGCCATTCTCACATCTGACTTTTCTTCTATAGTGCTTTCTGTGTTGTCAAGAACAAGAACATCTGTTGGAGCGCTTAAGGCGAAGCTCTTAGCTGCAGTCAAAGTAGGATATTTTATCCTGTCCTCACTGGAGAGAATTGAAGTTATTTGTTCTTTTTCATATTGCCCAAGTTCAAGAGCAAACTCTGGAATATCTTCAACAGGAAAAGAGGCTTCATCCTTTGATTGTGCTATTGGCTCATCTACAAAAGATGTTGGTGTCTCAAATGCTTGTTTTAATTTTGATACTTTAACCTCTGCCCCAGACGACTGCAACCCACAGCCTGTTATGACAGGCATATCTGAAGCTGGTTTCTTAATGCGCTTAAGTTTGGGAGCATCTGGCTGTGGGGAATAGGGTTCATCCATTTTGTTAATATCTTGAAATTCAGAAGGTTTGACTGAAGAGTCATAATCAAGAATGTCCTCACTTGTAAGAGTAATATCTTGGGATGGTGTGGAAGAACTTGATAAAGTCTTTGTTTGACCTTTGGTCATTTCTAAAGATAAGCCAAGAGATCTTGTTTGGTTATCCATTTCTGTTTTGGCAATGGATGAAAATCCAGAGTCCAGAGTTGCCGAATCAAAAGACACATCAGCAACACTTTCAACCTGCCCAAGTTTGTTATTTGCAATACATCTATAAATTCCAGCATCAAGACATGTGAAATTGTCAATGAAAAGTCTATAACTTTTGTCTTGTACCTGAAATCTATATTTACTGTTATTAAGATCAAGGCAAATGTCATCATGGAACCAGGTGGCTTCAGGTGTTGGATCACCAATTATGATGCACTCAAGAATAGCAGTCTGTCCCTCTGAAACACTAATGTTATCTAGTTCTCTGAAAACTTGGGGAGCCTCACGACCATCATCAAAGGCAAATGTGAACTTATGCTTCACTGTTTGAGAGGTGCCATCATCAACTGGAGATTCTGAGGTTTGCTCAACAGGCTTAAATGTGTCTTTAGCCTCATCAAACATCTCTAGCACTGGAGTTGGAGCAGTTATTCTGATCTCAACTGGTGAGGAGTGAATAGATGAAGATGAAGTTTGAGGCATGTGAATGACTGCTTGAGGTACCTGCAATGTGTATTTGTTGTCTAGCTCGGGTTTCATTAGGGCCTCAAGTTCTTCCTCTATCATTTCTTCTTCAGTGAACACTGACTCATCTGTTACTTTAACTTCTTGAGGAGGCAAGATACCTTCTTCAGTTACTTTAAATATGCAGCATGTACTTGCTTTTCCATGTTTGTTAGCAATATTACAAGTAACCACACCTTGATGGTCAACTGTTGGATAATAAATGGTCAGTGTTGATGAATTTGCTTTGGTACGAACATCAAAATCAGGGTCTCTCATTATAAGATGTCCATCTTTAAGCCATGAAACAGATGGCTGGGGATCTCCCTGGAATTGGCAACTTAATTCAGTCATTTGACCTCTCTTTACCTCAATCTCTGGCTTTAATGTCATCACAAAGACAGGTGCTCCTGGTTTTACTACACTTATTGGCTTTTTCCCTGCAATGGGAGAAACACTGGGGATTTCTCGTTTTGAGAGAGTTTTCTGTTGGCCTATTACGTCAGGTTCATGTCTAGACATTGTCGCAACGTTTGCATCACCATGATGCTGCTGAACTACATCCTCATAACCCAAATATTGTCTTTCAATTCCTACAGCCACATCTGTACCTTTTCCTGTTGGCAAAGCTGTGGACATCAACATTGTCTCAGGTAATACAACAGAAGACTGCACATGCTCTGCAATGGCCCAATTAGATTCTAATTCAACACTTTCTTCTTGCTCAATTGGAACATCTTGTTGCCATTTTTTAATCCGCTTTGCTAGAGCCTCCTCCTCACTGACAAAATAGTCACTTTCAGTCCTTAACTTCTCACTATCAGCCTCAGAAATCATTTGCTTTTGTGTTTTAGACCCATCAGTAACATAGGAGAGAGAAGAAACATCACTAAAGAACCTCTCTTTTGCTGTTCTCTGAGGCGACACCTTATTCGTATTTTCCAATTCAACATCTTCACATGTGGTTTTACTGAGAGTGTTATCTAAAGCACTCTCAGTAACACCACCCCAGTCAGGATCAAGTTCAACAGCCTGTTCTTGCTCAGTCAAAACATCTTGTTGCCATTTCATTATACGTTGAGTCAGTGCCTCTTTTTCACTCACATGTTCGCTCTCACTTTTTAACTCATTTATTCTTTCTCGCAATAAGTGCAACTCACTCTCACCTGAGCATTCATGCAAACGTTTTTCTTTAAAGGAAGATCTTGAAGTCTTTGTAATTGTGGATTCCCTTTGAGCTAATAAAGCTGATTTTGCTTCTTCTTTCTGAAATTTGTCAAAAGATTGATGAGAATATGAGGCTTTTTTCTCTGACTTTCGGGGATAAACAGACTCTGCCTGATCAACCTCCACATCTTGTTGCCATTTTTGTGTACGCTGAGCTAAGAACTGATCTTTCCTTTCTATGTGATCACCCTCCAAGTTTTTCTCAGTGATGTTCTCCATTGGCATAGCTCTATTTTCTAATTTCTGTACAGGAGCCTTTTTACTTTCCTGTTCCAGACTACCATCAGCAAGATTTTTTTCTTCCTTTAACATCCCTGCTTTTGTCCTTAAATACTCTTTGTCTGCTTGCTTCTCATGTGAAGGGATGATCTCCTTTGGACTGTTTACTGGATTGGAAGCTTCTCCTGTCTCTAACCACTGCAACCCAAATGGTTCCTTTGCCTTGACTTGTGGCTCTTCATTCCACTGCACATCCTGTTGCCATTTTCGAATGCGCTGAGCTAGGAACTGATCTTCACTTTCTAAGCACTCACTCTCAAGGTTTTTCTCAAGGATGTTCTCCACTGACATGGCTCTTTGTTCTAGTTTCTGCACAGGAACTGTTTTAACTACATCATCAAAAAATATTTCTTTCATTGGCTTCACTGCCTTGGCTCTTAATGAATCTTTTTCTTGTGACTCTTCAAGTGATGCGCTTATCTCCTTTGTATTGCTTGCTTGTTTAGAAGCTTCTCCTGCCTCTAACCACTGCAACACAAATGGTTCTTTTGCCTTGGCCTGTGCCTCCTCATCCCACTGACTCAGGCTTGCATCATCTTTGTGATCTAAAATATCATATTCTATATCCCTTTCTGACTCCTCTTTAGATGCGATCTCTTGATCCATCCGTGCATCAGATACTTCAACTTGAATGTCTTTTCTAAAAGTGTTCTCTGGAGGAAGTTCACCCTTCATAATTCGCAGTGCCCTAGATCTTGACTGAGGTTCAAAGGAGTGTCTGACTCTTCGTTCTGTTGATTGGGAGCCGAGTCCAGTAATTCTCTCTAGTCTGCTCTGATATTCTGCTGAATATCTACCACTTTCAGCTTGCTCACCAGGGCGAACAACATGTTGAATTTCGGGCAAAGTAGATGGCTTTACTCTGAGTCTCTCAACATAATCTGTGTAACCAGGCTCACTTGCAACCGATTCCACCTCAAACTCGGAAGAGGACATTGTTGATATTGAAAGTCTCTTTTTCTTTTTGACAGCCTTTTGTAGGAGACTAAGTTTTGCTTTAACCTCTCCATGAAGGCTCTCGGTGTCGCTAAATCTGTCACTGTACCTGTCACTACATCGGTCACTGAATTTATCACTAAACCGGTCACTGTATCGGTCACGACCTGTGAATCTGTCACAGTATATATCACTGTATCGGTCACTGAACCTCTCGTGTCTCTCGTACATCGGAGTTGGAGAGCGTGCACATTCGGATGCCGTCTCAAACTTGCTGTCTTTGTCTGGTGTTCTTGATGGGGATGAAGTTCTAAAATACATGGTGCGGAACAGAGTGCTTTTTGATCTATGACGTCCCTTTGTTTGCCCTTTGCTTTGTTTATCAAAAGGAGAGCCAACACATCTTAGATCTACTCTAAATTTTCTTTCTTTTGTTGAATCAGCTAATGAATCAGAGCTTGAGTGGGCTTTGTTTGAGGATCTAGAATGGCAGAAATAAGTTACATCTTGCTCTTCCCTCAGTGATACAAGAAGTGATGCTGTGGTTTCAGCAGAGCCTTCAGAGTTAATTGCCATGACTTTGTAACTGCCTGAATCTTTTTCCTTAATCTCTTTAATCGTTAAACTGGTCGCATGCATATGCATTTTACTCACTGTATTTATTGTACGATGGTGCTCCTTCTGTATCTGTCTATTATTATGAAACCACAATATCGTTGGAAGCGGCATTGCAACTAGCTTGCACCTAAAAGATGCAGTGTCACCCTCCACAACAGATTGAAATTTCAGCTTTTTGGTGAAGGAGGGTTTAAAGTTTTCAGATGGGGCTACAAGACCTTGATCTAAACTTTCTTCTGGGTCTGAAAATGCTTCATGCTGTAGTCCTCCTTTTTCCATGTGTTCAGCTCCATCATTATAAAACAGCTCTGTAAAAAAGGGAGACAAATTTCAACAAAATGCCCAGTTTGCTAAAGAAAATTATATATATATTTCAAATAGAATATTAATAGATATATTAAAGCATGCATCAAGTCACAAAGCCATAAAAAACAAATTCACTCACCATATTTGTTCGAATAAACGCAAGACTTGAGTCTTTATTAAAGATTCTGACACGAAAATCGCTTGATGTTTTGTTCCTTCTTCTGTGGACAGTTCTTCAAAGCATAAATTTATTTTCAAAGCATTAACACGTATCCAAATAATACTGATCTGGTTCGGAAAAGAGCCTCTTCTATATTTAACTTGGTGGATATATATCCTAAAATATTCCTTACCTGACTTGCAGAATGATGAATAAACGCCCTTTCTAATCCTTAGAATGACGAAAATCTTTCGTAAATATAGAGAAACATCACTCTATTGATAAAAAAGAGTGTGGTCATTAAAACAGCTCTAGACTTCTTTGAGAAGGCGTTTATTCGAACTAATATAGTTTACAGGTATAACCATGTTATTTTAAAAAGCAAACAACATTAATCACATCCCGCTATCTGCAAGCCAGTCTAAGAAATATTTGCAGGAAGGTGTTCCAGATGCAAGAAACGTAAGAAGCAAATAAAAGATGTGGCTATTTCCATATCTTTTGAAATGTAATTTCCTGTGGTCTGGAACTTTTAAAGGACAAACATCCTGCACCTTTTATTTCTAGAAACAACCAAGAAGTACCATATCCTTCATGCTTTTCAAGGGGAAGACAGATGCAAAACTTTGCAAAAGTGCTTCACAGCAAGCATTTTACCAATCAAATTGCTTGCTATCCAGAAACACTTGATTTCAACCATACACATATCTAACAGTGACATATGAAAGTTGTTCTCATAAAAGAGGATTTGTTCGCATGCAATACAATATGCTCGGAAATGTTAAATTCAATAGTTTTACAGAGAGACATCATCATTATTAACAAAATAAATACTGTAAAATGATCCTACCTTTGACCTCTTCCTCAATTTTTGCTTCAATCTCTTCACGTACTTTTGTAACTGTAAAATAGAGTCACATGAATTGATGAATAACAAACAATTAGCCAAATATGTCACCCATAACATGAAGGAAAGATCACCATAGCAATAATTTAAAAAGGACAAAAAAAATAGGTTTATCTACATGAGAAAATGTTAAAAAGAGGTGAAACATGGGAGTTTGCAAAAGCATGCATTGCCAGCACAACATCAAGAGAGCACTGTATGATACAACTTCTTCAGAAGCATTGCTGAGGTTTCATAAAGTGAAATTAGTGAACGTGATCAGGAAATTCATTGAGAGGTTCTTGAGGTTGGTTGAAAGAAAATGATGTGAATTAAATGTGATATGTTAACCAAAAACCATAAACTACTTTGATCTCAATTACCTTCTTCAGTTACAGCAAGGCTGGCTGAGCAAGCTGCCTCTCCTGCGATACTGACTGCTTTGCAAGTGTACTGTCCAGCATGCTCAGAGAAAGTATCAACTATGATTAGCGTAGCAGTGTGTGTCATCTCATCAAAATGAAAGACAACATTTTTGGTAGGCTTTATAGGCTGTTGGTTATGGAACCAACTTATCTCTGGTTTTGGCATGCCAGACACACGAGCATGAAATCTAGCCACTTCTCCATGAGCCACCACACAGCTCACAATGGGTTGAATAAAAGTGGGCTTTTGGCCAATAGGATCCTTCTGAACACTCTTAATGCTTGTGAAGAGGCTGGAAGTGGCTTCTGACTGAGACTGAGACTTGGATGTACAGTCCATAATATGTGTTTGTCCTGAAAGGAAGTATTGATTTATCCTCAACTAATCACTACATTGCACACATTGAAATTTGTTTCCCTGTACCAATTGTGTTTTGTTCGAATTTAAGCATGACGAATCTCATTTTGTAGTTAATGCATTAATGAGTTCAGTTCCTTTTTAAGGAAATTAAAAAAGGCCAACAGTGTATTTTACTCATCTCACTCACAAAAAAAGCAACAGACTTCTCAAATTTCATCAAAATGTAGGAGAAATGTAAATACTGAAATGCAAATCTGCAACAAATCAGTAACTATTTGTAAAATATCTTGTGTAATATCATGTGTAATATCATGTGTAAAAATGCAGTTCTTTGCAAGTTTTCTAATGAATGTTTTTATGAATGACAGAAAGCAAATGACTTTTACTCATACATGGGTGCTCAGCGACATGTACTTGTGTAGTTCGCTCTGAAAGTTTGATTAGTTTTTAGAAATACTGTGTTAGCTTTGACAACCCTTATTAATAGTCAAACCACCACCAATCGCATTATTGACTAATAATAATAACATATTATCGTTGAAGGAAGCTATTATCAGCTTTTTATTAGTTTGCAATTTTTGTTTGGTAAGAAAATGTAGCTTACCGTCCACTTTCAGCACAGCAGAACATGAGACCATTCCTGCAGAGTTACGGGCAACACATGTGTACTCGCCCTCATCCTCAGGATACACTCTGGTGATCTCCAACTGACAGTTTTCATCAAACTGAGACACTCTGAATATATCCGACTGCTTGATCTCCTTGTCTTTGCAATACCAAGTAATTGTCAGATCTAAACAGGAGTAAATCAGGGGAATATGTATAACGTCAAACAGCAATTAAGGTACAAAGGACAATTTACTTGATCATTCTGGATGTGCCAATATATGTGCTCTGCGCCAAGACGTAGTGAGGCACCTTCAATTTAAAGGATCATAGAAGAGCTACGCTTTATAAATGACTACAGTATTGTGCCATTTCATTTGCAGAACCTAAATAAACTGTAAATATTTCTATGGTGCATAAAGTGTCTGCCTCTGTAGAGCCTCATTGATGAGACTTGTGCTGCATTCACGTGCTATGGAAAATAGGATATTTTCCACTTGTGAACTGGTATTTACCAGTGTGTTGCGTTCAAGTGCTTTTGTTGCCGTAATGTGGTAAAAAGACGGAGATCCAGACCTGTTATTTAGCTAAAACTATTTTAGACTGCTTAAGTCATCTGCAACAGCAAGAAAATGATTTATCAAAACTCAAAAGGTAAATAATATACTGTAGCCTATATTTTCTAGATCCTGACAGTGTTGTGCAAGTTACTTCCAAACTGTAATACATTAGGTATTACTTGTTACTGTTATTTAAAAGTAATTCATTACCTTACAATATTACTGTCCCAGAATTGTAATGCGTTACATTACTCATGTATTACTTTTGAGTTACTTTCACTAAAATAACTAAGTAGAACTTAACTTTTGGGCTGTAACGATATGCAATATGAAACCGAAATCGCGATTCGCCACACTCAGATCCACGAACCTACAGAATCGCGACACACCTCTTCCAACTCCAGCGTTATTCTCCTTACCGTCCAGATCCAATGCTGCCATCTTTAAATTAGGCTATTAGTATTATTTGAAGTTAACATTATAAAATACGTAGACCTACACCACAAAACTAGTTGAGGATAAATTATTTAAAATTGGGGAAGTCCAGCATTATGGACATGATGACATTTGCAGTCAAAACTTGAAATAAAAATTCTCCGAAAATACATGTATTGAAACGTATATAGGCTACTTCCTTAAAGGACTCCAGACATTAGACATATCAGTCTATGTTTTATTTTTAATATTAGGGAAAAGACACACATTCATGCGTGACAAAAAAATAGGAGGCAAAATATATTTTTGTAATTCTGTTAATTACACTGCGCAAATCGGATGAGGAAGGGTTGGCTCTCCAGTCTCCATAGAACTTAAAATATTCATTTTATTTTAGTTTTCGTGTTCGCATTTATGAGGAAAAAACAATGTTACAGACGCGACCGCTCTGAACTGGCACTAAAAGACTGCTTTAAAACTTTCACATAGTCTGTTGCCTTTAAGAAGTAAAAGCAGACAATACACTGTAATACAACTGTAATACAAGCCTCACTGAACATGTAACGAGTAAAATATTACTGAAAATTGATTAGTAATGCCTTACACTACTGCGTTACAGCAAAAAGTAATATGTTACTGTAATGTATTACTTTTGTAATGCGTTACTCCCAACACTGGATCCTGAATAGTATATTTTACCATTCACGACTCTCGCGGTGCTCTCCGCCATTTTGAAAAGATCAAAGGTTATCTCATCTCGGCAACTCGTCCATCAAAATATTCTAAGAGTTGCCCAGTGGAAAATACCACATGAGGGGGTGTTCATGTGCATTTTCCACGTCGGCTTTTGGTATTTACCATAATTACCATAGCACATGAACGCAGCATTAGTAAGCGAGATAAAAAAAAATAATAATAATAATGCAAATGCCAATAGGCAGCTCACTAGGTTTTGGAACAGGCCTATAGTTACTGATCTTACCTTCCCCTGAGACACGGCACTGGAATCTAGCAGATTGTCCTTCATTGGCAGAAGTGTTATGTATTGGTGTTATGACAACAGGTGGTGACAGTGGGGCTCCAGTGTCGGGGGATACAACTTCTGGAACTGAGGATTAAAAGACATAGCAAATATAAATAAATTGTGTAACTTTAATCCATTTTATATAATACACCTTTGTTTTTTCATTTGTCTTTCTTTACCTTCCACATTAAGTGACGCAGAACTTGTGACTACTCCATAGTCATTCTTAGCTTCACAGTTGTACTGAGCTGCATCCTCTGGGAAGACTTCAATGAGCAGCAATGTGTGCTCATTTCCTTCCCTCAGGAACTTACACTTGAACCCAGAAGACAGGGCCTGAGTGTTCTTATACCAGGACACCTGAGGCTGAGGAATTCCTGTCACCTCCACAGAGAAGCGTGCAGGTTTGCCAGCCTCAACAGACAGGGGCTGCAAGTGCCTGATGATCTGAGGAGGCTCAGGGACTAAACAATGCAAGAATGTATAAGAATTAATAATAGATACACTGAGACAAACAAGAACAAACTGAAAACTTGAGATCAAACTCACTGTTGACATGTAGGGTTACAACACTCCTGTTCTTTCCAGCAATGAATGTGTATTCTCCGGCATCGCTTCTGTAGGTTTCTGTGATTGTCAGGCGATGAATTTTTCTGATAATGACATAGTTGAAGCGCTCATCTACAGAAAACTGGATCTCGACTCCATTTCTCAGCCAGCGTCCCTCAATGTCGTCCTCATTGACTTCAAATTCAAATGTACTTCGTTGTTTCTCAAGCACCTTCAATTAAAAAGAAATTGAACTCATTATTGATATACTGAAGAGAATTGAAACATTATTTATGACAGCTTGGTACTTACAGTGATTTCTTTCTCGGCAGGTTCACTTATACGCACATCCTTGCCCTCAACTATGAGGTTGGCCTTCGATACACTCGATCCAGCAACCACAGTGTACTCTCCGGCATCAGACATGCGCACAGTTTGGATCATAAGACGATGCATGTGTTTTTCTGTGGAAACTTTGAACCTAAATGGTGAAGATGATATCTCCATTAGGACATGAACTTCATAAAGACAGATTATGAATGTCAAAAAGCTAAATGTGGAAAACCATTATATTGAGTACCTTTCAGATATTTCAAGTTCCTGACCATCTTTCATCCATGTTACATGGACATTGGGCTCAGAGAGTTCGCATTCAAAAATGGCCTTCTTCTTCTCAGTAACTTTAATGTCCTTGATGTGCTTGGTGAACTCGATGACACGAGCTTAAGTCGATCATGAAAAAACCATTTGATCAGAATTAGCCAAAAACAAATGATAAGAAAATCTGAATAATGAAGTAAATATTACCTTCAACAAAAAGGTTTGCGGCTGTTTCAGCAGATCCGGCCACAAATTTGTACTCTCCAACATCCCCAAAGTGAACATTTCGGATAGTGAGGGAGTGAGTGGACTGCTTGGTGCGGGTTTGGCATCTATCACTGGATCGGATTTCAACTCCATTCTTCAGCCATTTGTAGGTGATGCCTTCATAGTTGACAGTCACCTCAAATGTGATGGTGTCCTTTTCTTGTGCATTCAGGTCTTTGAGCATAGATGTGATGAGGACAGCTGAAGGAGAGGGAATAAACATTTGACTCAATTCTAATTCTTGTTGCCATTGTAAGTACATGTCTGTACTACAAAAATACAAAAATATCACAAATAACTTACTGCTAACTGTCAGGGTAGCAGAGACTTTGTCATTTCCACACACAAATGTGTATTCGGCAGAATCATCTCTGCTTGTATTCATGATCTTTAACTGATGCAGTTTGCCCTGCACCACAATCCGGAACTTCTCACTCATCTCAATCTCAACTCCATTTTTCAACCAGGTGGATGGAACATTGAAATGTGAAACTTCACACTCGAACGTGGCCACATGGGTCTCTGGAACTTCAATGTTCTTCAGGGGCTTTGTGACTCTCAAAGCTGAAACAGTCATTGTATGGAGTTAGTGGTGTGACACTAGACAAGTTTAGGTTGGTGACTTAAAATCTATAAATCTTCAAATGTTATACTTACATTCAACATGTAAATATGCGCTGCATTGTAAATGTCCAACTACAGCTGTGTACTCTCCATCACTGCTTTCTTCAACATTTTGAATGACTAACTTATGTGCTTTCCTTTCAGACATTATCTGAATATTGGCACTAGGTTTCAGTTCTTGGTTTTTGAACATCCATTTAACAGGTATGTCATCGTGGGATAAACTCAGCTCAAACGAGGCAGTTCCATTTACCAGGGAAGTCACATCTTTTGGCTTTTTCACAATCTTAACAGCTGCAAGAGAATTAAATAACATTATGTATATATATATATATATATATTAGTGCAAATTATTTGATTAAGCCAAATGTTGAACTTACTTTCGACATTCAGTCTGGCGTTAGCAGAGAGTTTTCCAAGTTTGAATCCATAGACTGATTCATCTTGGGAGTTGCAATTCTTGACCTTTAAGGTGTGAACCAATCCATCTACTGTTATCTCATATTTGTCACTGGGGACAATTTCTATTCCATTCTTGATCCACTGGGATCCTTTCACATCTAAATGGGTGAGTTCAAGACTAAAGATTGCCTCTTGGGTTTCGGTGACTGTTTGATTTTTCAGTGTCTTCTTGACCTTCACAGCTGTGAAAGACATTTGTTTTCAGTTACACATACAGGAAAATATGATCCGTATGAAAAACAAATTCTGCCAAAACAGTAGTAAAAGTAATAGTACCTTCAACCCTAAGGTTGGCAGATGTCTTGGAGTTTGCTACTTGGTATGTGTACTCTCCAATATCTTGTGGTCTTGTGGTAACAAAGATAAGTCGACGGACCGCACCTACATCCTCACTCCTGACAATGTCACTAAAGTCAACAGAGTGGCCATCCTGAAGCCACTTGCCTTCAGAGGTAGGGTTAGCAACCTCACACTCCAGAACAGCAGTTTGGGATTCTGCTACAGTCACATCACGGAGTGGTCTGTTTATAGCACCACCTTGTGTGAAACAAACGTAACCATGAGGCAATATCTGTGCATCAACTTAACACATATTTAACAAATGGTGAAAATCATACCTGACACAGTCAGTTTTGCACTGGATGACTTTTCGCCAGCTGCAAATGCATACTGGCCCTCTTCATCCTTCATGGCATTGATGATGGTCAGGGTGTAGAGTTTCCCTTTGGACTCAATTTTGTATTTGGGTCCAGCCTTAAGAGGCTGATTTTTGAAGGTCCAGTAAGCATCTATCCCGGTGTGGGACAATTCTACTTCAAAAGTGACATTCTGAGTTTCAGTGCACACACAGTCCTCCATGTGCTTGATGATGCTGACCTCTGTGTGAGACATAAATGTGTTTGTTAATAATAACAAACCAATTAAATGAACTTTTAAGCAAACCCAGAGAAAGATTGTATATAAGTTCCTTTAAAGAAACACTCACTCTCGATTGTCAGTTTACAAGTTGTTTCCACTCTGCCAACGACCATCTTATACTGTCCTTCATCAGAAGCAAAGGACCTGTTACAGACTAGTCTCTGTTTGGTTCCTTTGGCAACCATCTGGATTCTCTCACTAGCTACAATGAGCTTGTCATTTTGGTACCATTTCACTGCAGCAACATCAGAGGCAGAGATTTTAGCTTCTAGCACTGCCTTCGTACCCTCAATAGAATGGACATCCTTTAGAGGAGCTGTGATTTCAATTGCTGGGAAGAGGGTGAAAAAGAAAGGTTACATTTCTGCATTCTCCTTTTATCTGGAAAAATGTATCTGGAAAAAGTGGGGGGAAAACTTACTTTGGACAGTCAATTTTCCAGTTGTAGAAATGTCTTGAATAGGAACAACAAATGTGTAGATTCCTGCATCATCCCTGTTGACATTTTCGACTAGAAGTTTGTGGACAAGTTTGTCGATGACAATGTGAATTCTGTCAGTGGCAGAGATGGGCAGGCCATTTTTCAACCATGATCCCTCCACATTTTCCTGAGAGAATCGCACCTCCAACTGGGCAATGTCACCCTCACAGATCGTCAAGTCAGAGAGGCCTTGCATCAGAGTTACAGGGCGCACTGATACAAGACAAAAACACCATTATTTACATACCATGTATATATTTTTTTTTATATAAACTATATTTAAATTCTACTTACCTTTCATTTTCAGTGTGGCACTTGTCGTCAGATTACCCACTTTAAAAGTATATTTGCCTTGGTCTTCCTTCCTGACATCTTTTACAGACAAGGTGTGTCGGCCACGACGAGAGGATACAACATATTTTAGGCTTGCCTTAATTTCTTTGCTCTCAAAGTACCAGGTGCCTTCTGCATCCTCACGCGACAGTTCACACTCAAACTCTCCAGAGTATGTCTCAGGCACTTCAACACTCTCTAATTTTTTTAGCATTTCCAGTGGTGCACCTGTATAACAGATCAGATGGCACGTTTGACCAAAAATTCAGAGATGACTGAAAATGTGAAATTCAATAACACAAATGAGTGTAAGCTAACCTTCAACATAGAGTCTGGCAGTGGTACTTATGTGGTCATCATCAGCTACAGCGCAAGTGTACTCGGCATCATCTTGTAACATCTACTTTTAAGAAAGCTTGCTAAGAAAGATTGCTACATAATAAAGTGAGGGACCAGAGACTTCACATTTCAATGAGCCATGTGTATTATACCATAAATCAGCATTCAGGCAGTAACCATACAAAATACATGAGGCATTCATTTACAAGACAATAGGGCTAATTCAGCTCTTCCCAATAATGCTTTTGGTAGCCAAGAGTTCAGTCCTTAGAGTCCCACAAGTAACAAGAAACTGTACTTAAGCGCAGAGTGGAAGAGTTCACAATGGTCTGAATCCAAGTGTCCAAGCAGCGGTTGATATTAGGACAAACTGTAGTTCAAGGCACAAACAGCAGATGCCAAAGGTGTGATAGACAATTAATTCCATATTGGTCAAGGGTTTAGTTGTAGATGAGTTGCTGCCTCATGCCTGCACGATGAACCCTGTTTGAGCATAAGAACCACAGGTTCCTCAAATCAGGGAAAAACATGACCACACTAGTAGGGAAGCTTCTCCATGTGCTTAACACATCCTTCCTTCCTTACTCTACTTCTTCTACCATTTTATGCTACTAGGAACCTTCCTTACTAGAGTACTCCCTAGTGGTAGAACGGAGTATTACACAGTACAGAGAGCTAATAAGACAAATGTAACTGCAAGCTGTTACACACCCCTCTTCCTAAAGAAAAGTCTCAAATACTCCCATAGAATTTTTTTAACTTTTCAATATGGTAAGTATCACATTGGTTCGGATTGTCAAGCATTACTACCTTGTAATTGACATTATTCATTCTCTTCAAAATCTTTGCAGGTCCCTGCCATTTTGGAGCTAACTTGGCAGTAAAGTAATCAGCAGCTCGAGAAAGATGATGAGTCAGTACCCAAACCAGATCTCCTTCCTCAAAGGTTTCAGCCCTTCTTCGTTTATTGTAGTACTTGGCTTGCCTCTCCTGTGCTTGACTAGTTTTCTCCCTCACTTGGTCCAGAAGAATCTTCTGTCTCTCAATTGTGGTATAGGCTACATGATCGGGATTAGGCGCCTTGCGGACTAACCGTTCAAGAGGTCCTTTTAACTTACGTCCAAGTGCAATTTCCGCTGGAGTAAGAGCTGTACTCTCTTGCCACGCCGAATTTATAGCATATCGGAACTCTGGTAACCACTTATCCCAGTCACGATGGTTATCATGGACAAAAGATGCTATCATCGTTTTCAAGGTTCTGTTGACCCTCTCAGTTAAGTTGGTCTGAGGATGATAAGCTGTTGTGAGTTTCTGAACCACACCCCATCGTTTACAGGTATCACTTAGTAGCTGGCCAGTGAATTGAGGTCCTCGGTCTGAAACCAAGTATAGCGGCGTTCCCCATCTTGTGAACATCTCTTTTATCAGTATGTTGGTTATGAGGTGAGTTTTCGAAGACCGCAGAGCAAAGAGTTCTACCCACTTGCTGCAATAATCCACAAAGACTAATAGGAATTCATTGGATCGAGGGCTTCTCGGGAAAGGACCCATCAAATCCACTCCGAGCATATATCCCGGTTCTACTACTGGGGTTGACTGCAACAATCCAGATAGCTTAGTGATTCTTGGTTTGTAGGCTTGACACGTCTTACATACCTTACAGAAACTCCAAACATCTTTGCGAATTTCAGGCCAATAAACATTGTCAAGTAGCCTCCGTAGAGTTTTCATTCTCCCAAATGACCACTCAATGGATTTGCATGAGCAAATTGCAGGAATGCTTCCCTCAATGATGCAGGTATGACTAGCTGATTAGTGTACCCTAGTTGCCTGTCCGGTACCCTACGAAACAAGTAGTCATTTTCCACAATGTAAGCAACACGGCTTGGGTCAGTATTAGTTTGGTTAGCTGACTCCCATAAGGTCTGTAAAGAAGGATCAAGCTTTTGAGCTCTCCCAATCTCATCCCAGCTGACTGGTAAATTAGGGTCTGGTTTTGTGGGTTGACACAGGGCAATGTGGCCTACCACCTCTTGCACAGGTATGCCTCTGGATAGGGCATCAGGTACCACATTACAGGATCCCTTACGGTACTTAACAGTGAAGTTAAAACTTTGCAGCCTTAAAGCCCACCTAGTCAAACGGGAGGATGGTTTGGGTTGATTGAATACCCAAGTCAGGGCAGAATGGTCTGTGAGTACTTCAAAGTTTCTTCCCTCCAGGTACTGTCTCCACTTTTCTACAGCCCACACCACGGCTAAACACTCCTTCTCAGCTGTTGAATATGATTTCTCAGCTCCATGAACCAGTCTCGAAGCATAAGCGATGACATGCTCCAATCCATCAACCTCCTGTGTCAGAACAGCTCCTAATCCTATATCACTAGCATCCGTTTGTACTTTAAAATCTTTTGTGAAATCAGGTGGCATTAGAACTGGTGCTTGTTGAAGGGCACTTTTAAGATCATCAAAAGCTTTTTGACATTCAACTGTCCAATCCCACACTGCATCCTTCCCTTTTAACGCGTACAAAGGTGCTGCTCGCTCAGAAAAATGAGGAATGAAGCGGTGGTACCAACTTGCAAGGCCTACAAATCTCTGTACCTCCTTGACGTTCTTGGGTACCGGGAAATCACGGACCGCTTCAATTTTTGAGGATTCAGTACGGACTCCTTCTCCAGAAATAACATGTCCTAGGTAAGTGATGGTCTTTTGCAACATAGAACACTTCTTGAGATTGAGAGTTAATCCTGAAGCTTCCAGCTTTGCAAAGAGTTGCTTGAGATGTTGGAAGTGATCTTGAATGCTCCCGGAATAGATCACAATGTCATCAAGATAAACAAAACAGAACTTCCCCAAGTAATCTCTCAGAACGTTGTTCATTAGCCTTTGAAATGTTGCAGCGGCGTTTTTGAGACCAAAAGGAAGACGAACAAATTCAAATTGATTGTTTCTGGTGACAAAAGCAGTCTTTTTAATACTGTCTTCATCCATTCCTACTTGCCAGTAACCAGATTTAAGGTCCAATGTGCTGAATATGGTCGCTCCATACAAGGATTCTAGGATATCTTGAATCTGTGGCATTGGAAATCCATCAAGAGGAGTCTTTGCATTTAACCCCCGGTAGTCAACACAAAAGCGAGTGCTACCATCCTTCTTTGGCACTAAGACTACTGGTGCAGCCCAAGGAGAAACAGATGGCCTTATGATGCCTTTGTTCAACAGATTCTCTACCTCTTCATCTATGAACTTTTGTTTGGTAACGGAAACGGGGTAAGCTTTCTTACGCACAGGAATCTCGTCAGTCGTATGAATTCGATGGTGAATCAAAGTAGTCTGTCCCAAATTATCTGTGCATACTGTCGGCCAATCAAGCATTAGACCTTCTAACTGCCGCTTCTGCGCTTTAGAAGCATCAGCTCGACTCACTACTTCTTTTACAGCCGTTAGTGTAGTGGAAGTCGTTGGCACTAAAGGTAGTGCAAGGTGTAGACTGACCATTGGCAAGGGTGACGAAGTGTTGAAGGAGTAGATTGTGTCACTGTCTTCAGGTAATGTATAAGTGGAATTTTTAAAATCAAGACGGATACCGGAAGTCATCAGGAACTCAAGCCCCAGTACAACTGAGAACGCCAGATCACTGTCTCTCATTACATAAGCCCTTAGCGGATAGTCATGACCATGGACTGTAGCCTGCCAAGCTATCTTCCCCAAGGCTGTCTGTACATGACCATTTGCGAGTGAAAATGACTGTCCCCTACTTGACTGCATAACTTCATTGGGTGACAATTGCTGCCAACAGGATTCTTGTACTATTGAATAAGTGCTTCCGGTGTCTAGAATTGCTTGATATTGATGGCCTTTTATGGTTATGGGTAAAGTTAATGTAGACATCGGCTTTCCATCATGTTCTGAAAAGACTGCAATATGCGGGTTAAATGGTCGTCCTTTTGAGTTCCTATTGGCTTCAGCAGACTTAGGGGAGTTTTCTTGATGCCTTTGCCTCCAGAAAGCTCTCTCTGCCGCAATATCTCTCTCTATGAGTGTTCCTACCCGTACTAGCTCATCCACTGTAGTTGCAGTACCTCGTAAAATACTAGCTATTTTTGGATTACAGTTTCGAAGTGTTGCTTGAAGGATTTCACGTTCTGTCATCGCTGGTTTCAACCTCAAACATAGCGCTCGGTACTGGTATGCAAATGTCCGGATGCTCTCATCAACTCCTTGTTTCCGTTCTCTTATTCTTCTCTCCACTTCAACCTCGTGATCTTCAGATAAAAAGGATTGAAGAAAAGCAGACTTAAACTGTGCCCAAGTTTTTACTTTCTTCTTTTCTGCCAACCACCAGTCTTTAGCTGTGTATGTTAATACAGAAGGAAGCATGGATAATATTTCCACATCATTCAAAGGTTGCATAGCTAGATACTCATCACATCGCTCCAGATACGTAATGGGATCCTCTCCATCCAAACTTCCGAACTTTGGAAATTCTAATTTGACAGGGGTCTGACAGTGCATCGGTCTGAAGGAACTATGGGTTACTCCAGTGTGGTTAAAATTTGGGGTAGAAGTGGCTCCCTCAGAAGACTGAATCAAAGATCTCAACTGGCTATCTCTCCGTTTCAGGCAATCTATAGTTGCTTTTTCCAAATCCTGGACCTTAGCTTCCAATGTGACTTTTACTTGCCCGCATCCAGCCTCCAGTTTAGCAGATAAAGAGTCTTCTAACTGCTGTATCTCTGTATGATGATCTTGATGCAAATTTAAAATATGTTGCAACTGATTTTCAATGGCAGTCATGCGATTACTTTGCACATCTAACTGGTATTGTATATCTTTAAAGTGTATATTAGAGGATCCTTCCCAACCCTCCATTTTACATTCAATTTTATGCATTCTTGCGGCCAAACAGTCATCATCTTCGTTGGGAGGAGGAGGAGGAGGCAACAAAGAATCATCAAAATCATATTCTTGTTCTAGATCTTCCTGTTCATTTTCCAGATACAAATTACTAAGAGAATGAATAAGGTCTCTGACAGGCTCACGACGTGTAGTGAAAGGTGCTGAAGAATAGTCTGGACTTAAAGGATCATTTCCCCCTGTCTCTCTTTGTGAGAAAGCCATTTTGCAACTAACAACCTCTTTAAGTAATCTTAATTCTAAAGACCCAAAGTAAATGAAATGTAAAGATACCTCAAACTATGGTCACAATAAAACACTTGTGTAGAATGGCTCATTGCAAATAGAATTTATGTCTCTCTTCAAGATTCAACAAAAACGTTGCTTCCTGTCCCTGTTCGGGCGCCATAATTTATGTAACATCTACTTTTAAGAAAGCTTGCTAAGAAAGATTGCTACATAATAAAGTGAGGGACCAGAGACTTCACATTTCAATGAGCCATGTGTATTATACCATAAATCAGCATTCAGGCAGTAACCATACAAAATACATGAGGCATTCATTTACAAGACAATAGGGCTAATTCAGCTCTTCCCAATAATGCTTTTGGTAGCCAAGAGTTCAGTCCTTAGAGTCCCACAAGTAACAAGAAACTGTACTTAAGCGCAGAGTGGAAGAGTTCACAATGGTCTGAATCCAAGTGTCCAAGCAGCGGTTGATATTAGGACAAACTGTAGTTCAAGGCACAAACAGCAGATGCCAAAGGTGTGATAGACAATTAATTCCATATTGGTCAAGGGTTTAGTTGTAGATGAGTTGCTGCCTCATGCCTGCACGATGAACCCTGTTTGAGCATAAGAACCACAGGTTCCTCAAATCAGGGAAAAACATGACCACACTAGTAGGGAAGCTTCTCCATGTGCTTAACACATCCTTCCTTCCTTACTCTACTTCTTCTACCATTTTATGCTACTAGGAACCTTCCTTACTAGAGTACTCCCTAGTGGTAGAACGGAGTATTACACAGTACAGAGAGCTAATAAGACAAATGTAACTGCAAGCTGTTACAATCTTGCATGTTGATCATCAGCACAGATAGGAAGTGCACCTTTCTGTCCGAGTGCATCCTGTATTTGTCTCCAGAAAAAATTTCAGCATTGTTCTTCATCCATTTTACCTTAACAAATGGCTCATTTGTCTCACATTCAAAGGTTGTCATTGTGTCTTTCTCTTTAACGTAGCCATCCTCCAATGTCTGGGTAAATGATATAACTTGCTTGCCTGCAAAAAAAAGGACAATTTATTAGAAAGTAAATTCAATATGAACAATGACCACAAAACGGATTTATAAATGAGAAAACATACCTTGAACCAACAGGAAAGCATGGCTTGAAGCCTCACCAGCAATGTTAATGGCTTTGACCATGATACTAGCAGAATCCTCAGCTGAGACATCTTTAATTACTAATTCACAGAGATGGTCCTCAGGCCAATACCAGTAAACACGATCTGATTTCTCAAGTAAAATGCCGTTTTTGAACCACTGGCACTCTGGGTCTGGTTTACCAACAACCCTACAACGGAAGCGAACTTCATCAGACTGTGAAACTGTCTGGCTCTGAATTCTTTCCAAGATCTTTGGAGCCTCCATGCTTGGAGAGAGAGTGATTTTCTCAGGTCTGATTGTTGGAATGGTAAGTTTGCCTTCCTCCTCCTCTTTCTTCTTTTCTAACTCAGACACCTCTTTGGTCCAGTGCATAAGTTCATCTTTTCTCTTCTTTAACATTCCTTCATAAGACTCGTCCTTCTTGCGAGACTTCAGCTCAACTGAGGATATGGCTTCATAATAGCCCTCTTCAGTTCTGCGTTTGAATTTGCTTCGCAGCTCTTCTGTCTCTTCTGTGGATTTTTCATGAACAACTCTCTCGACCTTCCTCAGTCGGACAACCTCTTTTGCTTGTGAAGCATCTACAGGTTTATCTACCTTCACAACATCAAAAGACACTCGGCCATGTTCAGGGCCCGGTGCCTCCTGAGCCTTCATCTCAGGAGCACGGCGCAAGATTGCCCTGAAGTCTTCTTTCTGTTGGATTTCGAGTTTGACAGTGTGCTCAGCTTTACCCTCTGGGTTCTCAGCCAATATTTTGACATCTCCAGAATCATAGGACTTACAGTCAGTGATTTCCAAATAGTGAATACCATCATAGAGTAGTCTGAAACGTTTGCTCTTTCGAATGAGCTGTCCATTGAGGTACCAATTAACTTTGGGATTGGGGTAACCGGTCACTCTACAGCGATATTTGGCGGTTTCACCCTCAAATACTCTTATGGGTTCAGGAAGCAAGACAATCTCTGGCTTGGTCCTTTCACTCATGTCATCCCCAGTTACTCCAGAGGGTCCGCCCTCATGGGCAATTCGCTCCATTTCATCCATTCTCTGTGCTTTTCTTCCCTCTGGCATCTGACTGTCCTCCACAAGACTCTTCTCATCTTTCACAATTAGTGTAGCAGAAGTCTGGTCAGCACCAAAATTGTTGGTGGCTCTACAGGTAATGACGCCACTATCTCTGGAATAAGCAACTTCATAATCAAGACTGCAATAGCCAAACTCATTGATCATACGCAGCCTGTTAGCAGCTTCCAGCGGCTTGCCATCATGGAGCCACTCAACAACCATAGTTGGGTCTCCAATAGGGGTCAGTCTGCACTCAAAGTGAGTGGGACCGAATCGCTTCATCCTGACTGAGGTTAGCTTCTTTTTAAAGTGTGGCTTCTGTTGCTTTTCCTTGTCATAGAGGTCACCCTCTTCCCACTGTTCCTGACCATAGCGAAGATGCAGTGGTTCAATCTCAGGTGGAGCAACGTCCTTAGCTTTATATGTTCCTTTAGGAACGATGAGTCTTCTTTCTGGTGCAGGTTCTGTGTACTCTACTTCCACATTGACTCTGCAGCGAGTGGTATCCCTACCGGCTTTGTTTATAGCTGTGGCTGTGTACCACGCACTGTCAGACCCGGAAGTCTGAGGAATCTGGAAATGTGCCTGTCCCTTGGTACCCTCAATTCTGTAATACAATTTTTGAATTTAGTATAGATAGTACAAAAAAAAAAAATGAAATAATTAAACAAAAATCCAAAGTAAAGTAACATACTTGATGTGAGGGTATTTATGAGGAGAGATGATGTCACTGTTTTTCAGCCAGACAATGTCAGGGAGGGGGTTTCCAATGGCTTTTACTGCCAACTCAACCAAACTTCCTTCCTTAACACTGATATTCTTTAGCTTTTCAATGAACTGGGGCCGGACCAAATTTTCCTTTGCTGTAACACAGATGAGTTTTTACACAATGTTCCACACCATTGAGTCAAGATCAAATACAGTTGGAAAAAAAAAACGGTTTACCTTCAACAGTGAGAGTCATAGAAACAGTTGTTTTTCCAGCTCTGTTCTGAGCAACGACTGTCCACTCTCCAGAGTCCTGAGGCATGGCAGGAACCACAATCATTGATTGAGTTCCATCCTCCTTTACCACAATCTTGTGGGTGTAGTCATTGACCACTTGTTGTCCTTTGGTAAATATAATAAAAGATAAAAAATTAACTTTCTTTTTTTTCTGTTTTCAACAGGCAAGAAAGAAAACAAATAACCAGGCAAAAACTACTGTTTACAAGTTTGGGGTATATTTTTTTTTTCTCGAAGAAGTCTGTTATACTCACCAAGACATGGCATTTATTTAGTCTTAAATAAAGTTAACAGTACTATTGTGAAATATTACCATTTAAAATGACTGTTTTCTATTTGAATATATTTAATTATAATTTATTCATGGGATGGTAAGGCTGAATTTTCAGCAGCCATTACAGTGTCACATGATCCTAGAAATCATTCTCGATTTAGTATTTAAGAAACATTTCTATTATCAATGTTAATACAAATTGTTTTTTAAAACTGTGATGCATTTTTTAGGAGTCTTTGCTAAATAGAACAATAGGAAAATAAATCAATAAAAAAAAAATTGACCCCAAACTTTTGAATGGTAGTGCGGCTTTAAAACACACTTACCATTGTGGAACCAGTAAGTATCGGGCATAGGTCTTCCAACTACTTTTAAGTCAAACCTTGCAGTCTGTCCTTCAGAACACCTGAAGGATGATGGCTTCTGTACAAAAACAGGCTTATATAGTCTCTCCAGTTGACTCTCATCAGTGTCATCAAGTCTACGAGCAGGAGAGCGGCTAACAGAACGAGCAGGAGAACGTCCAGGGGAGTAGCTAGTTGAGCGAGCAGACATTGGAGATGTTGACCTAAATAAAAGTGTAAATATGGACAACATTATCATAAACATAATTACAGAACAGCAAATCCAGAGATGAAGGCAAAGGCAACTCACTGGACTCTTCTCACAGCTTCGGCCTGAGGGTAGTAAGGCTGAGCAGCTGCAGTGGACTCTACATAGAGTTTTCCGGAACTGACAGCGTTACCCTTCATATTGCTTGCAAATGCAGTATAGATCCCCTCATCTTCTGGCAGCACCACCGGTAGGCGCAGACTGGCTCTTCCGTCTTGTAGAACCTCCATCTGATAGCGGCCTCCATGCTTAATGCGCTTGCCATCTTTATACCAGGCAATCTATTTAACACAAATCATATAATATTACTTGTATACATTGTGCTGCTGCTGTAAAAATCCTGCTTTTCAATATAAATACCATCCATTACCTTTGGTAATGGTGTTCCTTCCATCTTGCAATGGAAAGTAACACCCATTCCTTCCAGAATTCTGTAGCTTTTGACAGGAGTGCTAAATGAGGATCCGACAGCCTCATGCTCAGCAACATTCATGACCATCTCCTCACCATCCTCAATCACCAGCTCTCGGTAAGTTATTTTAAGGATGCGGATTTCAATCTCTTGGATAATTTTTCGTTCAATAGCAGATATTTGAAATTCCTGAAAAGAATGAAATGTTTATACATTTTTATTTAATTATCGTTTTTTTTAGAGGCATTTCTTAGTATGCAAATGTTTTATGTGATTTAGGATCTCATTACAAAAATTAGTTTTCCCATATAAAATCGTACCGTCTCTGAGATGAAGGATTTCATCATCTGTGTTTGCTGAGCCATTCTCCTCTGTATGAGCTCTTTTTCATATTCACTTACAACTACAGGGGGCACATCCGCAACTTTGGGCTCCTGCACCATTGCCGTCACTTCCGTTACATATGTCACATCCTGTTTCTTCATATAGGCTTCAAACTCCTCTGTAAATGCATGATGGATGTTGTTGTTTTTTGTTCAAAGCTTTATTTAATTGTAAGTCACATTTTATAATAAAGTCACAACTAACCTTCTTCAAACAGGAATGTGGAAGCAGATGCCTCTCCGTGTTGGTTCTTGGCAAAGATGGTGTACTCTCCAGCATCATCGGCAAATGTCATGGAAATTTCCAACTTGCATTCCCCTGTATCCTTGTTATAGCTAACTCTATATCTGTTAAATTACAAGGAAAGTATGAGCTTTATTTTTCACTGTGTAGAGACCAACTAGATCCAAAGTTTACTTGCTCGAAATCTATACCTGTATCCAGTAGTGAGTGGAACTCCACTCTTCTTCCAGTAAATATGGGGCTTGGGGCTTCCTCCGATCTGGCACTCAAAGAGAACACTGCCTCCCTCGACCAGCTTCTGAACCACTGGCTTCTTCACAAAGAAAGGAGCAACAGGTGCTCCAATGTCCACAGAGACCGCGCTTATTTCAGACATGGTCTCCTCTTTGGCTTCAATGACAGTCCTTGTTTGAAAAACACACACACACAATATAATTACACCAAATATTAAAATGTGTTACCTTTTGGCTCGACTCTTTTAGTAGTCCATGCTCTTGCCCTTGTAACTTACTGTTTCTCCTGGACAGTTATCTCCTCTCTGCTCTCAATCTCCTCTGACACTGTAAAAAAAAGTATAACATAAATGGTTTTTTGAGGTTGTTTTTATTTTCAAACTATGATAGAGGGATACCATGGGTTTGTTTTGTTTTTTTGTTTTTTTTTATCATAGTCTTTTCATTCAAGATTTTCAACCTTGGGTTCAACAGAGATGCACTGAGGTGGTAGAAGATTTAAATTTATGGTATTGTTTTAAAACATTTGTGAACATAATTGTTATAGCTTATTACAGACTTACATTTAAAGGAGTAGTTCACTTTTGAAAAAACTTTTGCTGATAATTTACTCACCCCCATGCCATCCAAGATGTCCATGTCATTCTTTTTTCAGTCGAAAATAAATTAAGGTTTTTGATGAAAATATTCCAAGCGAAACGATCGCTCATTTAATAAATAAATAACAAAGTTTAAGTTTTATAAGCTCAAATGCTCGCCTTGTGATGCGCGTTCGTGACTCTCCTGTTCGAACTCGTTCATCAAAATGAACAAATCTTTTTCTGAGTTAATTCGTTCGTTTCGTTCGTTGAATGAACCAAATGACTCGGAAAAAGATTCATTCATTTTGATGAACGAGTTCGAACAGGAGAGTCACGAACGTGTGTTACAGAAAAAAGCAAGGCGAGCATTTGAGCTTAGAAAACTTAAACTTTGTTATTTATTTATTAAATGAGTGATCGTTTCGCTTGATAAGAGCCTTATTCATTGTGTGGAATCGTTTAAAGCCTTTTGAACAGTTTTTTGGAAGGTCTTTTGGACCTTGAACCGTTTAGTTCCCACTGAAGTGCATTATATGGAGAAAAATCCTGGAATGTTTTCATCAAAAACCTTAATTTCTTTTCAACTGAAGAAAGAACGACATGGACATCTTGGATGACATGGGGGTGAGTAAATTATCAGCAAACGTTTTTTCAAAAGTGAACTACTCCTTTAAAACAAGCACATTTTTGTTCTCCACGAAAAAATGTTTACACAGAAATTGTATTACAGTACTGTAAATAAAATGTACCTTTGACAAGCAGGTAGCAGGAGGTGCTGATAGTTCCAGCCTCACTGGTAGCAGTGCAAGTGAAGCGGCCACTGTCTTCAGCAAAGGCCTCACGGATCACCAAGCGGGCATAGCTGCTTTCATAAGTGATCTGGAAGTCAATGGAGTGCTCAATTCTGTAATCTTCTCTGAACCACATAATAGCTGGGGTGGGGTGGCCTGAAATCTGGCACTCCAGAGTGACGGACTCTCCCTCTGTGACAGTCACATTCTTCAAACCCTAATGAACAAGACACCATTTAGTGGTTCTTCAAGTGAATCTACAAATCAGCAGCATTTCATCAAAATGCTAATAAAACACTTACTGCTTTCAAGGTAGGGGGCACTACAGGCTCTTTGATAGCGGAGGGGATCGCTGCAGTCTCAACAACCTGCAAGAAAAAAATCAACATTTGTTTACAAACCAAGTGACTCTTGAATACAATTTGCTTTGTTATCGAGTGCCACAGGTAATGCTAAAAAAGAAAAGAGGTTGAGAAAAGAACGAGTTTGAAACAAACAAAAATGTTTTAATAAAGATTAGGTGGAGGTGATGAGAAGAAATCCTCAATTTATAAGATGGAATCTGTAAGGAGAAATAGTTAGCTTTGAGGAATCTTTCTGTAAGTGATAATCCAACCACACAAGACTCCATATGATGAATAACTGATATTAAGTCAATGTTAGCTTTGCGAGTGGGCAACATGTTAAACTACAAACCTGTGCGTCCCACTCTTCGCCGGCAAACGAAACACCTATCTTTCTCTGTAACTCTCTGTCGAAATGAGTCTGATATCTCTCTGCAGTGTCTCTAAAAGGAGGAGGGGTTGGCTCTGGGGTCACACGAGTCTCCACAATCTTATGTGTTGGAGGCCTGACAGGCTTGATGATCTTTTGAGCAGCAGTTGAGGATAACTCTTTTTGTAGTGTGGCAATAGCAGAACCTGCTATTGAAACCTGACCAACCCAAGAAGAGCAACATTATCACAGAATATCAAAGAAACAAGTTCACTTTTGTTTAGCCACACAGAGGGGAACAATCAGGGAACCTTTAGAAGGATGGCAGGAAAAAATTAATTAGTTAGCAATTTTAGATAACAAATACTCAACGATATAATAAGAGGTTGATGGACAAACTAATGGATGGATGTTATGTTGAAAGTTATTGTGAAGATTGTATATTAGGTATTGAGGGTGGGTTTTTAGATTGGTCTGGATAGGCGGCACTTGTTAAAGGCTAATGATAAAAAGTTAAAATTAAGTCTACCACAAAGGGACACAAATTCTGAGACTACTAGTGTAATGCATACATTTAGGATTTTATTATTTTATATGAAAACTAAATGTACTTTAATTTCAGAATGTATAAGTATTTGGTATGTTCTTTTGCTATATCAACAGCAGTTGATCTCCTCAAGTCTGTGTAAAACCTAATGATCAAGTTCTCCAGAATGAGCGCTGGAAGCATAAACTGATATTTATATGATTTGTGCATTGGCTTAAAACTGAGCAAAATGTTAAACATTTAATAATTTTGATGTTTTATATTTTATATATTTTGATTTAAAAAAAACCTTGAAAATATTCATAGTGGTCTCAGATTTTGGAACCCCTTGTGCATAAATATACGGTTGAATTGAACTGTGTTTCAGGCAAGCAGGAAAACGACTTAATTAAAAGAAAATAGATTTCAGATTTATTTCATCTGTTTCCAACTCATTTGTTAATGTTATATCAGTTGTGTCTCTCTCATCATCCTCTTTCCTAAATATCTGAAAATCCAGATACCTTAGAAAAGGAGGATTTCACTGCTTGCCTGTAATCACCAAATCTTACCTCATAACTATGATCTGGTTTTGGTACAGTAACTTTTGATACTGTGAAATGTGGAACTGGGGATGGTGAAAGGTCAGTCTCCACCTTGGAGCTGACCTCAGTAGCTCTTTGAATCTATTGCAAATCAACAGAAGAATATTTGAATGCAGATAGACTAAAAATGTCATGTTCATGTTTCAGCTTCTGTTAAATGCTTCTAACCTGGGTGACATGTACACTCTCAGTAGTAGAAGTTGACATTTCAGTGGGGATAAGCAACAGCTCCTTTTTACTTATGACCTGTTGCTTAGTGGCTAGCATTTCCTGATGTCTTATATCAGCCTCTTCTTCCATCTGAGCCCCTTCAGCATGCGTGGGCTTTCGTATGCGTGCATGATCAACAGCAGCAAGCACAGTGGCAACGGCTCCTGCTTTTTTCCCATCACCCTGACAAGAGCAATCACTGATCAATATCTATAATACACAGAATCCATTCTCATCAAAAAATAAATAAATAAATAAATACAGAGCTTGAATATTGTAAATGAAAAAAAAAAAACATTATGGGACGAAAGCTGGAAAATGCACCACCCAGTGAAGTTGTCTGCTAAATGTTAGTGTTGAAAGGTGTGGAAAAAGAGACAAATTGACCTCCATTGATTTAAGGGTAACATTTACGTAGGCTTACATTTACTTTCCATCTAAAGAATAAGTTAACATATTTATATTCATCTAACGCTTTACAAAACAATTCACTTGAAGATTTAGAAAAGACAATGTTTTGTCTTCATAATCAAAGTTATTTGTTGACAATTGTTCAAATAAGACCATAAAATCAAATTATTTAATCACTCAACCTAATAACTGAATATGTAACCTTTCAAATGTTGCCCTTAAACACAAAAAAAATCAGAAGGTGCTCTCTGAAAAACAAAGTTAAGTGAATGTAAAGCAGGATAAAAGGCGTTAGAATTGTGGCCAACTGAAATATTATTCTCTTAGATTCTACCTCTGCAGTTGATGAGATCTCTTCAAAGGATTTCTCACTAGTGGTTGAAACATCTATATTGATTTTATGAGTTGTCACAGTTGTGACTGATTCCTCTTGGATTTCCTTACATGATATCTATGAACATGTGGAAAGAAATCTCTAAATTGTTGTATAAATGTAAAAAAAAAAAAAAAAGTTTATATTTGGAAAGGTGGAGTTATGGATGGAAAAATGGGCAAGTAAATTCTGTTATTGTTGTCCAATAAAAATCTTTGTGGAGTCAGTGGTAAAAACAAAAAAAATAGGAGTATGAGGTTTGGATGGGTGACAACCACAACACTAAAGTACCAGACTACCTGCTCATTTTGAGATGTAATGTGTTCTCCAGCTATGCCGGTTTCAACACTGGGCTGATTTACAGAGCCACTGAGCGGCCCACGGCTACGAGCCTGGTCCACTGCCGCCACCACAGTGGCAACAGCAAAACTTTTCTCATCCACGTTTTTCTGCTCCTTTTTCACATGCAAGTAGAATTCCGTTGCAATATGTTGTTAGAGTTTACATTACAGGCATTTTCACCGACAAATACACATTTACATGAGATAGACACTTGAAGAAAGGAAGTGGTGGCACCACTAAACAAGTCATTCATAACATGCAGAAAGACTGAAAGCAAGTTTGTCTAATGGGAAATTATTTACCTCTTTGACAACTCCAACTTGTTGCTGGATAGAACCAGAGGCCTCCCAACGCTGTTCCATTTGGACATGGGTAGAAGTCGTCTGGACTTGTGTCGCACCGGAAATCATGCGGGTGTAGCTGGCTTCTGAGGAATACCCTGCTTGTTTCCATGGGGGTAAGACCTCAGAGGCCTGCGTGACCTGTTTGCGGGTCATCACGGGAGATTTGACTGGTCGGATTGGGGAAACAGACAGTCTCGTAGATGGAGAGACAGAACTGAAATTAAATGGAAGAACATATTATGAGAACATGAACCACAAACCTTAGCCTTTGGATTAATACGAGCTGGGAAACTTGATTATTCTCATCTGAAAGCAATTTTTACAACTTTTACAATTATTAAACGTGCAGTTTTTATGACCTCATTAACTACATGGAATATTGGTTGTAGAAAATTAACTTGTCACACAGCTGGAGATGTTTAAATGTAACTAGAAAAGGTAATGTTTAAAAATGAAAACCCTAAAAGAAATGACCAGCTCCAGGACAAACAGTAAGATATGGACATTTCCTTATATCCATTAAAACGCTAAACGAACATCTTTTAAAAAATATGTATTATTTATTGTTAGTAGTACAAGTAGTAGTAAACTACAAGACACAACTGGCCATGATGTCAACATGGTAGGATGTGATTCACTCTGACTCTGGGTAGAGTAAAACAGCTTTTAGGCTCACTATTATTTGACTGAAATCTACATCAATCAATCTAATGTGCATGCACATAATTTAAATCATTTTCCAAAATTGTTACTTACTACTTTATGAATAAACATTTTGTAATGTGGAAAGAAATATTTTATAGATTTTAAAATATACTTTTAAAGTTACTTATCATCAAATCCACTTAAAAATATAATATGAATTGCCTACACATGTAAATCTGGAAACTTTCGATGCATTACCTGACAGGAGAGGGTGTCGGGCCCTTAACATGCCTCACAGGAGAGGGAGACTGCTGGCGAGCACCTGACACTCTAGTCACTTGTGAAGGGGGGGATTTGGAGGTTGGTTTAGGGGGCACACGAGGTGGTGTCTTATGTGCCAGCTGATGGGTCACAACCCCACCCTCTACTTGCATTTGCATCATGGAAGTGGCAGAGGCCTCGTAATGAGCCTCCATCCTCTGTTAAAAGAAAATAATTAACACGGTGATCTACGGGGTAAAATTCTGTTGTGGCTAGTTCACCGACACCGTCACTCACCTTCTCTACTCTAGTCTGACGCGTCTGTGAAATCTGAGAGGCTGAAATGATTGTTTTTGACTTCTTTGCAGGTACGACTTCTTCGCCTGTGAATCATGAATGATATGCTATAGTTGCGACATCTATAAAATAAAAATAAAAAAATGCTACATATTTTTTACCAGCTAAAAAATCTTACCCTGAACAAGCAACTCTGCAGTTGAAGTTGCACGTCCACTGCTGTTAGAAGCACTGACAGAATAAGTTCCAGAATCTTCAGGGAAGGCTTCAGCAATCAACAAACTGTAAAGGTCTCCATCTTGAACAATCTGAAAGTCAGCAGAGCTCTGAATCTCAGCTCCCTCTCTGTAGAACTTCACCACAGGTGCAGGGATTCCTGTAACTCGAACATCCAGTCTCACTTGGCTCCCTTGTCTCACAGTCATACTTTGTAGTCTCTGAATGAAGTTTGGTGGCGCAGTTTCAGCTGCAAATTACAATATGGTTTAACATGTTTGTTTGTTTTTTTTACTTTTAACACAACAGGCTATCAAATTCTCTCTTAAGGCCAATTCACACTGCACCAGTGACTTAGCAACGCAGACAATCATCAGATTACAATTACATTGTCAGGCATTTCACAAGAAAAATGTTCAAGTAAACGTTACATGTTCAAACAGCGAAAACAATGGGCGTCTGCCGACCATGCTAAGAAGCTGACAGGTGTGTCTGCTGCCATTCTTGCCAAGTGCAATTTGAACTGGCTTTTATATTTATTAATTATATCAAATGAATATTATATTACAGGCCTAGGATATTAAAATTGCTGCATAGCCTAGCCCCGCAAATTACTCAAAGCCGCGCCTCCCCTTCGTGTCAAATCGTGTCAAGTTAACATCAATAAGAAAATTAAGCGGAATCCTTCTGGTCACGAAAAGAGAGGGGAAAAAAACACCACGAGAGTGAATTTCGGAAACAGCAATCAGGTAGACTTGTTTTCTCTCCTCACCAAGTTTAATGTCAGCAAAGAACAGTAAAGTTGATGCATTCTCTCTAGTCTGTCTAACCCAGCTCGGCAGTGCATCTTTTTGTCTTTCCGTGTCTTGCTAATGCCGGCCACTTCCAGGGCTGTGGTTTTTTTTTTTTTTTTTTTTTTTTTTTTTTTTTTTACTAAAAGTGAGAGTAAAATACTATGTATTACGTTTGATAAACGAGCAAAAAGGCAACGGTGTTTGTTTATAAACTGCACTTAGCAGCTCGGAAAAGATAACCGCGTCGCGCGTTACGTTCATATGCGCGTGCACGAAATGAAACGCGCACAGTGCACTTTCCAGCAAAACATCTGTGGGGACCAGTACAATAGGCGTGATGGCACTCCTCATATAGGCGCATATACTTTTAAAACATGACAATGATTATCTAGTTTCCATGTCAGTTTAGTTACGACTCTGCAATAAAGAAATGACATACATTGAATAGGCTAGCCTATATTGCATTTAAAATGTTGATTGGCTGGCCATAGCAACTGGTCAATATGTATGCACATCCCTCAGTAAATAATAACCATCAAGAATTACTTTTATTATTTAAAACACAGTGACATACTATGGCAAGCCATTTTAGCTTTTACATCTCTATATTGCTCTGTGCCTGCATTTATTTGAGAAAAAAAAAAAAATACAGAAAAGACAATTTAAAGCTCCAGTCCATATCTTTTTTTTGGGGGTTAAACATTACTGAAAAATATCATAGCCCAACATATAACATCATGACTTTTGCGTAAACATACACGCCACTTTCAAGTCAAGTGCCGTGTTATCTATACACATTTTCAGCTATCCGCGTGTATGCGTGTATGTCTACGCCGTTAAATGTCCAAGTGATTCCGCGTGTATGTACACGGCACGCCGTTAAATGTCCGAGCGAAACAAAGCAAAATGTAGATCTACATCTGGGGAGCAATATTTTTTTTTGTTTCCTATGGTAGGGGAAGACTATTAAATGCTATTAAACAGTGACGGGTAGGTTTAGGGACGGGGTTGGGGTAGGTCCTATATTTATACAGTAATGTAACGTTAAGTCAACGCCGTTCATAAACACGCTGAAAAGCGATTATGCATGTTGATAGCATGCCAAAAATGTGAAAAATTCTCACCTCTAGCAACATATATTAGATCTAATTAAACGACAAATTAAATTAAACACAGTGTGCTATTTTATACTATGTAAAACATCACGCCATCTCTGCGTGCGTGGTATTTACGATAGTAACGTCAAATACTACAAGTACTTCACAGTGACTCTAGGGGTCGCTGTTTGACAAAAACGGAATTCCTCCATGGTGTCCCTTTAAATCCCCTGTCAATACAGCACTGCCTTGCAAGCATTGGAAAAGGTGACACACATTCCTTTCCATAAATTATTCGAGCAATGACAGCCTGCATAATTTAACAATAGCCTATACCCACTTTCTATAACAAGTAAGTAACAGTCATTAACTTTATGAGCCGATCAATCAATCCACATATTTGCTTACTGTAGCTCAAGGGTGCCAGCACGCAGTGGGAGAATTCATGACTCTACTACAAATTAACTTGTAATTACTATAATCATTAACAAATGAGACAAGTTAATATTTTATTAACACTAATTTTAGTTGGCTAACTGTAGTATTTTGGAAAGCAATGACATGGCAGGCATGTTTATTATTATTTGTTTCCGGTGGCAATAGCTCAAACCAAGTTACTGGTTATTACCTGTAACCAGCAGTTCAGCTGTGCTAGTGGCTTGTCCAGCGCCATTGGTGGCTCTCACAGAAAATCTTCCGCTGTGTGCGGCTGTCACGGCGGGGATCATCAGAACAGCGCGGCCATCGCTGAACGAGATCTGAGCGCCGGGCAGAGCGGCAGCAGTAAGAACCTGGCCATCACGAAACCAGCTCACCTCTGGAACTGGATTACCTGTGTGTAGAGTTTTATGTTATCATAATATAATAAAATATATTTTATCTAGACAAATACAAACATTTCTTAATCTGTAGTCAAAATTCATGTCCTCTTGGTGGATAGAAAGATGGAGCTGTAGGTTTTCATTTTAATCCTGACCTGAGCATGCATATGGTACCATATTAATGCATTTACAACTTTATCATGATGCTTAAACATTGCACAGTGATTATTATAACATTTGTATTTATAAACAAATATAAAGAAAAAAATAAGTTAGTTAAATGTTTTACTGTCCCTCCCATAAATAAATAAAGCGATCAAATAATAATGGCTGAATCTCATACAATGCTGTTACAGACCCCAATGTGAAAACTGCTTATTCAGATAAATCCATCAATGCTATGTAATGTAAACACACTGGAGTTATGCAAATAAATACTAAACATTCCTTTAACTAATTTCATATTGTACACATTGTAAAAGACTCAAGTATAATTCTACATTGCTGCAATGGAATGGCAAATCGGTAACATTCTTACCACTAACTTGAGCTTCGAACGTTGCAGCACTACCCTCAAGTGCCACAACGCTCTGAAGCGGTTGTGTAAATGTTGGCGCCTGTGTTGACATGGTGGAAGGCACCCTAAAGGAAGACATAAAATAAAATTATAGTTTTGGCTTGGATCCCTGCAAAAACTTAAAAGAATATTATCTTAATTCAAAAAGAGAACAGTTGTTTTAGCAGCTTCTAAACAGACTAATCATTTGGTGTGGTCCCTATCAACCTGTTAGAGAACCTGGCCTGTCACTTGAGATTCAGTGGCTCAATTGGGTGTTAAGCCAAACATTTGGGCCTCATATCAACTGACAGGTCTTGAGACATGACAGAAACAACTGGTGCCTGTGGCCTGCAGTGAGCTCTTTTTCCGGCATGACGCATAATTTAGAATAGCCCTCCAGTTATAACAGGCAGACAGGTCTGTATCATCAAATCTAAAACTAATATAAATAAGTGGCTTATGCATCTTTATTGAACTTGTGACTCAATCTCAATGCTGGATTGAAAAACTGGTCCTCTGCCAAGCAATACTGAGATGTTATTCATAAACATACTGCATAATCATACAATCTCTTAAGGTTTAAACACTCTGCAAAAAAAAAAAAAAAAAAAAAAAAAAATGAAAACTAGTTTATAATTAGAATTTAAAATGGCTGACAGGAACTACTAGACACATGACCTTTACCTAAAATAGAACAACACAGACTGAACAAAAATCAGGTGAAAATAATTCTATTGTTGTAAAAGTACTATTACATTTGTGTATAATCAATATAATAGTTACCCGTACAGCTATCAATTTGATATCATTTAAGTTTACATATTTAAATTCATTAAAATAATTCTAAATGAAAATGTAGCTTTGCTCTGAAATATACAACCACAACACAACAATGCATGTGTATGTTTAAGTGACGAACAAATCATGTTTCATGAGGAATAATTTGACTTACATTCTCATTTATTAAAAAATAAACAAATTAAGAGTAATAAAAATAAATGATAGCCTCTATTCAAAGGTGACCAGGTTCATTACTAGCAAAAGTTCAGAATTAAACCTTAAGAACCATAACTTGAAAATAACTGTATCTGCACAACAATAAGGCAGTTTCCAGCAACCACTTTAAGAAAATCCATTTAAACTGCAATAATGTTCATAAGCAAATCAAACCCAGTGTCACAAAAGGCATCCTCTAAAAATAGTCAGTATCCAGCTTGATTGACAGTCACCATGTGGCACATAGCTAGAGGTGCAACTGATATCTCTGCTGCTGATTCCCTTAAAAAGACATCATGGCCCAGCTAGGGCACCACTCTAATGCTATCACAGGCTATTCTTGGCTTTACTAAAACCACTGCACCATTTTATAATCTTCAGCAAAGAGAAGTCTTTGGACAAAATCAAATGAATATTCATTCAATTTGAATAAGATCATAAGCATAAGTAAACATCTACTCTGTTAGAATCACACAGCAAAGCATCATCATAAACAGAGCAATTCCAAGAGGGTCCTCACACCAAAGGAAAGCACTGGCACATGGGTACAAGAGCACAAAGCATACTTACTTGTATCCAAGAGTGCCTTGAATTGAAGGGACGAATCCCAAAGGGTTTTGTCTTCTGAAACAAAGTCCTTATCCAGATGTTATTTCAGAAAACACAGTGTGAGAACGGATGAGCCTCAAAATATCCCAAAAAACAAAACTACACAGGGTCTTAACCGTGTAGTTTTGCTTTTTTTCCCCTTGCAATCCCTACACCCGAGGCAAGGCTGGGAATGCTCCAACTGCTCAGAAGTGTTAACATGGTGGTTTTACTTTATATACCCCTGGCTAATCAGCATCATCACTACATTGCCATGCCCCATTGGCCATCCCCCCTCGAGGCATCATGGGAGGTAGCGGCCATTTTATGCAAACTCACACCTGTCACCTACTTTACTTAACATAGCGCAGGACTCATTATCACAGAGGGTCTGAAACCCCCGTACCTAAAGAAACAGGAAAATGCCCCTCATAAAGAAAGAGATCGTCACTAGCTTTATCTCATAAATTAATCACTGTTTCAGCATGTTGATCACCAAGAAGGGAAGAACCAAATGGGGGAGAAGGGCTGTCACTGTCACTCAGGCTCTGTGTCTCCAGCTCAGATCACAGGCAGTGTTCACCCATTTTTGTTTATCCGTACAGTGAGGCAGAAGTGACTTTAAAAAGTTACATTGTGAACTTTACCATCATGGTGAGATCTAGTTGGTTTAGCAGCAAGGAGACCATGTAAAGATAGGCAGTGACGTCTAATAGTGGAATGCATGACTAGTGTTGACAAGGACTGGCATGAGTTAACTATTCAAACAGTCCTTTGACTGCATTAAAGGGTTAGTTCACCCAAAAATGAAAATTCTGTCAGTATTTACTCACCCTCATGTTGTTCCAAACCTCTATGCGTTTATTTGTTCTGCTTAACACAAAGGAAGATATTTGGAAGAATGTTTTAATCAAACAGATCTCATTCCCCATTGACTACCATAGTATGTATTTTTTCCTACTATGGTAGTCAATGGGGAATGAGATCTGTTTGATTAAAACATTCTTCCAAATATCTTCCTTTGTGTTCAGCAGAACAAATAAACACATAGAGGTTTGGAACAACATGAGGGTGAGTAAATACTGACAGAATTTTTGGGTGAACTAACCCTTTAATAACTTACATACACACATACTATATGTTGATAATCACATATGGGAGTTATTTAATAGTATGAATCATTTTTTTCTCCATCTCTGTAAGCTTTTAGCAACAATCACTGAAAAACGATATAGACGCAGCTGTTTTTCAGGTTTTTTATTTTTGTTCAGAATGTGGTTATATGACATTTACTGATATTGGTTAATGGTCTGAATACTTTTGCAAGACAACGTATAAACAAAACAATCAGTTCCAAGCAGTAGTGTTACAGATATTACCCTTTTTTTTTCATAATTCACAAATAAGATTAGGCTCGGTGAACTGAATATCCAAAGTTTTGCCATAAACAGAATCTGTGTCTGTGAATGCAAAGAGTGATAGGAGGTTTTGCAGATCCTTATACATCCCATAATCAGTGACCTTTATGGTGGTTTTGGCCCCTGTTAAAAATATACATACAAATAATAATTATTATTATTGTATATTTTGTAAGATAGTCTTTAATAGTCGACTAGACAAAACACATATTTCTCCTGAGTCATCAGGAAAGTACAGGCTTAAAAATTTGATGTATAAATACTTTGTTAACAGGCTGCCTTTGTAAAGGCTCATAAATTGAAAAGGGGAGGGGGGTAGCCTAAGGCACACCTGTGCAATAATCATGCTGTCCAATCAGCATCTTAATATGCCACACCTGTGAGGTGGATGGATTATCTCGGCAAAGGAGAAGTGCTCACTTACACAGATTTGTGAACAATATTTTAGAGAAATAGGCCTTCTGTGTACATAGAAAATAAGTTTTAGATCTTTGAGTTCAGCTCAGCTCATCAAAAATGGGGAAAAACTAAAGTGTTGCATTTATAATTTTGTTCAGTGTATATACGTTTGACTCACATGGTTCTCGTCACATGCTGAAACCTTAGTATCATTCATACAGAGCACTTGAGGATAAGTGCAGTGTGAGCTGAGGTCTTGTTCCACCAATACATTTTGCTCATCCAGTCTGGAGAGGAAGTGTGAAGTGGCACTGTGTCCTGAGGAAATCAATTTGCATTATAATTTACTGCACTGAATCATTATCTTGAAAAAAAAAAAAAAAAACGCTAATAAAATGTTAAAGTTTAAAAAGGGTCGTCATACTCCAACATGTGCCTCGTTAAGCACATAACCTGCCTCTGTTGTACTGTTGGAAAAAAGTAGTAAGTAAAAAAGTAAGGAGCACTGGAGGCAAAGTTAAAAGTATAACTGCGAGACAGCTGTATCTGAATGCAGGATGAGGAATGACGCCATAGACACCTTCTCAGTAGGGCGACATGGCAAGGAAGCAAAGGTGTAACCCGAGAGCCCTGAGTTATGCTGTGTGATAACAGTAACATGCCCCTAGTCGCCCTTTCATTCAGTAGAGAGCCTTAAAGACGCCAAAAAATCTAATTTTGAGGCTTTTACTCTGTAACATCTAAGGTCATCCATATACTGTATGCTAAGCTAATCTATTTGCTATCGCTAAAGGTTCATTCATTTAATTCATCATTCAACATTATTCATAAAACTATCTCTTCTCGCTAAACATCGACTCATCTTGCACTTAATGAAGTATCAATATTGATATTAACAATAAAATGATCGGTGAATCCGGTATGTTTCTTCCTTCAAATAAGGAACTTCCGCACACCATCAGTACTTGCAAGTAATATAAAAAACGTTTTATTAGCAACGTTTCGGTTTACATTTGGTCTTCTTTTTCTACGCCACCTATCACCTGCAGGTGTGCGATGGTGTTTGTTAACTAATATGTTTCTTCCTAACTTCATTTTTAATCAGAAAAGACTCCGGAAGAAAAAATACAAAAAATATTTCAAAGGGTCTTTAAGGATCAGGTTTTAAGCAAGCCTTAAAGAAGTAGGCTAGTTCACTTTAAAAAAAAAACAAAAAAAAACTTTTGCTGATAATTTACTCACACCCATGTCAAGACGTCTACATCTTTCTTTCTTCAGTCGAAAAGAAATTAATGTGTTTGATGAAAACATTCCAGGATTTTCTCCATATAATGGACTTTTAAGACCCTTATTCATCATCTGGTGTCGTATAAAGCCCGTTGAAGCTGCACTGAAACTCTCATTTGGACCTTGAACCGTTTGGTTCCAATTAAAGTCCATTATATGGAGAAAATCCTGGAATGTTTTCATCTGAAGACATGGACATCTTGGATGACATGGGGATTGAGTAAATTGTCAGCAAAAGTTTTTTTTTTTTTTTTAAGTGAACTACTCCTTTAAGTTACAGAACATATAATCCATCCTGCATCTATTTTACTTTACTAAAAATGTATTTCCTACTAAAAGGAAAATATTTTATCAACAGGAAATATTAGTAAATGTACTTGTCAACAAAATCAACA